TGCAAGACCCCTCATAACGAACATTATTGATGCTACTACATCTAGGTTCGCACCGAGCCTGGCAACGGGGTTTGAATTGATATGTGGTTATTGGTCTGGCTGATCTCTGCAACCAAATCCCTTCACTTACCTACCCTGCTACCATCCAGCAATCCTCTCTCTCCCCACCAGCAATGGCAGCTATCTAAGCTCTTCCTCCCCCACTCTGACATCTTAGCTTAAAGTCGCTGCGTAAAATGGTCCACTGAAGTGCTTCGAAAAGAGGAAATCCAAGACAGTTCTGGACCAGTCACAAAATTCATACGGGGTGGAATTTTCAACCACTCACGATGCGAATTGAGCCTGGCTTGTAAAACCTCCCCTGCAACAATTGTATGTAGTGTATGTAGTGTAGGTAGTTTACCGCCTCGTTCCAATCAACTTAGTCCTTCTTTTTTATCTCCCAGTGACGACGACATCGATCATCCTAATGGAAGAGAGTCAACCTTTCTACATAGGATCTCGGTCTAAAGTAAGCTACCTTACTATAATGTCTCATTACACCGACTTTTCTATATATACCTACTGAATATACGTCGGTGCTCAGAGGGGTCTGCGGCGCGCAAACGGACGGTTGATGCTTGAACGAGAAGGGGAATAGTGTAGGCTCCGCCCGCCACCATTCTCTCTCACCGTCAGAATGATTGCATCCACTTCCACTTGGTGAGGACGTGTTGTGTGGTAGCCAGTTTCACAGTATCTCCGTTTATGTGGCATAATTCCACACTGTGATTGCTGACATGCAGATAAAGTGCGCATAAGTGTTGGAGCCGCCTGGCCTAAGATCCCTTTCGTAGGTATGTACTGCTTCCGAACAGAGCTAGGCGGCCCCAGCTTCTCCGTGACGTGTAAAGCTACCTAGGTAGGAGTTTTGGAAGTCGTAGTTAGGTAGATAAACAAGAACGTTGTCGGTTTCTTGGTTTCTTGGTTTTTTGCTATACTAAACCCTCAGAGAATGGATATGCGATGGATATGCGTATAGCGCGTTACGTGGATGCTGAATGGAGGAGTGTCCTATTATTAGATTTAATGGTGCTCGAGCTCGAGCTCCGGTGGTCTAGGGCGTCGTCCGTGAGCCATGTTTCTTCCTCGTCTTACGGCTGGATATATATTGCAACATACTATGTAGCGTACATACACTACAGTATAATATAGGCCGGGATGCTTAGCATAAATAACAACTGTCGCCAAACGCCACAATGATCATCTGCCATGCTGGCGCCGATCTGGGGATAGACTCGGGAATCCTCAATGTAAGAATCCTCGATGTAAGGGTCATCATTATGGCGCCGAGTTTGAATTGAAGATAAAGATAATTTGGTAGAAGCGACTAAGCAACTAACTGCTGGTGACGATGTTTACTTGTTTACCGAGCTCCGTATGTATAATGAAAGGGCTGAAGGGAAGAGGGTATTTTTGTCCACCAGGCTGCCAGGACCTGGGTCAGTTTGGTCTGCCGCCCAAGTGTCCACCGACCGGCATCTATCCTTGGTTCTTGGTAAAGCCGAAAGTTACCATGATTAGCCAAACCCCGCTGAATCTCACTATTTGCAGGAATAGTGTAACTCGTAAGGCAGGTAGAATAATGAGGTAGTGTAATGAGGTAGTGTGCGTGGTAATGTACCTAACCTTTGCTAAGCTCTTGGTGCTGCTGTATGAGATAATATGAGATAAGTACCTAATTTATGTATGTATGTATCGTATAAGAGAGATGCACTGCAATATGCAAGTGTGAAGTTCTGAAGTTCTGTGCGGGGACTTTGGAAAAGGACTTGGGAAAGACTGGCCTATCCCTGTCAAGCATGATTCTCTGGTGCTATGTAACTTGACATAAGCCGCTGACACGTCAAGCGGAGTACGTAAGGATAAGGTCTCGCAGAGGGGAGGGGGCTGGGGGCTTTTTTTTTTTTTTTTTTTTTTTTTTTCCTTCTTTGTTGGAGAGAGACATTAAGGTACGTACAAGACCCAGCCACCGGTTCCGACGCTTACAAGAAAGCATTTGTCACCGTATCCAGGTCTTGTCTTTTTATTTTCTATTCTTTTATTACTACACTACGTAATGTAGCATATGTAGTACAGATAAGAAAATGTCCCGTTGGTTAGGTATGTTCATATGTATGCCGTAATTATATGGTGCATTGAGATCATATGAGGAAATATTAAAACCTTGCAATCACAACGCGACTGACGCATAGTACAGATGTGATGAAAGGAAAATAAGTCGCATTTGGCAATGTAATAATAATAATAATAATAATAAAACGTTGCAAAAAGACTAGGGAACCAAAAGCAGCAAAGGAAGCGAGGAACCAGGAGAATCACCCTCAGCCCCAGGCGCCACAGAAATTTTCAGCGGTAACAGGGCTGTTCTTGTAATCACAGTGTGTCTATCCCTACGCTGGCACAATAGCGGGGCAATAAGTGATCCACATCCGATCCACAATGGCCCACAACGCAGATTTTAACAAGGCAGCTGATTAGTCACAAATGCAGCCCCATTAAAACGTCGGGACCCTCTGGGCTCGCTTTCCCTCACTTTTTACTTGCCTCTGTCCATTTCTCACCAATCAATCCCCTCTTGGTCCACCACTTATTAAAAAATTCATCGAATCAATTGGCCTTCCTTCCCACGCTCTGTCTTTTTTCATCCAAACAGCTCCCAGAAAGTCTGTTTCTAAAACATCGAATCAAATCGAGTCTTTTGAATGCCCTGGCTGCCTGGTTTTATAACTCTATTACCTACCTATATACTTGATCCCGTCCAACATTTATCCGCTCCGCATTATCTGGGCTGATAGGTTCCGCACATCATCCTATCTGTCCAGTCATATTCTTCTGGTCACCTGAAAGATCCAGCATCCAGGTACAAAGACAAGCACAAACTGGAGCATATAACACAAAAAATTACAGCCAACCAGGAGCGACGCGCTACACGTCGGTATATATCAACTTTGTCTGCAACTATCTGCGACTGTCTGCATAGCCGCCTGCCGACTCTGATACTCCTATTGTAGGCAGTGCTGTCGGATTGACGCGCAGAGAGACTCTTATGCGCGCGACCGCAAGAGTCTCTTGATACTCTTTTCATTCTAACCGGCCGCCCTCGTGTGTGTACATACACAAAGCCCGTCGTGTTGTATACGACTTACATACAACTTACACTGCGGCTAGAACAAAGTGTCGCAAGACATCCTCAAGGTACGGCGCGTATTGTTTCCTCCGGTTACTATCCCCTCCCCCTTTGTCCTCATAAGCAATGAGACAAATTCCCGTGTCCCTTTGCGGTTTCTTATCCTTTTCTTAAAATCTATAAGCCGATATCGAACGGGGCATGTCCAAGAAACAATTCTAGCCAGTAAGCGCTCCAGCGCAAAAAAGGCGACAAGAAACCCACTCGGATCCAGCAAATCATCGAGCTCTTCAATGCCTGCTATATAACTAACCCCTTCGCGAATAGATACAGAGGCCTATCACTGTCAACAAAACTAACTTCATTATTGCCATTGGCCCTACCTACTCATCAGGTGATTCATGCTATCTGCGGACAACAATTGTTAAGATTTCCTCGGCTCAATCAGAATACAATCACTGCCTTCGTAGCTCTCGCTTCTGAAAGCCTCCCCGGGACGTGGAGAGATCTTGAGGCGCGATATTAATTTCTCGCCCTTTTCCCCTTGGTATGTTGCCCCTACCTACTTACCCTACCTATCTACCTACCTACCTTACATCATACACCGTCTTCCACACCGGCTCGTGTGTTAGCCAGCTTCCTCCTACACAAACAACTCCGAGCTACCACAATCCCGGTAATTATAGCTACACCCAGCTATTTTTGATCATATATTACGTTGTCGCAAGCTTACCCCAGAATGCTACATCATTCCCCGGATGTATCTGTTCTACAATATTCTTGTTCATTATTCCCTCTTAAGCATAGTAGCGATTATCGCTCCGGTCCAATTCATATAATTGCTACTCGTTCATTTTCTCCCTCTGAAATTAATCTACTAACATCCTTTTGCGACATAGGCGCGACTGGTCCCATCAGCCCGGCACCCTGCGTAGGTTGAACCCAAGTACTCGGGAACCTGCCAAAAAAGGGTATGTACAATATACAATATTCATGTATTTCGCACACTTACGCCGCCTGTCCCTTTATCCCCATCTGCCCGTCTGCAACGATACATCCACACACCATTCTCACCGCAACCACACCCATCCCGTCTCTTTCCCACTGAGGTAAGGCTTGACGATCGGATATACCCTCTTCGAGTCGCAAACCCCTCCACCCAAGGCACCAACCATTCATTGTTGCGTAACTCGTCTCGGTCCTTTCCTTTTCCTTCTTGTCCCTTTTCTCTCGCACACCTTTTTCTATCCTTGGTGTGGCTAGCAATCCACTGTCTCTTCCTAAAAGAGCTACATATATGTACGTTGCATGTGTTCGAGAAATGCATATGCTTCTTGGCCAATTGCCCATGATGCAGCCTTGGAATTTTCAACATCTCAGAGCTTTGGATAGCCTAGCTCCTATGGCATAAGACGGGCTCTTTCTCGCAAGGTCTGGCATCGGGCAGCCTTTGCCTTGCGCCACTTGCTGGGCAATGCGAGTTGGATCTTCTGTCGCTCTGTGTGAGCTGGTCGACAGGGTGGGGCCCAGTCTATGCATATTCCGTCATGCATGCCAGCGCATCAAGTGGTGGTCCAGCGCGAAAAAAAAGGACGATTTCTCACCCCCTCCACCCCCCCTCCCATCATCCGAGCTTTCCTTATACTTAACAAGGCGAATCTAATGTCTAATATCTTTGGTTGGATAGATCTCCACATCCAAACGGTCGTTACGAATAGGCCTTGAGAACAACCTTGAGCTGTTTAGCTAGGCTACCCGCTCCCGCAGAACCATTATCATAGGCTCATTGAATTGGATAGCCTCACAGCGGCTCACGTATCCCCCGGATTCTCACGTGGTTGTCGAGTTTCCGTCTTTGTTAGGATCTGGAGCACTGATCCCACCCCGCGAGATACATTCGCTTTGCATATGCTCTGGTGCGACCATCTGCGTGCACCTACCACATCATTCATTGCCAGCTCATCCGCGCATATCCAATAGATTGGATGCACATCCAGCCTACTTCGCGGCTACCTAAGTGATCAAGGGCTATCCCAACGCGTATGCCCAACTGTAGCCAACCCTACAGCCTTTTATCTCAAGGACATCAGGCAACCCAAGCCGAGCTTTGAGCACGGTCTTAGTTTTCATCATCTCAGCAAAGAGCCTGTACCACTAGTATCTTCTAAGTGGCCAACGGATTTTTATTATTAGACCTACCCGCTCGTCTCTGATTCGCATCGCAAGAGGCATCGACGTTTGGGTATTGCAAAATCCCTGCCGCCCCGCGCGTTATCTGTCCCCGATAATGATGGACTACGCGCAATACCAGCAACCACCACAGTCGGCGCATTCTGGTTACACAAATTCTGGTCCTGGGAACAACATCACGTCCCCGACGAGTCACAGCATACATCAACACGGCGTTCAGACTTCGCCAATCCTACCGTCGCAACACCAAACCTCGACGCCGGGACAAGGACACAACATGTACCAAACTCAGTATGGCGTGCCCCAGCAGGGGATGCACTACGGGGTACCCCAGATCCAAGCGGCTGCCATGGCCGCGACCGCTGCCGCTGCCGGTGGAACGGGCTATTCATCATACATGCCATCGGATCCTAGCCTCCCTCAAAATTCGCCGAGGATGACGCCCGGAGGGAAGAAAGACTCGCGCGACCCCCGATCACCTCAGCAGCTGAACAATGTGAATCAACTGCCCGGACGACGTCTGAGCCAGGTCACCAGCCCTGGCGTCCCGAGCGCGCCGATGATGAACCATACCGCCGGCCGTTCCGCCGTTGCACCTCCCCCAATGCCGCCGACACAATCCATGCCTCCTCCTCAATCGCCCGAGATAGCTGCGGGTGCAGAGGAATCCCCGTTATATGTCAACGCCAAGCAATTCCACCGCATCTTGAAGAGAAGAGTGGCCCGGCAGCGCTTAGAAGAAGCATTGCGCCTGACGAGTAAAGGGAGGAAACCTTACCTTCACGAGTCTCGGCATAATCACGCGATGCGAAGACCTCGAGGTCCCGGTGGACGATTCTTAACTGCGGAAGAGGTAGCCGAGATTGAGAAGAATAGGTCCGCAGGCGAGGACAAGGATGGCGGCGTGGGCGAGACGGCACCTGTCAAGGCCGGTTCTAAGAGGAAGTCGGACTCCAATTCCACGGCGCCGAATAAGAAAGCTAAGACGCAGCCGGAGACGCCCGATGATGATGAAGACGATGACGCCGAAGATGATAGCTGAAAGAAGCTTCAAGCCACATGATACTTTGCTTTGTGAGCCGTTACGACGTTACGACAAACTCGATTCTTTAACCTATACCTTTCCATATCCGGTTCCGGGCGATGGGAGCATAGTAAGGGGAGTCATTTTGGGGGGACAGTGTTGAATGGGACTGGTTTCAGTGGCCGGTCGATGCGAGATGCTCTGCGACTTGCAGGTTTCGAAAGTTGACCGGTGGAACATGAATGGGGGGGCGTCAGGACACTCGCTCTCGATTTTCCTAAACCGTTTCTTCGTCGCCCACGCGATAATTTTTCATTCCTTCTTTTTTTTTTAATGCGATTGCATATTTGGCACATTCGGTGGGAAGGATACGGTCTCGGGAAGTCTGAACGGGAGGAAGATTGCATGGAATGAAATGAGACAAACGGATGGATACCCCCTTATTCGCCAGCTCTGGTTGCCGTTGCTTTTATTTTTCCCTTCAACTTCTTCTCTCAGTTTCCCTTTTTATTTAGTTCGTGTCTACTATTTAGGGCGGAGTGTATTTTTGCTCGGACACGCACATAAGTGGTCAGGCTACCAAAGATGTGCAAGGCAAATGGGGTGGCGTTGATTTCAAGAGACAGCTCTGCAGAGGGAAAAAAGAAAAAAGAAACAGAAAGCAAGAAATGATGGTCAAACCCTGCCAAGATTGGAAAAAAAAAAAAAAGAGGAATCTCGCTGGAAACCTGGACCCCCACGCAGGGATGACGGGATGGACATAGATTTCCAATGGTAATCCGTCGCCGGATGATAGGGACAGAGACATAAGGAATACGAAGTATAACTTACACTTCCATATGGTCATGTGTGTTACATTGTTATGCGTAAAATGCCTTTTACGAGTTTAATTTGTCTGTTTTCATGTAGTGTGCATGGTGATTTATTTGATTTGTAGATCAGATCAATTTTTTTGTAGGAATTGGCGATAAAATGAATTGTTGGCGATAAAAAAAGGAATGCAATGGTTTTCAATGATAGTTTAGTCACGTGACATAAATATGACATTGCTCCACTTTTATTTATATGTCTTGGAGGTGCGACTTTGAAGTGATACGTCGAGCAAATCAAACAAGTCGGGCATCGCATTCACATCAAACCACGGTGTAGCATTCGGATTTTTAGACTCCCGTCCAACCCTAGAGGACTCATTAAATTGTCAAGATGTTATTCTTCAGGTACGTTTTCAAATTACATCATTTTTATCTTAATCCCGCGGTTGAGAAAGCGAGGTTCCCCGACCGAAGATATCCCGTTTTCCATTACGAAGTTGGGTGTGATGTAGGAGCGGTGTTGAAATGCCGGGGTTGCTATTTTGCGATGTAGTTGCGCTGGAAGCTCGCGACTGCGCTTGGGCGGGGGGGAGCTGGTCTTGTTGTTGTTCCTGTTTTCGTATTGTACTTTGGGAGTGAGTAAGCGCTGCTCTTTCCCGTGCTTCGTCACGTGAACTCGAGGCGGGAGAGAGGGTGGAAGAGAGAGAGAGATATATAGGAGGGGAACGCGGGAGAGAAGAGAGAAGAGAGAATGAATGAATGGATGAATGGATGGGCTGACTCCAGCACGTATAAACAGTTTCTTCAAGACGCTCATCGACCACGAGGTTACGGTCGAGCTCAAGAACGACATCCAGATCCGAGGCACGCTGAAAAGCGTCGACCAGTACCTCAATATCAAGCTGGATGATATACAGGTTGTCGAGGAGATCAAGTACCCGCATCTGGTGAGTTCCAACTGGGGCGGGTGGGGTGCGCATTGTGTGTGTGTGTGTTTTTCGCCTTTTACTGACTTACCGGCGATAATAAATACAGAGCTCCGTTAAGAACGTCTTCATCCGGGGCTCGGTCGTGCGCTACGTCCATCTCCCTGCCGCAGCCGTAGACGTCCCGCTTCTAGAGGACGCGACGAGAAGAGGTTTGTAGTTACCCCTTGGTTTCTTACTTCATTCCATTCCATTCCGTCTCTCTCCTATTATCACATTTGAAAAGTCAGACTTGCTTGCCTCCACCCCCTCCCCTTCTTCCCCCACCGTGGATTAGCGGGTAAACAATAAGTAAAGACCATACGGCTAACGACCCTCACAGAAGCCGCGCAGCAAGCCGGTAAGGGGAAATGAGCAGATACCGTCCAGGGCATCTAGGACTACCTACCTAGTCGGGAAGAAGGGACGGTAATAATGCGTGTTAATTAGCAGCAAGAACCCCGCTGTCGATATCAACAGGCGGGACCGAAGGCGTATTATTTGACATTACATACATACGTACCTAGGTATGTAGCACAGAAGACGCAGGGGAATGGAATAAACAGGTACTACTGTTTCGCTGGTTCCAGCATGAAGGAGGAAAAAAAACCGGAACCAGGTAACTAGGCCGTTAGGAGACCTGGAAAAGGAAGAAATAATTAGTGTCGTTATGATACCACGGATAGGGATGAAGATATTATAAATATGTGGCTATTAATTATAATCCTCCAATTCCGCCTCGCGATCCCAGCTTAGTCAGTCCCCTGAAGTGCTCAAGAGTAACGATATTCGGGCACCGACTACCTAACCTAACCTAATCTAACCTACAATTAGCTTATATCTTGCCTCGTCTTGCCTCACTTAAACATCTAGGTAGGTAGATAGATACCCTTTTCAGCGGCAGTGAGTCACTACGTACACCAAGCTGCAAAGCACTGATAAACGATCGAGAATCGTTATGTATAAATAATCACATAATATCCTAACAGCACCCCAAAACGGCGAACGATATTTCAGACTACCTACCTACCTACCTATCCATATATTATCCACCAACCAACTAACCTACCACCAAACACCACCCCCCTTCCCATCTCTTCCATCCCAAAGCCCAACCCCCATCCCCATGCCCTTCTCCTCCCTCTTCTCCTTTCCCTCCCCTCCCCCCTCCTCCAAAACCCTAACAACACCCCCCTTCCTCCTCTCCCCAAGCCACCTATCCACCCACCCCTTCATCCGCCTCCGCCCCGCCTCGCTCCCCACGTTCACAGTCGGCACGACCTTCTCCACCCGCAGCGCCATCAGGAACAGCGCCAGCTCGCGGAAGCTGCTGTGCTCCGAGTACGGCACCCCGAAGCACATGGCCTCGCGCGTGCTCCCGCGCTGCGCCGCGAGATCCCCCAGCCCGAAGCGCGGCCGCCAGGCCGGGCCGTGCAGGAGCGCGGTAGTCGGCACGCTGGCGGGGGAGGTGTTAGCGTTGCTTGTAGCAGTGGTGGTGGTGTTTTTCGCAGCGCCCGCTGCGGGTCGGTAGTTCCAACCGCTAGGCCGGAACCCGACGATGCGCGAGAAGTGCGGCTTGTACCCGTCGAGGTACTCCTGCAGCGTCTCGGCGCCTATCTCCGTCAGCATCTGCATGTGCACCTGGGCTTCGAGCGGGTCGCTCGTCATGAGCGCCGCGAGCTCCGGGTCGCCTAGCTGCGAGCAGATTTTGATCTTGGCTGGCGACGCGAAAATCTTGGTCCCTAGCGTCTGCGCGATGGCCTTGCATATGCGCTCTTTGCCGATGGAGTAGGTGCCGCAGATGACGAGGAGGCGGTTCTTTTGAGGGCTGCTTTCTGCTTTGGTGGCGGACGACGAGCTCTTTTCTTCCTTCTTGAAGAATTTGCTGACTTTGCCTTTTTCTGGCTTTAACGTGTCTAAAATTTCGGCTGCATCGCTGTTCTCACCAGATATCAACTTGCAGAATTCGGCACAGGTTGAAATAACGTCGTCTTGTGGAGGGAAGGAGTAGCGAGGGTTGAGGTACGTCGTATCTAAGTAGCAGACGTCGATCTTCTGCTGTTTGACTTTTCCAGAGACGGTATCGATTATCTCAGGTTTTAGCAGTGAATGGTTGACGTGTGCTGGGCAGGCCCGAAAGTCGCCGCAGTGTAGGATCCGCTGCTTTCTTGGATTAGGCCCCTTCCCGATGGTCTTTTCGAAAAGAAACAACGAACTGCCCGGACAATGGTTGGCTGGTATCATGGTGACTGTTACCCCCTCGGTTCCCGGAACTTCAACGGTCTCGTCAAACTCCAGCTCTACTACCCACTTGGCCGCAGTTCGAAGTTGGTTCTTCACGAGACTCCCCGTGACCTTACTGCAGTATATAGGTCCGTGGGACCAATTAGCCGTCAAGCCAATGTAGTGATCGCTATGAAAGTGACTTAGAAAGTAGGCATTGCAGCCTTTCACAGCACCGTATCGAAAGGCATCAACACAGATAGAGAACCCGGGCATAATCTTGTAGAAGGGACATGTTCGTTTGTACGCAGGTTTGCCGCGGGACGCGTGTTCCGCAGCTGCGGCCGAAGCCCATGCCGCATCCTCGGCGTGTCCCGACATCAGCTTGCTAAAAGCCGAAGTAGGTTTATTTGCCGTGCTTCCGATACTGATCGGGTTGGCTTGACCGGGCCGCGGCACGGCGGCTTTGGCAAACCGCTTGCTGACCTGAGGTGCATCTACCGTTTCTAAAGGCGTCTGAATTTCCGGCTTCGGCTTCGGCTTCGGAAGAGGTATCGGGTTACCATCTAGACAAGCATTTACGTGGACCGTTGCCTGATCCGGAGTAATACCAGCCAGATTCGCATTACACAACGGACAGCATTCTACGATTCCTTCGGTCTCCTGAAATTCGCCCATGACGCCATCGGAAGTATAGTTTCCTGCCTCTTCAGCTTCGAGTCGCGCCTGTTCTTCCATATAACGTCTTTCCCGGAATTCTTCGCCATCGGCATACTCCTCAACGTCGTCAAATAGCCCTTCTACATCCTCAAGGTCTTTAAATTCTTCATATACAGACTCTCCTTTATTAAGGGGTGGAATATCTGGGGTTTCCGGGCAACTCTCGTCCACCGGTAGGTTCGGTACGGGGACTACATCCAATTCTGCGGTTTCATTTTTTATTTCGGGTGAGGCAGCAGTTGTCCCAATATCCGTAGTATCTTTCGATGGCGAGGACTCTATATCATCGTCTTCGCTATCGGAATCGATTAAAAATGGAACCTTCCTTCGAGCTGGCTTTGTAACCGTCCGTTCTAATACCGTTGGCCTCGCTTGATCGGATTCTTCACTCCGCGTGCTCTCCGAGTTTTGTGGTAGAGTTTCGTTTCCATCATGGCTTAGTTTTCTCCGTTTAGGAGATCTCGCCTCCTTTTCAATGTCCTGGGATATGCCTTCATCTCCGAATAGATCCTCGTCGACCTTCGGTGGAGGCGGCGGCGGCGCAACGTTGGGGATAGAAGCGGACGTATTCGTAGGGCCGGCGCAGAAAAGCTGTTCTTCTACTTCAACCTTTTGGAAGAAATTCAATATATTTCCATTTGCTGGTGGTTTTTTCTTCCCAATGGGCGTCTTTCCACCCTTGCCGTTCGCTGCAGAGCCGAAGTTTAGCTTCGACTGCTTTCGAGGGGTCATTGACTTTGTCAAGGCGGACATTGCGAGGAATAATTTGGCGCAGACTTTGCGCAATCGAACATATCACCAATTCGTCTACGGTAACAGCGTCGCAAGTTCGAAATGTGAAAAATTCATGGTAGATTTATTAGGTAAATAGACAAGATTGTAGATTTCTTTGGGGGACAATTGTAGGTATTAAAGGTGCTAAAAGTGCTAAAAGAAATGTTACCCCTCGAGTAATGACACCCACTTTTGACGCGACCGAAGGAACTCATTTACGCGTTGTCACTTGACAATTACACTTACTAATAAGGTACCTACCTATAATTAACCCAGATCTCTTCGGTATACTTTTAAGTGTGTATAAGTGCGAATAATTATAATTTCACAGTATCGAATAACACATTTGATAAAGATAAATATATATATCATGTAATGGGAATAGTTATTAATACTTTCGCCTATAACGCCATGCTATCGATCATTCCACGGTATCGAAAATCATACTTAGTCTCATCCAGCCCTCACTCCGTGAGGATGTCATCACAATCCCACCATTGACCTGAGAAGTGCCCACTCTAACTATATACATAATATTTGCCCGAATTCAAAGCGAAGTGCGTCCATTTAGCTTGACGAAGAATCCTTAGGGCTCTTTTCGTTCAGAGTTTGCTCTTCTATCGTATCGCTGGGCGCGCCGTTCGAATTGGAAGGTAACGACCTGTCTACCCCTTTTTCATGCTTTAGCGAGTTGACACTACTAGGGGCGTGACCCTTGAAGTAGTTGTAGATCTCGTGAGTGTAGTCCTCGTCGTCTTCAAGCGGGGCCGCAGACTCCGAATCGCTACCAGCTCTAGCGGCCTCTCTTTCTTCCCAGTCCGCGCGCATGTCCCTAATCTTGGCCTTCATGTCCAAGTCGGGGTGATAGTTCTTTCCGACACCAGTCCATCTCTCCCAGAGCGAAAGATGTTGAGGGTGAATAGCAATGCCATGATACTCGTTCTCGCGGCCATCGAGGATATATTGCCACCGGCGCTCCTGCTCCTTAAGATCAAGACCGGTCGTATCGGGGAGCCAAAGTAACGTGATGAGCATGCCAGCAAGACCAAACCAGGGAACGACGTAGAACTTGGTTCGGGTATCGATATAGTTATATAGCACGGAAGCCAAGAGAGCACCGGCCTTTCCAATCATGGCCGAAAACCCGTGGGCGCTGGCTCGAATCTGAGTGGGGAAGACCTCTCCGGCGACAAGGAAGGTAACCGAATTGGGCCCGAACTGGTTGAAGAAGGACGACAGGAAGTACATGGCCTGGAAAGCGTGGATCCCGGCCGGACTGCTGTAGTAGTCGTAATGAAACGCCGGAACCACGAACATGACGAAACACATCAGGAAGCCAACCTAGGTAAATGTTAGTGGCACATACGAAGACAGGGAAATAGTGGATAAGACTAACCTGTTGCATAGTTTTCCTGCCATACATTTTGTTGTCGATCAGCATGGACGCAGCGTAGTAGCCAGCAAGCGAAACGACAACGTTGACCAAGTTCCATGTCCACGTGGTCATGATCGATTCTGGGTTATCAGAGATAACTTTGATAAATTGACCTAAAGCCGTGTAAGCTTATGCAGTCGAAGAGTCAGGTTGGCGTGGGGACTTACTTTGGAAGAGCTTGTTGCCATAGAAGAACACGTCGTTACAAAACCACCCACCGGCGGTGGCTAGTAGACGTCCGCCAAAGTTACCGATTGTCAACTTGAGAGATCGAACATCGTATCCCGTCACGTTCGACTTCTTCTTGGCCGCCTCCAACTGTTTGCTGGCAGACTTCATTTTCCAAGTACGATAGTAGGCCAACCACAAAGTGCCGATAGCTGGGAAAGCAAAGGACAAGCGGAAGGCGTACTGAGCAGCAGTTGCGGAGTAGGGAGGGTTACCGGAACCGCGGTTGAAAATCACCAATAGTACGATGAGTACGACTTGGTTGACAAATTGACCCCAGCCTTGCATCAAAAATGCCATCGTGACTTTGCGACCACGGTGGAGACGATCATCTCTGGTTGACAATCTGCCGGCAGTAACAGCATTTTCCATGGACGATGTGGCTGTGATGGGGTATTCACCACCAACTCCGATACCTAGTATCGCACGTGTTAGCCCTCACGATATCTAAAGGGCGCGCAAATTGCAGGTTCGAGCATTCTTACCGTAAACGAATAGGGACCATGCGTACATGATAACCCAACCTTGGAGTGTCGTACCCCAAGATCCGGTCAACATGAGAAGACCGAGTAGCATAACCAAGGCGTCTTGTATCAAACCCCATCTGCGGCCAACCCAATCGCCAATGATCTATAAAAAGAAGCTATTAGTAACATTCCCCTATTTCAGTCCATGAGGATTTGGTGGAAAAGACAGATCTTACCCCGACAAAGACTTGGCCGACCATGATACCAATAATCTCGAGGTAGGTCACGGCGGCCACCCAATTCTTAGTACACTCAGTACCCGCCTTACCCCAGCAGGTTCCCCACACGCTCTCAAAGAGAGGCTCTAGATTTCCGATGGAGAAGAGAACGTAGCCTTCCAAGCCCAGTCCGGCACCGGGTAAAATGGCGTTCCGGAAGTACCAAGAGACCGGGCTGAGAGGATCTTCTTTGACCATGGCCCAGATATTTTTGGCTTCCTCGGCGCTTTCAGCTCGGTCGACCTTGCTAACGAAAGACCAGCGCTTCCAGAAGGGTAAGTCAGCCCAGTAGACGCCATCAGTCGTATACGAGTCGTCAGGGTGCGTTAGATGCGAGAAGATTTGCCTCTCGTAATCGGTAGCGTAGCTAGTAGAAGCCCCTCGAGGGTAGTGCTGGTGCTCGTCACCCGTCTCGGGTCCGTGAGGCACGGGTATTTCTCCTATCGGGGGATCATGTTCGTGATGACGGCGAAGAAATTTCGCCATGGCTTAACGGATAGGAATGCGGAGAAGAAAGGAGTAGAGTAGGACAAGTGAGGTGAGGTATCCCGAAGGTGTTGGGCGCTTAGTAAAGTATATTCTATTAAGCTTTTGTTATAAACTTGGCGTAATGAGGTTGCGTCGTCTTGGCTTTAGGGGAATTAGTGAAAAAAAGTTCTGTAAAAATAGGCACGCGACTAGGTTAGTGAAGTCTGTGTGGCGTTTCCCCAGATGTACGTATCAAGGTACGGGAAAAGCAACTTGAGCACGAATATAGTGCAGTTGCAAAAATGGAAGAAGCAAAATTTATAACTTTTGGGGGAGGAGAAGGGCCAAGCCCACAGTTATATAAAATAGGAACGACGAGTTATTAAGCAAGAAAAATTGCTACGGAGGTACCGTGGCGAGCTTCCTCACGAAGGGTCGTGTTTCAATCGATCAGAGATGTTACGATTCGGTAGAGATTAATAGTATTAGACCAGTGGACTTACATGGTAGAGTTGGATAGACTAGGTAGTGTAGACTGTACGGACTAGGTAGTACTGGGGCACGATGGAGATGCTTGGCTTCTGACTGGCAAGCTGCAATCCCTCGCAATCCCCCACAAAGCTGTAGGTATTCCGTATAGGGGACCGAACTTCTTTATGTACCATGCGGGTCTACCATCCTGTCTAGCATCCTCTTGGCGATGGGGCTGCATCCATCGCCTGCGTCAGCGACTTAACTGTGGGCACGCGAGCGACAAAAACAGGATATAGATGGAGAGAATCCATCATAGTAGGTTCTTTTCTCATACCAAGTTTCAAGAGCAATCCAATGCCGACCCGTAATAGACCACACGTGTGTAATCATAATATAGAAAGTGATTGTTGAGCGTAATCCTAAAGTGACAGCTGAAATAGCGATGGGATTTTCATTCGTTGACGTAAAAAGGGCTAAAAAGAAGCGAGTTACGCCTCGCAAAAGATGCTCAGGCAGTTCAGGAACTATCAAGTTACTATGTAGATGTTAGCTTGAGAAAGATATCTCTGGATCTGGAGGCGACGATAGATGAACCAATCAAAAGCGAGAATTGGACCACGTTTCTTTCCTAAGCCAGATGATTCGGCAGAGGTCCCTGCAAGACGCTAAGGAAGGCGATATCCTCCCGACGGGGACAAGTACCAGCGCTTAGAAAATAGGCCTGTTTGGTACACGAGATATAGCCAGGGGTATAGGCGGGCCGAAGTTTACTCTTGACGTTATGGACAAGGGTAATCCAAGAGGGTGACGGTGACCGAATGCGCTGGACCTGCCGAGGAAAGCACTAAGCCGAGCCCCCTCCGGTTCTAGTAACAAACCTACATAGTAGTACCGAGAGGTGGTTGGTCAAAAATAGTTTTCTCACTCTCAACCTGTCTTGACAAACGTGTGAGTGTACTATGCTAGGTATGTATGTGTTGCTTAAGCTACCTAAGCTTTTCCTCGGCGCTGCACGTAGGCTGCTTGGCTGCAAGAAACATCGCCAAGTTGCTAGGCGAGCAACCATTTTTCTAGGCAATACACCTCAACAGTCTCGACCAGAAGGGACTTTACCCGAATTCGCAAGTGGTCGTGTGATCTCTTGCAATTTCTGTCGCAACCGCAGTTAGCTATATATGCTGTGCGCCGAGATATATTCGTTTATGACAGTTTGGAATATGTCACGGCATGGGAACCAGAACAACATTAGCCCTTACATAGTGGGGTCTCTCTCACTTGGGTGCTACTTCGTATATACTATATACTGTGCAGTAGGCAGCTTATTGATGAATACCTAGGACGAATAGCACAGTACATAAGCAGATAGCCTAATTGAGAAGCTGAAAAAGAGGCGGTTGTTGATACGGATGTCTCCGACGATAAGATAAGTTGAGGCGTGGGTTGCGTGGGTTGCGGGCGTGCTCTCGTTGCTTTTTCTTCATAGTTCCTTTTTTCCTCATACGACATCTCAAAGTTCAATGTGACAACTGACAAGAACTGGTGATATGAGCATTGCTAAGCTTACCTCTTATTAGTTGCAATTGATAATCGGTATTCTCAATCCGTTTACCGGGGATATTGAGGCGTCAGCTTGTGGTTCTAGAATTTGCTTTAGAATTTACTGTTAACTACGGAATACATGCATTATAGTTCTATATGTATTTTGGAGGTGCAACATCGAAGTGGCAGAGTTGGTTGTCTCGCTGTTTGGGTAAAGTGGCTTATCGATAAAGATCAACTAGTTATAGAAAAGAATTCCGAGTTTCTAAGATTGAATTGACAGCACGTGAACACGGGTCACCACATTTCGCGATCAGACGCGCTGTCAGACCCCAAATCTCGGTATGTAATCTCGGTATGTAACAGATTAGATAGCTTATACGGTACACTTCCGCTCATCCCCTATCTGCACGTCGTGATTTTACAAGAACATAAGAGATATTTGCACCTACACATGTCCGCTCACCTTGATTTATACCTGTAAAATCAACAAATTCATATACAACGATGCCTCCTCGCCAGTCATCTCGGCTTAAGAAAGTCATTGCTGATACTACCGCCAATATCAGCGCCCCTGCTAACGGGACATCAAAAGCCAAGGCTATAAAATCCAAAATCGCCGAAGAAGACGATAAGGACGAATCATCTGCTGCTGTCGAGGAACCCAAGTCCTCCAAGAAACGAAAGGCAGATAAGATCGAAGACGAAGAAGAGGACCAGGCCGAGGACGAGCCTGTCGCCGAGAAACCCAAAGACGGGAAGAAGCCCAAGACTGCCGCCAAGGCAAATACTGAAGATCTAATGGCCCTCGCCAAGCGCACCATAATCGACACTCTTAAGAAGTCTATGTACATTGGTGCACACGTCAGTAGCGCGGGAGGTTTGTGACAACTCAAGCTCTTAACTATCATATCTCATTCCAAGCTCACATCTATCCCCCAAAGGTGTGCACAACTCCGTCAACAACGCCGTCCACATCGGCGCCAACGCCTTCGCCCTATTCCTCAAGTCCCAGCGCAAATGGGCCAACCCTCCCATAGCGCCCGAAGCTGTCGACGGGTTCCGATCCCTGTCCAAGCAGCACAAGTTTGAAGTCCACAAGCATTGCCTTCCGCACGGCTCTTATCTCGTGAATCTAGCCCAGGCGGAGAAGGAGAAGGCCGATCAAGCGTATAGCTCGTTTCTAGACGACCTGCAACGCTGCGAGTCGCTTGGCATCAAGCTGTATAACTTCCACCCGGGAAATACCAATGGCGATTCTAGATCTGCGGCTATCGGCAGGATAGCGACGCAGCTGAACAAGGCACACAAGGCGACGAGCACCGTTATAACCGTGTTGGAGAATATGGCTGGACAGGGCAACGTCATTGGTTCCAAGTTCGAAGACCTGCGAGATATTATCGAACTCGTAGAGGATAAGAGTCGTGTTGGAGTTTGTATAGATACGGTAGGAATCTTCCCATATCACCCCTATTAAACAGGTATTCGCCCGAATTCAGGCACAGGGCTAACGTCAGACACCGCAGTGCCACGCCTTCGCCGCAGGTTACGACCTCCGCGCCCCAGAAGCCTTCGAAGACACCATGTCCAAATTCAACAGCATCGTCGGCGCCGAGTACCTCAAGGCCTTCCACATCAACGACTCCAAAGCGCCCTTCGCCTCCCACCGCGACGTACACGCCAACATCGGCACCGGCTTCCTCGGCCTGCGCGCCTTCCACAACGTCATGAACCACGCCGCCTTCCAAGGCATGCCCATGGTCCTCGAGACCCCTATCGACCGCAAGGGCCCCGACGGCAAGTCCGTCGAGGACAAGCAGGTCTGGGCCGACGAGATCAAGCTGCTCGAAAGCCTCATCGGCATGGACCCCGAGAGCGACGAGTTCAAGGCTCTCGACAACCGGCTCCAAGCCGAGGGCGCCAGCGAGCGTAGCAAGATCCAAGATCAGGTCGATCGCAAGAGCGCCAAGGATGCGAAAAAGGCAGCCCCCAAAAAGGCCGCCCCCAAGAAGCGAGGCAAGAAAAAAGCCGCGGCTTCGGACGAAGAGTCCGAATGAATGAAGCGTCAAGATGTTTGTCTCGGTTATACTAGGCTAGGTAGGGTCTGGACACTCTTTGTAAGGAACATTATTGTATTGATCTAGAAAATTGCAAGGCGTATTGGGGGGGTATGGTATGTAAGCATGTAAAACAAGTACCTAATTCTACGCGCAACGCAACGCGGTGGTATGAGAAGTAGGATAGGTAGGCAGTTAGTTCAATAAGAACCGAACCGATTCTATCCGCTACCATTTCATACCATTCCGTATCGTATAAAGTGCCATGCGCTCCGATCCCAACCAAATATCATAAAAGTGGGAATATAACCGCTGCCGCCGCCCTTCCATCCGCGCTCCGGAAACGGAAATGGAAATGGAATCCAGTAACGCCTAGTGATGATGATGCAAAGTCGTCGTGCAAGCGTTAACAATACTCATCGTCGCTCCTCCGTCCTCCATTCTCCATTCTCCATCCTTCATCCCTTCTAATACGTATAAAATAAAAATAAAAAGGGAGAAAAAAACCAACCACCAACTCAAACAGTCAAGTGAGTCAGTCAATCAATGCCGCCGACTCCTCGCCATAGCCTCCACCCTAGCCATCAACCCCCTCAACCCGACGCCCTTCTCGCAGTTCCCTTCCAACCACTTCTCCATGCGCTCCCTGACCCTCCTCATTCCCCTCGCGACCGGCATCCGCCGCGCCTCCTCCGCCTCGACGTGCGCCCCCGGGTTGAGCAGCAGGTCGAAGCACTCGGCCCAGATGTCCGTCTGCCAGTACCTCTTGAGCGGCTCGCGCACCTTGTACCTGCGCGCCGCGGACAGTCCGCGCTCGCCCGAGTCCGCGCGCACCGTCTCGATGTACTTGCCGAAGAGCAGCGTGTGGATCGTCCCCGCTAGGCCGTGGTAGTCGAGCTGCCAGGTCCACGGGCGGCCCTCGCGCACCTCGGCGCAGTCGTGCTGGTCCGCGCGCCAGTCCGCCACGAACTGCACGTCCGGCTCGAACGCGCGCATGTCGATGCCGCGCCCGAAATCGATCAGCACCACGCCGCGCGCGGCCCAGCCCGCCGACCCGTCTGCTCGCCAGGGGCCCGAGGGCGGGGCGGTGTCGTCGAGGCGGAGCAGGCAGTTGTCGGGCTTGAGGTCGCCGTGCATGATTTGCTTCGAGTGCAGGGCTTCGACGGTGCGCAGGAGCTCGATGCTGAAGAACATGGCGAGGGGCTCGTCCATGGGGCCTTTGGACGCCTCGCAGAAGAAGTTGACTACGTCGAGGAGGGTGCCGTGTTGGTGGAACGGTAAGAATAGGAATCCCTCGTCTTGATATAGGTGTAGCTCGTGCGCGGCCGAGATGGACGCTGTAGCGCGGTGGTGCGGGCCTAAGCGTGCAGCTGAGAGCCGCATCATGTGGAATTCCCAAGCCGTAGGCGGGTGCTCCATCTTCAGAGCCTCGAGGGTAGCGCGGCGGGATGTGGCGAAAACGCCTTTACCCATGGCGACGGGGGCGTTTTCGTCGTTTTCGTCATCTTCCGGCGACGAGTTCTCGACGAGATAGACAGGTGCGAATGCGCCAGCGCCCAACTCCCGCTTCACGGTATACTCGCCCATGATTTCGGGAAACTCGAGGACGACCGGAGTGTGAATAGTGCCGGTCTTTTCGCTATCTCTCTTGCCTCCCGACTTTGCTACGGCTTTGACGAACTTGCGGATTTCGGCACCCTTATCGCATCGCTCGGTCCGATGATCATAGAATCCAGAATACGAGCTCAGCGATGGGCGCATATGCGTAAGGATTTCCTCTCGAATAGCCGTATCAACAGGGTTGCACATGGGTTCCTTAATAATTGGTCCCTTCTGCACCTCCTTTGCCTTCCCTTGGTTAAGAGGGGTTGCAGTTGTCGTTGTCTTGAGCTTTTTAAGAAGAGGTTGAGCGACCTTGGGGGGAGATCGACGCTCACTAAGAACTTCCCGCAGAGGACTACTCAACGGCTCGAAGTCTTCGTCGTCTTCCCCATCCTCATCTTCATCCTCCTCCGGTAAGTCGATATCGCCGCTGGGAGTCTTCGTACCGTCATAACGCGGTTTTGCTCCCGTAACTAGGCCAAGAGAAGATTCTGTGCGTTCCGTGATAGGTGTCATGAACGGGAGGCGGTTGTTAGCCACCTCGGCCGGGTCCCTATACGGCCGTGTAGGTGCCTCGTAATCTTCAGGTGGTATAGGAATGAATCTTGTCCTTGGAGGAGAGTCCTCTGGTGTGCCAGCATCGTCCTCTCGAGGATCCTTGGTGTCAATAAGGTCCGACATCTCTGAGTCGCTTTGCTCTCCTTCGTCCTCCTCCTCATTATCGCTCCTGCCGTCTAATTTCGGGACGTGCTTCTGCACCGTAAACTCAGACCATTCGCTCACGCTCTTGTCATCAGGTATCTCATCGTCATCACCAGCCTCACTGGTCGAAATCCGTCTAGTAGTATTGACGCTCTCTCCACCACTAGTATAATCGTCGTCTGTCGTGTATTCTTCCTCTTCGCTCTCCTCGGCTTCCTCCTCTTGAGCAGGCTTGAGAGGAGCGTTGAAGATATCATAAATATCATCAGTTGCCGCCCTAGTGTGCATCGTCATAGTAGGCTCGGAATTTGCACCGTTGTTTTTCTTCTTCTTTATTTTTGGTCCTGAAGGTGAGTCCAGCTTTGCTTTGACTGCGAAGGAATTAGCGATTTTGTTATTTGATTGATAGAGTAGAGAGAGATTCTTGGGTAGGTGCGGGATGAACTGACTGATTTGGGTCTCGTTATACTCCATCACTTTCTTCTTTTTGCTTTTTGCAGGCCGTGAGCTTTCCTTGATTGCCCCGTTCTCGTCCAGCTCTACTACATCTTGGTGAACTACTAATTTCTCTGCGACCTGGTTACTGAGCATATCTACTTCCGAGCCTTGCCCAATAATCGGTTCTTGTAGTTCGTCTGCAAAGCTGTCGTCCTCCCAGGACACATCGAGCCAACCCTGATTCGCGGCCCAAAGTTCTTCGAAAGAAAGTTCGGTTCCGGGTTCCTCCGGAGTTGGATAAACAGCATCTAGGTTAACAAAGACACGCTCTCTTTTCCCGCTTTGAGGGTTCACGATTACTTGATGCTTAGACGGGGCAATGACAATATGAGAGTCTGCTATTCTAGACAAAGACTAAATATACACAATCGCACAATCGCCACAAATTAGTCCTGTTTCCATCAACAAATAGGCATTGCCGCATAGGGATGGAAGTTTTAACTTACAGGATCCCGAAATATAGCCATCTTCGGACCATTGCTCTTCTTCACCTGCGTCGTCAACGTTTCTCCCGCCCAAGGCTTAGCCTCCACCATATTTTCCTTCTTACGGTCCCCCAATGATCCTATCGTATCCCACCCCTTGGAGCCCTCTCCCATCTTTGACATTGCGCTAGGCTCAGCATCAGCATCTAAGAATATTGTGAGCTTAGTCTTTGCAGGCTTTGAAGATTGACCGCCGACACCCATGTTTGGTCTCGGGGCTTGAGGGTCGGCTGGCCGTGCCGGAGCAGCGAAGGGGTCAATCTTGGCTACTAGTGCAGGTCGGACTGTAGGTATTGCTGGCGACGACGGGGCATTTCCCGCGTCGGGTTGTGCTGCTCGTCTCTGCTCAAATTCGCCAAATTTGCGAACTAATCTCTGTACTGGTCTCGCATCTCGCTCGATACCCAGCTTATATACTTCCTCAGCTTGCGCCCAGCGCCCTGCGCTCTCCAGCCAGGCAGCGTATTCCTCGTAGAACAGGGCTAGTCCTTCGCCAATGCTATGGCGTGATAGGAAGACATAAGTTTCCCTGGGAGAGTCGGAGAAGAATCTAATATATTGAAGCCAGAGCTTTAGATACCTCGGATCATTCTTGTACTGGGCTGATCCAATGAAAGTTTTGGTAGCGCGTTCCAATAGAGTGTGTAGTTGTGATTGGGGCGTGGCTTGTGCTGATGGATATGCGTCAAAAGTCCAGCGAACATATCGGTCGAAGACGTCGAGAGGGTCGTCTGACTCGGAAATGTTTGCGATCTCAGCCTCGTACTCGGCCCTGATGCAATCGTTGATGTTCTTGGTATCCGACGGTGTGGGTGTCGAAAGTTTGTGTAAAGGCTGTAAAGGGGAAGGCGAAAAGGCTTCAACAAGCTTCCTTGCCGACCGTCCCCCGGGCAAGGATTGAATATTTTCCTTCTGCCCCTCGATTATATCAAAGTCGATGAGATCGCCGGCGGCCATTTTGGTACTGAGATTAGAAAATGGCGATAATGGCGAGCCTCAGTTGTAAGAACCTGTGTCGTTAGTATTATTCGATGTTGTACAAATTTGAGAAGATCAACCCGCGAAGACGATGGCGTGGAGTAATCAATCTAATAAATAGATCAATTAGAGTTATTCCTTATCGCTTGTTGACTGTTTTGATTGCAAGGTTAAATGCCATCGTTGCTCTGACAACGATAAAATATGGGGTTTATCCCGGTAATTAAATTAAGCGAACGGTGGAATTCGCTAGGTACCTAGGTACGAAGGTTGGGGCCAAAAGTCTTGCACATGTCCAAATCTTGGCATCGATTTTCGTACGTCTTTTAACTTATTAATACTATATCAGCCACACGCTAAGCTGAAGGTCGGATAGTGGCCTGTCCACTGAATTCAGGTGGCTTACCACTATATTTATAGCGACTGCAGCCACTATTACTTAAATAAGGCCGTGCAGTCTCTTTCTGCTCGCACGTCGCTTTGCCAAGCTTAAATGTGCAAGACTTTCGGCCCCAACCTTCCAACTACACCAACCACACATCAATATACAAGTTTTGGTAACAGTTTCTCTCTAGATAACTTCATCTCTCCAACTCAAACCACTCCCCTCAGCAGTATAGTCTTCAAGCCACCATCGGCCAGAACGACTCTTCCAGCACCAAGACTTTCTTGAAGATTGCCATGGAGCCTGCGGCGATGACTTCTTCCGGATCCTCATCCTGACTAGCTGCATAAGCATCCAGGCACTCCTGACACTCCTTCACAAAAGCTTGGAACTCCTCGGAGGTCCAGTTAGGGATGAACTCCTTTCTTAAAGCCCCGCCGTCGAGATCCTCCTTCGTGTCTGCATTCGCCGAAGCCTGTTGCTTTGCGTATGTCCAAGAGTCAAGGTAAGCCTTCTCCGTAGTCCAAAGTACCACCAGCCCATCCAAGAGAGTCTTGGATAAATCTGCGTTAGGTCTCGCAGAGAAGGAGTCGAACAGGTTGATGTAGTCCTTGGTCACCTTATTAGGTCCGAATGCAGCCGACTTATGTGATAGATTATCTCCTTCCGCCACAGGTCCGAGAGCTTCGAGGTCCAACCCATATTTCTTGGCAGTCTCTTCGAAAAAATTTAGTTCCCTCGTGACTCCTAACATAGCAGTCTGCAATAACGACAATATTCGCCATTGTAGCGTCTTCGAGGTTTCCTGTCCGTCGATCTTGGTTGGTAGCTCAACGCGGGATATCAGTCCTCCCGCAAAGCGGATATAAGCCTGAGCATAGAGCCGATCTTGAGATAGCCACTGACAGAGCACGTCTGGGGGAAGCTGGCCCTCACCAGCAAGGCTGAGAAACTGGGATTGCGTAGCTCGTTCATAAAGATCGCCTACCTCAGGGCTCGAAAGCAGATATTCTGATATAGGTAGTTTAGCCATGATGATTTAGCGTGGCTTTAATACGTTTACTTCGCTAAATATTTAAAACCTAAAAGGTAAAAGACTTGAGTAAAATAATTTTAAGCAATAACTAGATTAGGGATAGACGCTTTTATATAGCACTCTGCGTGCAACTGTTCAGAAGCCTACCTACCTACAATACATTGGTTCAAACAGTAAAGGTTACGTAAAAGTGCAATCATTCTACGCTAACGTTCCATTGAAGAAACCGTTGATATTCGGCAGAATCATGGTTTACAGGTTTATTGGCTTATATTATATAGATGAGAGCCTCTATTCAGATCTCTAGGCCACTTTGAAGGCATTCGTCGAACCCAGTAGAGGTGTATAGAATATAACAACCTTATCAATCATATACTCCAGGAGAATGACTCGTTCAAAATACAAAAACAAGTTAGCACGAATTTATGACATTGCCGAGCATAATCTATAAGTAAATCATTGCCATAATTAGGATGGCGGGATTTAAAATAGCTAGCAAATCATCCGTTCTAAGCACATCTACCCACATCTAGGTATAGTAGCTACTCTATAACTTCACATTTCAGCCCATGACTCGTAACGATTATTATTGTTATCGTTCTAATGAATGATTAACACGTGTATCAGCCTTAAGGCCGATAGTGCTTGTAAATTCACCTGATTAGTGCACTACTCCCTTCGCGCACGTCTGTTGTTGTACAGTTCGCAACCTATGGATTTCTGCGATACCTCAAATCTGACCTACCCATGGGTTGTATTCTCGATATATCAAGTCACTACACCCAAGGGTAAAAGGGCAGCACAAGCCCCTTTTCCGCCATTACCATGCTCCTACTTCAAAATTCTCCTATATATCATAAGTTAGAGCTGACTAATTGTCTTAGAGAAAAGGGGGCGATTACCTCTGGGAAATACGTCGTTACGACTGTACGGTCAGCAAATTTTCGGCCTGCGAGGGCTCGCAGAGCATTCTTCGCCGACTCAGTCGTATCATATTTGACGTAAATCTTCCCAACTCCCGCGGATTGTCGACTACCACCAGTAGGTCGCGGTACTTTAATATCCAGCACACGGCCAAATTTGGAACATTCCTCTTGGACATCCTCGCATATTTCTGTTTAAAATTAGCACGCTCAGATATACAAAATGGAGCGAGGCATTTACCTTGATAATCGTCGTTGTCCATTAATTCCTCTGGGGTCACCATGTTGAGTAACTGCAGCACCCGAGTCTCCTCTGAGTCGTTGGCAGTGGTGCCTGCGAGCATAGACATGGCGTTGACACCCATCTCAACACCAGCTACTTGGGTGATCCCTATGCTAGCTTTTCGCACTTTGAGATTCTTGTCGCCGATAAGCATATTATTTAGACCCTGAATCGCGATGTCCGTCGCGGCAGGATCCACAAATTCGCAGAATGCGATGCCCTACTGAATGTCAGTCTTCAAAAGCCCAAGTAATTTTGCACATCGTGCATGACTTACGCGAGATTCTTCCGTTCCCGTATCCTTGACCAAGGCCAACGCTTTAAGCTCGCCAAATGAGGTCAGAAGCTCCATAACTTGCTCTTCGTTGAGATAAGGGGGCAAGTTTGTGATGCTAATCTTATTGGGGGTATCAACGACGACGTTAGAAACGACACCAGGTTTATACGGGGTCTCTTCAACAACGGCAGGCACAATGTAGTCCTTCGGTCGTTGTATTTTTAAGCCATGCCCGCTCCCATTAACCGAACCATTCGTAGCATCCTCTGGCTCCATCGAGATACCATCGAGAGCAAGAGCAACAGTAGCTTCAGAAGCGTGTCTAAATTCAAGAAGGGCGAATGACTGATCCTTGGATATTTGGCATAGAACACAGGGATCGGTGCTCTCGACAACATTGAGGCCGTTTAACTGAAGGTTGAAGAAGCCCATGATACTCTCCTCGGTCGAACCCGGAGGAATATTGTAGGCGATAAGTCTCTTGCTCTGTCGGGAATTGCCTGGTTTCAATGCCGCGCTGTTCACCGTTCCACCTGGTTGATTCATAAAAGCCTGTAGCTTCGTAGGATCCATGGGTTGTTGTCTAGGCGCTCCGGGGAGAGGGAACATTCCGGATAGCTTAGCTTGTTCAGCAGTGACATTCTCGTAGCCGGGGGGTTTGATATCCCACTGTGTCATACGTCGCTTGCGCTCTAGAACAGGAACAATATCGGTCAGATCTGGCGTCGGCTCCCGCTTCTTAGGTGGCGGTGTCGGACTACGCCCTCGTCGATTCTGGGCGAAGAGGTCTTCATCTCGCATCCGATCAATCCTTTCGCGATCCCGTCTATCACCACCAGCGCCGCCGCCGCCGCCACGCCTCTCTTCGAACAAATCGCGGTCGCGTCGAGGAGGTCGAGCAGCTTCCTCGCGACGACTGTCTCTCCTCGAGCCCCGGTCGCGATCCCATTCTCGGTCTCTACGATCTCGGCCACCTCCGTATCGATCTTCGCGCTCGCGGTCTCGATGGCTTCGACTAGAAGCATACGCATCCTCATCCCTAGCATCACGATGCGACCGACGGGGCGATCTACTTCGTCTTCGGTCTCGTCGATCACCTCGGTCTCGGCGGTCATCGCGAGGATAATCCCGAGACGAGCCGTGACGGGCGTCTAAATTTAATGATTCTATCAGCTTCCCTTCAATTGTAACAGTAGAAAATCGAGATAGTCACTCCTTACCTCGAGAAGAATAGCTGTCGCCGTTCATAGTATCGACTTAGTCTCCTATGTGTGTATGCAGTTCGAGATAAATAGGAGATGAATAATTCTTAATCGGGAATGAAAAGGGCGACAAAACAAGGCAGGGGAATTGAAAGAAATGTCGAGCTGTAATTGCATGGCGGTAGGATGAAGCTGTTGACAGTGGAGCTGCAGCGCGGCTGGAAAATAGAAATTTTGGCTGGCCCAGAGTGGAGCGCAGTATGTGTGACTAATCCGTATTAGGCTTAGTGGTCATAGATTTAGCAGATAATAGGCCCCGCTTTCCCTTTTAGGGATCTTTCTGTAAAAATAATGGGCAATCAGGAGGCGAAACGCTAAAGTCCCTATAACAACTTGCATTAGACAACTTTTAACGTTAGTTTTAGTGAACATTTGTAACTCATATAATATCGTCCATTTCCCTAATAGATGGCTCCTATACGCGTATCAGAGTGGCGGAAACTCCCCCTTAACTTAACTGACCTCTGCATCGAAACAACTCTTCGTTGTGGGCAATCTTTTCGATGGCGCAAAATAGATGATGAATGGTATGTTGCCTCATGATCGAGTACCCCAATTAGTATTAATGTATCATCAGGAATTGTGTCCTTTATGGACGACTGCTCTCATTAAAGCAGGATAAGCATTATCTTCACTACAAAGTAGTTTCATCAACTGCTATTCCATCAGCGTTGACACCCCCATTATCCACCAAAGATGAACACGATACCATCAATTATGATGATACTGAAGCTCTTCTTAGACACTATTTCAGTTTAAAGCATGACTGTAGGTACATCTCAAATTCAAGGATAATTGGTATTTTGTTACCACCAAGAGCATATAAATGTCTCCTATTTCCAATAATACGGTAAAGGAACTAGCCGTTGGGTAAAACTTAATATTAACAACTCTCAATTGCTCATATACTAATTCGAAACGCTACAGCAACGGCTCTATACGATCAGTGGTCAAAGTCCGATCCTAACTTCCGGAAGAAAGCGTCAAAGTTCATGGGGATTAGAATTTTAAGCCAAGATCCATGGGAAGCGCTGATCGCGTTCATCTGCAGTAGCAACAATAATATTTCACGTATTTCTCAGATGGTATATTATTACAGTCTTCGTCTTTCATGGTAGGATATCAACCATACTAATGCCGTACAGGTTCATAAACTTTGTATACACTACGGCCCGCTAGTTGGGCACATCGGAGATGAGGCCTTTCACGATTTTCCAACACCCCAGGCACTTAGCGGAAAGAAAGTAGATGCTCATCTCAGGGAACTAGGGTTTGGCTACAGGGCCAAGTTCATTGCCGAAACAGCCCGTTTAATCTGTGAAGAGAAACCAGAGGGTTGGCTTGAAAGCCTCATAAACCCCGAAAACCCTGGCTGGTCTAAATTGAGTACACCTAAAACCGCAGAAACGTCCACATACAGACATGCCCATGAGCAGCTTCTCCTTCTTCCAGGGGTTGGCCCAAAAGTCTCAGACTGCGTCTGCCTAATGGGCTTGGGTTGGGGAGAAGCAGTTCCCGTGGATACACATGTATGGCAAATTGCACAGAGAGATTACAAATTCGGCAAGGCCAAAACGAAGACCTTCTCCAAGGCAATGTATGACTCCGTTGGGGATCATTTTCGAAAGATATGGGGTCCACAAGCGGGATGGGCCCAGTCGGTGCTTTTCACCGCGAACCTAAAGTCATTCTCAGAGCAGGCAACCGGCAAGGTCGAAGTTGTTGATGTCAAAGTGAAGGTTGAGGAAGTTGGAGACACTAGAACCGACGAACCCCCAGCCCGTACCCGGAAAAGACGCCAGGTAATAACCGAAGCAGTGAAGATTGAAAGCAATACTTCCACAGAATCAGTACGAACTAGCAAGAGGGTGAGGAGAACTAGAGGCTGATTCCGAGCAACCACGTTCGGAATATTTTACCGTCCTCGCCAAATTCCTCTCACGTCAAGGAAATGAAAGCTCTACAGCAGCTTTTTTTTTCCCCGTTATTATACTTAGCTCCGTAGATATCCCCGTTTCTCTTGTCGATAATCAGATCGGAAACTAGATCTAGAAGCATAGACATCTCCCAGTATTAAAATCGCGGCGTCTAGAGCATCGTTAACATCAATCATCGGCAGTATTGATATTATGCATTATGTAGGTAGTAATATAAGTAGCCCAGGTCAATGCCATAAAGCTTTCTCACCATATATTTGGAGACCCGCCATTATTCGGTATTGGTATCCTTCTCGGTTCCTTAACAGAGTGAAGGTAAGAAGCCTTTACGGAGAATGCGCCATACTCCTTAGAGGACCCAACATCTAGATGTCCTTCTTATATTTCGAATAGCAGATAGGACAGGGACGTTACAATCTACGCCAGGTCTAAGAGTAACACGATATTCAACGAGGTTGAAATAGGCAAACACTGAATCTACAAGACGAACCAGACACCACCAAATTATCATCCCTCGAACTGCGAGGCGCTGTGCTGCCAATTCAACTCCGACTTGAGTTCCCTAATCAAGACGTCTTCCTCCTCCACGCTTTCCGCTCTCCGTTCCCAGATGTCTCTCCTAATATCTCGTCCCTCCCGACTAACCGCGTCAAAGAAAACCACACTCAGACCAACCTCTCGCCTCGCCCCATCCTCCCCCACCCACTCCTCCTGTCCTTTCCTCACGATAACCAACGCCCTCCGCCAATCACAGCCCCCGAGGTCATACCGCTGGATACACCAGTGCTTATCCTCGACCCGGGAAACAATCTCGCGTCTTTGGTGCTCCACGCAAGCAGCCAGCACTTCTCCTTCTAGCTCCAGGAACGGCATCCCATACACGTCCAACCGATCGCACTCGGCGGTGTCTCTACCCTGATGGCGCTCGGGAAGAATACTCGTCTCTAGGGCCCGGGCAGCCGCTTCCAGACGTGCGGGGTCGGCGGCATCCGGAGCGGTGTAGTATACCTGGAGCGAGGGGCGGGGACGTGGTGCGTGATGCTGCGAGCCAAAGGGTGAGTTCATATCGCGGCGCCATGTAGCCGGGGAAAAGACGCTGGCGAGAGGTATACACGGGTCGCTGTGGGAGGCGTGGTGTGTGATGTCGATGGGAGGAACATCATTGGCGCGAAGCTGCGCGGCGTCACCGAGGGATTTGGGCATTTACGATATCTTATATGTCAATCTCTAGAACACTTTTGCTTGGGATTATGCCTCGGAGCTGTCACGACCGGTGTGATTCAATTGTATGTCACCGTGGAGGGTGAGTTAATAGCAATTTGGCCTAAAACTTTCTACGTCAAATCGTTAGAATGTATGTTCTCTCGGCATTGTTTACCTTGACTTGTCTGAGAGAGAAAAAAAAGGGTTTTCGTTGTAAAATACTTCTAAACGCAAGAAATTCTTACAGGAATTTTTCACAAAATAAACGCCTCGTCCTTCGTAGATCCTATAGCGTATCTTAGTAGCTGAACACACACATATAACTAGACTCTTGGTTTGCATCTTCCACTTCGATTGGCCCATCATGTCGCTAACACTAGACATCCCCTTTACAACTTTAAGATACCATAGTCGGGATAGCAAACCAGTCAACTAATCTAGGTTCCTAAGAGCCCGAAACCCAAACGCAAGCCACCGGGTAGGTTTATCTAATGCCAAACGGATTTCTTTTTCTTTTTTCTTTTGCTTGAGACTCAAGTGAGAGTCTTGCCTCGTAATTTCAGAGTTAATCATAGGAACTTAGAGTTTCCGCCCCCTTTGTTTTAGGACTGACGAAGAAAGGGGCTATCGCTAATGTATAAGGATGGCATTGGTACCTATGTACGAAGTATTATTTGCATGCTGTTCCTCCAGCTCGGGTAGCCAGAGGAACTCATTCATCATTAGATGTCTATAAAACTAAATCGACTACCAATGTACAAATCTTACTACTCTTACTTATATTCTAAACCACTCCAAAGTATTGAGCTCGACAGCTACAATATACCACTGGTTATTGTGTCTCGGCTCACCCGATCGCACTTAGTGCTTTAGATACACGGCCGCTTTCATTAAGAACACGGCTTCACCGCACCATACGATGACCTAGAGTTGAGTCATCGTCCTCGTCAAGGTAAGAACAAAGGAGTTATATGCCTCGCAGTGAGATGAATGGTCCATATCCACTGCAGCTAGTAAAGTAAATACTGTACAGTCAGGGGGCTCCTTGATTATGCCAAATATATATATTATATATGATACATAAATAAAATAAATAAAGGCACTACTGTTACTACCAAAAGCTATGCGTATAGCATTGCTTCTACTGACGTGACGAAGCCAAGATAAATTCAATACTATGGCCATTCCCATCTCTTACTACCAAAACAACTACGCATACACAACAAGTCTCCAGAAACCTACGTCAACAGCACAAAAGTCCCCGACATATTAAATCCTTTATTCAAAACACCCTTTCGGGGGCTGAAGTACCTACGCACCGGCCAGGCTCCGTAGGACCGGGACATCGGGAACCGTACGACGTTGCACACATTTAGCCGCAAGGTCTCAGCCGACAGCGGGCAATATCAAAGACCCGGATTCCTCGTCGCCCTAACCCAGATAGATATCCAGAACAGAGGGTGAACAGCGTCATCTATGTAGGCATATTGCCTCCCAAGCTCGTATTCGCTACTGCGACAGTGATATAACGACGGCCCGGTGGTGGGGAGGGCCACGGCGCTTTATATCATCGTAACTGATATATATTTCTCGATATAGGCGGTTCGTCTTCGGATCTTGGAACGTTACGTCTGGTTTCCTAGGATGTGACCTGGGACGCGTATGTTAACCTATGGTAGAAGCCCTTTAATAACTCGTGATCCGTGTTGCGGCGACATGCTATATTGACGCCGAGAGCACATTTACCAGAAGGTCCTAACAATTATAACTAACCATTATCCACCACAATGTTTAAAGCTCCAATCTAAGTCTTGTTTATGTGACACTAATGGAGTCTGACTATAGATATCCTTACGATGAGCTTATGTCCTTGTTGATTGGCTGGTGTAACGATGGATTCTATAGAGTTGCCTGGAAAATATACGTGATGGTGTCTTCAAGGGGGGCTTTTCCTCCCTCAAGCGCGAGGATAGAGGTAATCTACGAAGGGATAACATATATTAACTATGTCGCTCTGCAATATAAGTAAATCTCCGAGGTCTTTAAGTCTCCACGTTTTATTTACCAATGGCACTGCGTATTTCATAGAACCTAGGTCATCTACATACGCGTGCCGATTTTCCTGTATCCTACTATTGCTGTCTATGGTTGTAACAGTGCCTGGTTCGTCGATGCTTTGATTTAATGGATCCGTTGATGTTAGAGATGAGTTTTCGTGTGTTTTCCGTTTGCATGGATGGTACACTGCCACATCCTGCAATAGAAGAAATGCCTGTGATGGTAGGTTGATAGGTTGATGATAGGTTCTAGGAAGTAAAGACATCGCGCTATCCATTCCTAGAACGATATGCTCATTGTCACCTTCTTAGTAAGGGCTTGGGGCGTCTATTATCTTAGACTACTTTGAACGTGTTACGATGTTGATCCTTACTCGTGAAGTCGACCGATTTATTGAGATTAGAGGATGGTTGACTCTCAAGAACTGGCTGTCAGCACGAGTCACCAAGGAGGCTCTTCTTGAGGATTGCTTATTGCCTATTGCCATACAGGGTTGCGAGACAGGAGATTACCTATGCATGCATTGTCTAATTACAGTCCATACCTCTCTGAAGCAGTGGACACTTCTACCCTTCACTTCGTCAATATTGTCCTATTTCAGTAACATTGATCAAATGCTTAACTCTCGAATACTACATAATAGGGGAAGATGAGGCATAGCCCCAACGATTTCGGAACCGCCGACAGCTGACAGAGAACTGCATGGATTCTTATATGTGCAAAGTCAACATATATACATGGAATAGTAGGAAGTGGACCGCTAAGAAGTGTTTGCGGTCAGTAATAGCCCATATCTCCTTTGCGCAGGGAAGGCTGGACTTGTGCGCTGTGAATTTAGTCAAGGAGTCTATCAAGAGTGGTAAAATCGCGACAAAGAGCGAAAAGGTATGTTTCCATTCGCGCTCGTGTCCCTAGAAGATAGGCGTGATAGATAGTGCTATGGGTTCGGGGTGACCTCGAGCCCTTAGTTGGGGGAGGCAATGTTCACGAATAGAACCATCACAATTACTCGTCACCTTTCGGAGTGTTTGCGGCCAATATTCGCCATAGAGGAAATAAGTCGTAAGTCAGCCACGTCGAGCTCGAAGTTGTCACAACGACGAGGAACAACACGAACACACACCTTACACAACTGATGGCGGTGCCACGAAGTCCGGGGTTGTTGAGGCCATGTTTAAACTTTAAATTATCCACATTATTTCCCCATAAACTCATAGCCTATGCATAGCAGCCCTATCATCGTGAATGGATGTCTCGGGGAGATAGTATGACTCGGCCGCATGTGCTAGGCGAGCTGACTGTCGATGGTCTACCTACTTCGTATGCTCGCTGCTCGCTGGAAAAGTCTCCGTCGACTGCATTTCCCATTCCCTTGTACTATGTAAGCCCGAATGCAATAGGCTGTCTTGGCTTGAGTCCTATCTGATATAAAGCAATATCATTGGAGGGTGCTATTTGGCTGCAAGCCTCATCTGCCATTTTTATGTCCGAGCCATAGTAGACGATATGTCGTCGGCCGAGCTGGGACAAGTATTCACTCATCTAGGTACTACCTTACGATGTATTGGCTTGACTGAAGTTCGCCTTTGATTCTATACTTATTCTGTACTTTTTGATATCAGGTTGACGACATCTTTGGCCTGACAACTCGTATCGGTTGATGACTCCGAAATGGGGAAGGAAAGAAAAGAAAAGAAAAAAGTCAGAAGCCTCAAATAGCCGGAATAGCTATCTAATGGGTGTCTGCAACAAGGCTCCGCATGGCATGTATTGAATCCTTGTGCTAAATATTACCTAGTGCGCTGGGGAAAGGCTCACAGGAAATTTGCCAATGACACCCTCGTCGACTTTGGTCGGCGACCAACCTCTAGTTACTCCTTTGTCCCCTCAGCAGCCGGCTTCGGCAGCGTGGGTGCGTTGGCTAGCTCACTCGACACGAAGCCGTACTAGTTTTATCACATTTTGGTGTGCAGCTTTTACGCGGTCATGGGAGTACGTAAATGTAGTTTTCTCGAAGGGTATTCTTCTGGTGTAGGCTGCCCCTTCGTAGTAAGCGTGGTGCCAAGACGAGGCAAGTCTACCGGATCCTTGAATACCACTTTACTGCCGTGTGGGCAAACGTTGGATTAAACCCTGGAAGCCCGGTATTCACAACCAGCCTACATAGGTCTTAAGATCTCTTCGTCTGCCCCTTCTTAATTGCAAAGAAGAAAATAGCCATTCATACAATTACTTGCCGGAACTGGGCCTGAGGAGAACGAACCCCCGTCTAGTGCAAAGCGCCAGGGTAACCGATAATGGGGTTCACTCTCTTATGATATTTTGTCGGGTAAGGTACATAATGTAATGGAATCCTGTGCCAGAGGCAAAAGCTGCGTGGTTGCTGAGATGCAGATGGGGGTGCAAGGGGGGGTAATGCGGTAAGGTTGCGCTAGACACCGTCTCTTATAAGATCTCCAGGAATGGATATGATCGTCGACTATCTGCCAGGCAAACAGCCGGGGTCGAAGTTGTATTGCCAGTGCGACTTTTGGGGAATGCCAGTCGAATTTCTATATGAAACACACCCATGTTCCTTGGCCATCCCTGAGTCTTCTCTGACTGGACCGTTTATATGTCCCGGAGCAGGTCAAAGTGGACGTCAATATCTCCTGCGCAATTTGGAGATAAAAATCACCATTGGCAATCTGTCTATTTAATAACACCAAGCTTCTAGAAAGAAGAAAAAGGACTGTGCTTCCGTATGGATTTAACGATCAAAGGAAAAATAAAACGGGACTGAGATGTTGTGGTAGGTAGTGTATGTGCGTTTGTGGGAAGTTAGGTAAAGTTCCAACTTGCCAGAGATTGGATCTATTTTGAGGGGTTCAATACGGTACCTGAGTTAAGTACCTCCCCATATACCACATGTATATACCTACCTGGTAGGTACTTGAATGCAACATTGAACTTAAATACTCAGAGTTGTATGGCTGCCACTGTAAATGGCAATTACGATATTTGAAACATAGTACAAATCTACCGTTGATACCCAGAAAGCGGGAGAGTGAGCTTTATGGTTCTGGTAAGTGCCGTTGACACATTTGCTAATCACCGACGTTGCGTTGTTCGGGAATCTGATTGAATTGCCATTGCCAAGGGGAGCGCTACAACCACATGCACTTAATAAACCATATGCATTCAAGATCAATATATTAGTTCGAACCACTATTGACCTTTTTGGACTTGGACATTTACATACATATCCATACATGTCCATTAGCACACACAGACTTGTCCGTATCTGTATTATACACAATATCCTTTTATATTAGCCCCAATACAATTCAAGGGGATCCTGCGAGCGTATGCAGGTGTATATGCATGTGCGTGCTGACAGGTTGTAATAGTCTGCCGTAACGAGACAATAGACCTAACTTAGCCTTATCGTTCGAGTTCCAAAACGGCTCAAGCGCGATGGAAAGAGACGAATGCCAAGCGGTCAGAAAATTGCCATGCAGCAGTCTTCGCGGTGCCATAATATCTGATGCAGTTATCTAATGCAACCTGGTCTGCGGGTATGTGTATGTGTATGTGTATGTGTGTGTATTAGGTAGTGTATATGTGATGTTGACGATGCAGGGTCTGGTTTGTGGACGAACTGATCGTCCATAAGGCCATTGCTACGGTATTATCACCCTTCACCAACCAGAGAAGAGTATTAGGCTTTATTTTATTACATAGTATGTAGAGTTCTGAAGTAACTCTACTGAATTAATGATGGGGAAAGGAAAATAGGAGTAGTGTTTCCTTCTTCACATGACATATTCGAAATGTGATGGATGATAGACCTCACTGGGATCGTGCTACGCAAGTAAATGACTGAACCATTTACCCACGTGCATGTAATTTGATCCCCGAAAGCATGGTTTACCCGTACGGGGTGAAGCCGTGCGAGTTACAATGGTTTCGACGGGGGCGGATATGTTTAATATCAAACGCCACTTTTGAACTCGCCCTGTCATGATCGAAATGACGAGCAGGTCATCTCATCATGCATACATAGACTAATAATTCGGTACCTAGATCTGATATGGGTTATATGGATGTTTTAGTGCCGACCACGTGTTTAGGCAATTAAATCTATTCCCCTAGACTAGGGGGTATCCGCACGATGTATCATGACCTTTAATACATACATGGTAAAGGCATGTAAAGGGTCTGAGGACATGTAGATGATATGACCCTGTACATCAATCCACCGGGCCAGAGACGGCGCCGTGATGGTTTCTCCATGGCGTTGTGATCCGCATAGGAACCGCCGGACTGGATCACGGAAGTCATGGCTTGCCGGTGGCTTGTACTATGTAAATAATAATAACCTGACTACATTAGTAGGTCGGTAGGTAGCTCTAGGTAAGTAATGTAAATAGACTAACGTGTAGTGTAGTGCATTTACATGATTCATTCGATGTTTCGACTCATTCGGAATTCCTAAAAACGACCGAAGGTTTGCCCGGGCCGTGCTTTTGGCCCTTCCACTAAAAATTCAAGCTTAAAAGAAATTGGCAGATTGGAACGCTGTTGACTAAGCCTTGTTTTAGCCTTGAAGAACCTCATCTGGCAGATATGACGTTCCCTAGATCGTGAACTGCCGCTTTTATTTGTTTTGTTCATTTAAGCAGTAATTTAACAATGGCGCAACTACTACTCAACTACTACTTTCGTTGATTACGCTTTCCCTTTTCGAACCCCCCCTACATTGTACGTACATAGTAGGAGATAGGGAAAGTGCGTGTACTTACCTGTGGCTCTTACATGTAGCCTATGCGGGCAGGAGAGATGTAGTATACTCCGAACAAGTTATACTGTCAACCATCTGCAATCTGTAACTTGAAAAGTGTGGCTGCATGCGTACCACATCTTCGTATTGCTCACTCGCTGCTACGGATGAGGTTGTATTTGAATGGCTTTTTGTTCTTTATCAGGAATGAAATGAAAAAAAGTTTTCTCAAGGGTCTTCATCCTTTCTTTCACTATCCTCCCGCGGCATATTACATAGTATATTAGCCCATGTATATTAGCCCATGTATATTAGCCCATGGTCACTTTTATTAAGTTGTCAATATTGATTGGTCATAGCTGAAGGGTTATTTTTTTTCGTCCATTGAAAATTATTCAATTGTGTCATTTGAGATATGTGGAGGCACTTGAAAAGACACTTGGCTGATGCTGCATTTCCCGCCGACCAGATTCTAGCCAATCAACTGCCTTTCGCATTGGACACCTCAAATCCTCCTCCCGATATGTTTAAGAGCTATGACGATATCCCGGTAATCGCCAAGAGATTTCCCCCGTCAATGAGGTTAATGTAACTGTATCTCCCTGACCCGGAAGCAAGCATCATCGCAAATAAGTGCCAGAGAAAAGAAAATAAATCGACCAGTAGATACATAATATTTCGCACAGGAGTCCCTATATTCGGGGACTTCTGCATCGTGTTAATGACTGTTGCGAGGCATTTTTTTTATCTCGTCGTCGTAGTCGTCGTCACTTATTACGAACTCATCGTATATATTGCTCCAGCTGCCCAGTCTTCTACTTGCAAGGCTAAAGGATATATGATAGATGATGTTGTACAACTTGTCAACATCTCACCGCATGGGGTGCAAGATGCTGGAGTACCTAGACGAAACATACCTACCTAGGTACGCATGGTTTATGCCCACCCTACACACTACATGTTCGCTTACCACATAACTGTCGGGTTAGTTAGATTGAGCCCCAGATGCCCCTCCCCATCTATGTAGGTATTAAAGACTGCCATAGACAAGGCCTCGTCGGGGCGCCGCCGTCATACTTGTACAGGCCTTACTTCGCTTGCCAATCCTGACCGACGACGTCAGTCTTGTGAGCACTGGGCAATACATAGTAGCCATTCAACTTCCCCCGAAGCAGTACCGCTTAATTAGCTTCAAGGTCTTGGGGAGCTGGCCCGACTGGCTCGAAGATATCGTCATACATGCAACCCTCGGTTTCATCCCGAGCACTCTTGTTTTGTAAAGTCCTACTCCATTACTCCCATTACTCCATACGTACCTATGTAAGTGGTAGGCGTGGCTATTCCATCGTCATTCCTCTGGTTGGGTTTAATCCATTCTTATCACACTGCGCCGTAATCGCTGTTCTAAAAATGCCAAGATATCGTGGGCTGGACACGAAGGCCACACTGCCGCCACGATTATAGTGCGGGACCGAACATGGAAAGACTTGGCTTAGATGCTGTTGGGTTTTCAATACGATGGAAAAAGAAAATACGCATGATGGGAAAAAATAGTGTTAATTATCAGTTCCGGATAAGAAAGACAAAACAAATTTCCCTTTCTCCAGCGCCATTTCTTTCCTACTTATTCATCATCCCTTGACACCGGCACAGAGAACTCCGATTGTCTTTAGTCATCAAACGTGGGTTCAATGATGTCGTGTCTTGGATTCCATATGGAAAAGCAGGTGCATGTTCTTCGCTCACTTCAAGGAACCACTTTTATGGAGCATTTTAATTGTATCCAATCACTATTCACACACCGCATGACGTCGTTAGTTGCCAGGAGACCCAAGCTATGTCACCCTTAGCTTCATCCTTCCCACCAAAGAGGAAAGGGTCATGTTGTGGGATAGAGGGGACAGATGGGAAGCCCGACTGCAAGTACCGTGTTTGGGTATAGTATAGTATATGTACATACCTACCTAACTACCCTAATACTGGAACTCCTCTCCTTCCACCCGTTACTTAGAATGGTCACTACCTACATACACTAAAGAGAAGGTGATAATTTGTCAGATAGGTTCAAGTCGTATTGGTGTAGTCAGGGACGGTAGTAAAATAGAAATAAAGAGACAACATAAAAAAAGAAATAGTGAATAGAGAATAGGCTTATGATAAAAAGCGCTGAAGCCGGCTTTGTGTTCCCTTCAGACCCTGCATAACGGCAACCCCCATCCTCCCATCCTCCGCATCAGTGGCGTAAGCTAAGAATGAGCCTTATTGCATACGTGCCTACCTGACCAAACATGTATGTATGTACAGTACTGCCTTCCGTCCATATATTGTACTTCGTACGTGTAGGTACATTGTCTATACGGAAAGCGGACAAGGGTTGTCTCTTTGGTTGGTGCCCACCCGTACCGGTATGTACAATTAAGCTAGCCATCCTGCCATCTCAGCCGCCGCACCCCCCGTAGCCTTAGCCGTAGACCCTTGCCGTTACCTTCAACCATACCCTGCCATGTTCTCATTTGCGTACCGTACCTACCGCGGTACACACACTCTCTTTCTGATTACATAGGTACCTTAGGTACACAAGTAAATTCTGGCATTTCCCGTACCTCAACTCTTTTTTTTTTTTTTTCTCTTCGCCTCCGTTAGAGTATTCGATCCCTGTGCTTCTTGTCCCACTCGCCCCAATTCATTCTGAGGTGCGGGTTAGGGAGACCCTGATACCCTGGATGCTTTTAACAGGCCCGCGTTGGAATTCCCTACTTCTTTAATTCTCTAGTGCTGCTAGTTGACGTACCAGCTGGCCACTCCCATCACACCTAAACTACCAGGAACCTACCAGGACTACCTAACATAGGTAGCCGAATAAGACAGACAATCTATGTATGTAAAAGCCTGCCATCCTGCCATCTCAGCCTGTGCCTCTTCCGCTCATCACCTCACAAAAGCTTTCGACGGAACATCTCACGTCTCAACGTCGACCAACCACGGCTGAACCGTACAAACCGCCGTCTATATTACGGAACATCTAACTTCGTCCCTAAACACCAAAACAAAACAAAGTGATAGAGGACTATAACTATACATACAAAGATCAACATTCGTGCTGCAATTCCTTGCTTAGGTCTTCTGTAACAACAAGTACACTCACTCGAATTATATGTACATCTGACCTCCCGGATATCTGGCCGCTGCTGATCTTCTACACTTCGGTCTTGAAACGAGCCACCGAACTCCACATTCTCATGATCAGTGAAGACCTAAAACGGCTGCTATCAAATTGGACACCATCTTTCCAAATTTCAGCCCCGGTTCGATCTTTTCAATATCCTACCCTACCGTGCTCTGTGTAGCACCCTACAGTGTGTCCAACCCTGCCCCGACCTGCTTTAGTACGGGACATTGGATTGTCGATCAATCTGTTCACCGTCGTCACTGGACTTGCTGTAAGCTAAAGGGCATTGGTTCCACCTGTCCCAATTGCTGGAGAGCGTTAAGCTTCGGACGATTGGACTGGCCTTAAAAGTACCGGCCGACCCCAGTGTGTACCTTCGTTCACCTATTCGGGGGTTCCTGGTCGCATACTTCCTGAAGTGTTCTGCCAAACACACTTAAGGCTCGCTGATCCCCCTCCCGTAGCTCGTGACGGATCTTCTTCACTGGATCTTGAGAGACAAGTCACCGCCTCGGCAAGGTGACACGAATCTGTGCCCCTTCGGGATCCCGCATCTGATCAGCGAACTATTCCAAACTTCCCTATTCATCTTTTTATTTTATTTTAATTTTTTTTGACACAGGGAAAAATAAGGAGTCGGGTCCAAGTGTTGGAAAGCCTCATATTTCCAACCATTCTTATATGATATATTGCGTCGAAGATGACTATGACTCTTGACAATCAATCACGACTCGGGGCCCTCAACTTCGAACACATGTCTTCCTACTCCAACCCTCCGCATTTCACCAACCCCTGGGCCGCGGGCTCATCTAGCCAACATCATGGCAGCCACGGCATGTACTCGCAAGGGCTCAATGCCAACTTGAGTGGCCTCGACTCTATGGCCAAGCAGCACGCCGCTAGGACAGGCACCAGTGGTGCCTCAATGGCATCATATGGGAGCATCCCGGTGACAGCATCTTCAGCAGGTAGCACTCTCATGGCGGGCCTCTATGGACAGCAGGACTTACTCAATATGCCGCAAGATATTTTAAATTTAAACCGAATGCAAACAACGTCGGCTGGATACGGAGAACCCGCGTACGCGACAGCGACGGCGGCTTCTCCGGTAAACGCGACGTACTCAGCGTCACCGAGTTCCTATGATAGCGTATCCGGGTACGCGCCGGCACCTATGCGCTCAACGTTCGCTCTCGCGCCAGAAGCCGACAATCGAAGGTATTCCCAATCGTCAATTTCTTCACTGCCGATGGTCGATCATGGCTCAGACGCATCTCGCTCTCACCGGAATTCGTTGGTTGACTTGCATCACAGAGGTATTCAGAATGATGATCGGAGGAGCTTTGCGGATGCTCTCGACGCTGGTCAAGGTATGCTTGCGATGAGCCAAGAAACCCCTAGGGCGATATACCCTCCCGGAAACCGTGGCAGGGGCTCCGCCGACTCGTATGGTTTCCCTTCGACGCATTCGACGAATTCATCCATTTCCTCGGCGAGCAATTACGGTAGTGGATATTATGCGGGATCGGTCGATTCATCCGTGAGCGATTATTCGACAGCAGGCTCTGATATTGAGTCGGTTACTTCCCGGACGTTGCCTCGACCGAACTTAATGACGCAGCCTCCTCCCGCCCCGCAATCAATGATGGGACAGTTCAGCTCCAAGGTTTCATCGAGTACGCAAAAGAAGCACAAGTGCAAAGTCTGCGACAAGCGATTTACCCGACCAAGTTCACTTCAGACGCATATGTATAGCCATACAGGCGAAAAGCGTAAGTATCGAAGCCTCTGGACGTGCGAAGCCGAATCGAAAGCTGACGTGAAAGGATAGCATTCTGCTGCGAAGTTGAAGGCTGTGGGAGACACTTTTCCGTTGTATCAAATCTGCGTCGACATCGGAAGGTACATAAAAACGATGCCAAGTCCGATGCTGGATCGGAGGATCACCACGACGATCACTCCGACTAAAAAAAAGAAGCCAATACTTCATGACAAAAATATGTTCAATTGTGCTCAAAGTTACGATTTAGAATTGTTTACGATTATCCTTGTTATGCGGATACCTCATGTTGAATCACGTTCGGTTCGGTCTCAAATGGTTTTAGAGGAGACTAATCACCAGCATTTTTTTTTCCCACCACCTGATGCCACCAAAAAATGGGTTGCAAATTTATGTCTCTTGTACGAAGACGCCATCATCATCATCATCATCGAGATTCGTTTGCGCTGTTGGTTGGAGCGATATCCAGGAGAGTTTGAAGCGCCGGGTGCATGGATGAGCTTATAGATTTGGGTGGGCTCATTTTATGGCATTGTTTTATCGTCCTTTCTTCGCGTCTATCTCTCGTGGCTTCCAATTGGGTTGGGACAGGTCACACATCACATCCGGGGGGGTATTTGGGATTGTTTTATTTTTATTTCCCATTCGAGGAGATACCCTCGCAGACGGCGTTTGGGATATAAGGGGTTATGGGACGGGCGAAGATCGCATGCATTCGTTTACATCGAGAAGCAGCAGCAACAGCCTCAGGCGTTTCGTGCAATTCCCGTGGCGGCAGCTTCTTGGGAGCGAGAAAAGAGAAAGACCAAAAGTGACACGGGCGAGCGAGAGCAAAGAAAGGATAATCTGTATTATTAGCTACGCTTCGCATATACCCCTGGAAGGCAGAGCATTCCTCCCCAGAATGGGGAGCCTCCTTTATGGCGTCTCCTCTCGAGGAAAACTCACATTCGCTACTGCCTTTGTAATCTAATTGTTATATAGTTATACGGCGTTGATACAAAGATAAATGTCTACGGGTATACTTTAAGCTCGAATACAAGGAATACAAAATTTCGCGTGGCATATAAAACATGATTTTACGGGCAGCATTTCCTTGACATGCGTACTACGATATTTTCCTAATTACGCATTATATTTACTACTCAAAGGTAGAAAATAAAAACTGGCATGTATATAGTGAGCTGAGCCGGGTTCCAACCGAATCTTCGCTGCTTCGTTAGATCCGGAGGCGCTAGTGAGCTCCCTTACAGTAGCGTAGATAGGTTATCTTTTAGCATATGTATATACAGTACGATATCTAGTCGACTGGCTGGGCGAGCTGGGGAAACCCTGACTCCGCCGACTCCTCTTATACTATTTAGAATATACTAGTTAATATACTAGTTAACTAATATCTAACTAAAGTACCTAACCTATGTATTCGCCTACTCCGGTGATATTCGGGTATCCCGAATGGAGAACCTTCCGAGCGCTATACATAAGCGCTATACATAAGATACTATAGTCCACTTATAACATTAGGTAGTAAAAGATATAAGCATAACATAAACGTAAGCAGAGGAAGAAGGAAAAAAAAGTCGGACTTTCTCTCCGTCCCGCTACGGGGCTTGACTGACATCGGGATTGGCGTGAAGCACGTATTGGCGGTTCCTTTCCCACTTTATTATCCATCCCATCGGTTACCACCCACATAACGCAACTGCATACATACATACATACATGCATGGGCCGTTGTTGTTCCTTCGAACGTCTTAGGTCTTATCGAGGACTTCTGGTGGCCCAATTCGCTATATTCGCCCTGCCTATCTGGAAGGAGATGCATCATCCTATTTCCATTTCGTGCGTTGTACACTCCCACACGCACACACGTATACGTATATATGTATTATTATTATTATTTTTTAACAGAGAGAGCGAAGGAGAGAGAGTGAGAGAGAGACTGTGAAAAAAAGAAAGAAAGATGCGGGACGCATGCAACCCACATATGGTTGCCCCCCCGTCGGTGAGCCGTTAGGATTCGCTGATTCGTGCTTCTTTCAAGGCCCGTAGATTCGCGGAAAAGCGAGAAAACCGGGATCTAAAAGTGTCCGTCCGAGTCGTGCACATCCATCCATCCATCCATACATACATACATACATACATACATAACCGACCTACCTAATACCTACCTAACATGTGTACATCCCCATCTCATCCTCCCCCTACATGCCGTATGTAAAACCGCCGCGAACAGCGTTGCTACATACATACATTCGCCGCCTTCTATTCTCGGTTTTGGTTATTTCTTTTTTTGTCTGGTCTGTATGTAAGATGGACCTATCGTTATATCTGCAAGATGGTTGCCGCTACATGCATACCTAGGTACCTACCTACCTTAGATAACTTACCATCGCAATTGATCCATTCATATAGCGTATACATGGATCTTACCTACACTACCTAGATATTTTAGACTCTATCAAGTATGTACCTACCCGGTTTTTTTTTTCGAACCGGGATCGCATCCCAAGTACCTCTTAAGGTTTTTTCCACCCCCAAGATGCTTCCTGTTTAGGCTTCCTGCGATCGCCATGGACTAGCATCTTAGCTTTTTATGCACATATAACGTACAGCTACATATACAGAGTTGCAGTCGCAGTTGCAAGTCTACCACTTACAACCGAAAGGCCACAAATTATAATCGCGGGCGGGCGACGGCGGCTCTTACCCACCCCTCCTTCGAAACTTGAAACACGCTTAATGCTGCGACGCTACTCTAGTGCACCTGCGCTACTGTAGATTGTGTGGACTTCTTCTCAATGTGCTTTCCCGTTTCTAGAACTACTTAGGTACAACACCGAGTATGTAATACCTTAATCCTCTTTTTTCCCTCCTTTTGCTCCAAGGCTGATATACTATACTACATACATAGTATGTAAGAAAAAAACCGGAATCAAGCCCATCGACAAGACTGCCCAACAGGGCAACTCGTAATCTCATTCGCCTGCCGCCTATCTGTTAGCGTCTTGGGGCCATGTGAGGCTATTCATTAAAAATCGTATCATTATGACTACGTCTTCTCCAAATTCGTTGGACGATTAGATATTTTCCCCGCGCGCCCCCTTTCAACTTGCGGCCGCGGGTACCTCGACTACCGTCGATAAGCTTGCTAGCCTGCACACAGTAGTCCTACACTTCCTCTGGTGGCTCTGCGTATCGCGGTTGTTTCTCTACGAGCAAGTTAGGGGGGCGGGAGAGCCGCGATCCCTTCCTAGATCGGCTCGGCGATTCTGACTGGCTCCGCACGAGGAATCCGGAGAGGATAGCCTGCCTACCTATTACGGACAGCGCGGCTGACCCGAACAACAACGACGACGTCAGCGGTACCCTTGCCGCTGCCATGTGCTACTGTATTTGGGGGTATTATTCAGCTGTCCCCGTCCTAGATCTATCCTTTAAATAATATGTGGGTAAATTACAAACGAAGAAGGTTGCTGATGTGGCCTCTTCTTTGCCGCTGGAGGCAATAGAACAACACGATAGAGACTTGTTGGCTGTGTAGCCATCAACAAGCGTATGAAGATCCTTACCAACTGCTACGTGTGTAGCGGAGAGACCCTGATGGCACCTTTCCACGTGAGATGGTGCCTGGATACCTCCACAGTCGCTCCGGCACGATGTTTGATGTGTGCTGGGTTTTTATGCTAACGAGACCGCCTCGGAAGGTCGTCCCAACCTAAACGTATCAGTTGCACGCTTTAACAGACAAACCAGGACCATGGTTCTACGCTGTAACTCTTCATCCACGAACAAGGCCGGCTAAAGGCCCGATTCTGTCCACTGGGAGGACCTCTGATGGAAGATGAGGAGCGGACCACGTTAGAATGGATCTCCTGGACGGAAGACTACTAGATGGGCGATGGATATGTCCCCCCATATCAGATGTGAGAAGTGCGTAACGTGTCACTGACGATAGCTGAGACACGCCATCCGCACACCAATGAAGCTGGTTTGCTTTTTGCTGCCCCATTCTTCCTGTCGGGTGCCACTCTAGCGCAGACTATTGCGTACGAAGGGAGAGCTCGGAGCGGAGAGAAGAGCAGAAGGGAGCGGCAAGCGAGGAGAGGGGTAGAACAGGAGCCAGTCTATACGGCACTTGAGAATTGGCATCACAGATGGTCGTGTCGTATGCTAGCAGGAAAGCTGGTCTCGATATCTAGAAGCCGGTCCAATGGGCCAACCTATCCTTAGACGAAACGTCCCGCCCAATGACGACACAGCTGCTGGTTGGGTGCCTTATGACGTCGATCTAGTACATGGGTCGGGCTACGGCCGACGAGTTCAAATCGGTGGATTCGGCCAATGGAGACGCACTAGAGGGTCAAACGGCTAGCTAGCTACGCAGCTACGACAAGGAAACAAGCATTGGCCAGGCTGCCAGGTGGTTGTGAAGTCTCAAAGCCAAGACTTCGCATCGTACAGCCACATGTACAGGACGTTGTGATCTTCAGGGTCTTTCTTGTGCAACGAGGTCTGCGGGGAGACGGGCGCTCGCTGGTAGAATGACATACGGTTCTTCGCGTGATTGGAAAGTGTAACCTGGACTCGAAATATTTCTGGTTTGGGGTTCTCGTTTCTCCAGATTATCCCAGGTCACTGTTGCGAAAGCTGTAGTAACACCCCAATAATTGTCGAAAAGTGATGCAATATGGGATTCATGGGATCCCCTTTCGCCACTTGGGGATCGAAGGGGGGGTAGTGCCGTGCGCACGTTGCTGTTTATATAAACTACTATGCGACGAGAGATTGATGCTTAGACGAATCCGCATAATGCCCGTTGGAAAACGGGGGTTCAGACGGGGGTGTGTTCAATCTCACAGGATGCATAAACTAGGTGCTAGAACAGCGGAGCGGATAGGATGAGATGAGATTCCTTGAAACGAAACCATGAATGACCCGTCACCCGCGCCAACTTCTGATGAATCTACATATCTTAGCTGCTTACATATAGTGTAGGTAGTAGGGTCTCTTCTGAGATGACCCCTTCACTGCCAAACTGGCAGCACATCCCCGTAATGGGACATACCAATGGAAATCGCCAAGCTTACGGATTACAGGCCAAGCTTTTTTCCCTCAAAAACCGTTGACGCGTTTCCGCAGAAGGACGGAACAATTGGTGTGTGGCCCTGCGATGGGAAATGGGCAAGGGAAAGGATAATTTACCTTACTGTGGTGCACGTATCTTGCATGACGACCTCCACAGTCAGATAGCTTTATTTTATTTTTCCGCAGTACCGCTCTCCTTCCCCATGGAGTATCGCGTTTCAAGTCCTCTCACTGCCGGGCTCGATAGATTGGATTGGATTGGATTGGACCGGTTCCATGTTGATGGCCGTGGGTCTTCGTGGAAGCTCTCTCATTTCATGGATTCATGGATGCGGAGTGTCGCACCTGGATTAAATACGTAGTATGTAGCCAAACGGCCAACAGTTTTCTCCAAGTGTGTCAAGTGTGTCAAATGGTTCGTATGTCCTATCCGCTGTCGAGTCCACAACGGTCGACCGGGAGAAGTGGTAACGGCATTAATACATAGATAGTAATAACGATAGATAATTGGAGAACTGGGCACTTCGGGATGCTCATTCGACGGTGTCGGATCTACTCGGATACAATATGATAGAGAAGGGTTAGATACATAGTAGATAGTATGTAGAGGGGGGCCAGGGGAGAGAGAGGGCATTGCGAATATTGGCGCAATTTCGAGGGCGGTCGTTGGGAATTGCCTTTGGGGGCGGTCAAGCGAGCTTGAAAATGACATCACCTCGCATGGTGGTTTTCTTGCTAAGATTTGGTGCGGAATTATAATTGGATGCTAGCCCCGGCAGTGGTCCACACAGACATGTGCAGGGGAATTCATAGCCTGCCTCAATATTGGCAGGGATAAGACAGCCAAGTGGTTAGAGACACCCCCCTTCTCTCTCTCTCCCTTCTCGTTCGTTATCAATCGCGGTAGTACTACACGTACTACACATGTAGGTATACATACCTTTCCCACATACGGCCTGGTACTTGGCCTTCCCCACAGCGGAATACGCATGGAGGGTACAGATGCGGCAAAATTCGGACACTCAGAAATCAGTAAGAGCTGCCATTGCTGCTACTACTTCTACTTCCGCATGACGGTTTATCGTATAATGTATGTATGTACTTTTATCATGTAAGTACAGCTACACTACACTTTACAAATATATAAAAGGTAGGATTAGAGTAGTATGTAGCATACGCACTTACACGCATATATTAAAGTCGAGAGCATACCTACTAACTGCTTCGTCTTTATGATGGGCATTGGTCAAATGCCATTTTTGGGGTCATGGGAATGCGTTTGTTGCGCATAAGGGAACCCTTTTTCCCTATGTATGTAATATTCTTTGTCTTTTATATATTAGTACCTAAGTTATACGTTTATATACATCATCTACATTCTCGCAATGTTCCGAATAAGTACTTAGCCATTGCGGAACTTAGAGATATCATATAATTACCTAGGTATTTTATCCAACTATATAGTTATATAATAATGATATATACGTTTTACTGTCTCGGAGAATTCCCATATTGGGGTCTCGTAGGTTGTTGTATATTGGTTGTATATATGAGGTAGGTATGTATACTAGGTATTATGTATGTACAATACGTACTATGCTGGTAATATAATAATATAACGAATGTAATCAGTCATCTCGCTAATTACATCCATCCCGCTTATTTGATTAATCAGATTCTCATATCGCTACTTACCTATCGTTACCATACATACATATTACATATAATTTTACTTTGCCATGGACTTTTATTACTCCTTTTACAGGCCATCATCCTATATCATCATATGCACTAGGGGGCGGTGGGTAGTATGATATATCATCATCATTCGCCTTTTTTATTATTTATTATTTTATTCTTCTTTGATAGCGAGTATATTATTGATTCAACTATTCGTTTTGTTTGTCTGTTTGCCCCCCAGCCAGCTAAGCCGGTCTATGTAAACCAACCTCACCTCACCGCTTCTTGTTCAACAGATGGATATGTAATGCACGCACGCACAAGCAGGCACGGAGAGGGCTCAGCGTCTAACTCAACTCACTTACTCGCTCACGTATACATATATGTAGGCATGTATGTATATGTATATGTATATGTAGGTATGTGTCGGTTCTAAGTGGACGGGACGCGGCTTGTCCGTCCCTCGAACAGAAAACCCGGGGTTCCCTTGCTCTTCTTCCCCCCCTCCCCTTCCCTTCTCTCTGCGTGTTCTGACCTGCTCATGCACGACTGCCGATCCCTGCCGAACTGTGTGCGTGGTCAGAGTCGCATACCTACCGACTACCCTAAAGATATATCCAAGTATTGTATGTATGTAGGTATGTATTGTACACTACATCACCGCTGCCCCCCGCGCCGGAACGTGGTATATCCTATGTATCGTCTGGATATGTATACTTAACTACACTAACTACCTAATGTATGTACATAGACACTACGTATATACGCGCCTAGGTAAGTTGCTATGTAATAGCGTCAATGTCCTAGGTTAGTCCAACGCACGTGAAGGAGGATCCCGTCTCCAACCCAATATGCAGTAGATCCGGTACAGAGACAACATGTATGTTCTTACTGCCGGTTGTAGACCGCTCCCTGCCTCGCCTGCCAACTACATAGCTCATACGAAGGAGCCAGCAGAATGTGTAGTAGGTATACATACATATGTACGCACGGTAGTTGAGCTACACTACGTAAACAATTCGCCTCTCCGGAGTTTCGAGCAAGACATTGACTCTAACTCTCCCTACCGTCATCATATGTAGTCAGGATCATACACACATAGATATGTAAGTTAGGATGTATGTATCACCTCGCTCACGTACATCCGGCTTACCTCGACGGGAAAAAGAAAAGGAGAACGGTTTGTTTATTTACACTAGCCAGAGAGACCAGACACTTGGCGCTTACTAGCCTTGTCTAAGCCTCAGGAGGATAAAAAGGGGGAGGACAATCACGCAATCGAAGGGTCTGTCACTACTATGTACATATGTATGCCTGTACAATACGTAGTAATGGCAGCAGCAATAGTAATAATAATAGTAGTAGTAGTAGTAGTAGTAGTAGTAGTAGTCTGATGTGAAAAGGGGGTTCGTGGAGATTACATAGGGATAGAAACTAAATACATACAGTCTGAAATACATAACACCATGCGATGGCGCAGCGTTTTTATTCCTGGCCTTGAAACGGCGGTGCTGCCGATCTATCTAGATATCCATCCCATCCCATCCATCCTTCAAACGTACGTACCTATCTACCTACATACATACACTAGAACAAAAAAAAAAAAGAGAGAACGCCGTTCCAGAGCACTGGATCCGGCACTCGGGAACGCGGCGCTGAAAGAAACGAACCCCCTTCTCTACATACATACTCGAAAGCCAAGTCACTCAGTCGTTCCTTTTCCCTATAAAGTATATGATAAGCCGTTGATCGACAGGCCCGCGTCGCGTGGTTGAACCGCGAGGCGTTTCTGGGGAAATCGAGCGGACGATCTTCCTTTTCTAAGGATAGAAATAAAAAAATATCTTTACATACGCAGACGTAGAGAGATCGGCAGAGAAAGGTTCTAGAAATTCTCCTTCGCGTTTCTACGAGCATCGTACGACTACGTACCGTATGTATGTATCCCTTGGCTAATCCGCCAAGGCGTTCGGAAAGATCCTTAGAAAGTGTCTTTAGGGATTTACATAACTATGTACTTTGCGAAGGAATAATTAGAGTGCATGGTGATCGCAAGGAGAGGTTGGTAAACACTTCACTTCGTGGAGCTGGTGTGACGATTTAGAGCTCGACGTGTATATAAACATCCCATAGTCACGCCACTCTCTCTTAAGACGGTAAACGGCTTGATTAATGTGTACCAACTCCTCTCTTTTGCATCGTTAGCTAGTGATACCTACTTCTATTGGGTTGCTGACATATATCCGTTGCTTGTAGGTAGTCGGTTTAGGTGATGATTGCCTCAATACCCCTTTTTAAGAAGACTCTTAATATTTTAACCAAATGGGGAATCACCCAGCAACCAAGGTATGCTCAACACAGAAGATTACCAATTATGACCTATAAATCCCCGTGAACAAGTAACTCTATTCACCAGACAGTCAGAGCGCCTAACGCCCTAATAATACCCATGATCGCTAAGATCCGATCGATTTAACTACTGCTACGGGATAACCCAACTGAATCGACTCGGCCCTCATCGCACTCCTCATTATTTTGCTTGATTTGAATCTACTGTACACCGCCAGCCAGAGGTCCTGAACTCACGTAGCTGAATAATACTAGCCATGCGTTTTAAACAAAAAAAGAGAAAATATTTCTATAGCACAATAGCCAATTCAGGCCTATCGATGCCGTCTTCGCTCAGGTTCGGGTAATAAGGCACCATGGCGTCGGCGGCCTGCACGTACGCGTCGTTGTAGAGCCTCCAGTAAGGTTGCCGTACCTTGCGGGCGGGATGGAATAGGCCTGCCCATACGTAGTTCAGTACGAGTCCGGGTCCGACGGCCATCCGAATAGCTTCGATGGCTTCTACAATACGGTCTATAACGTGCGGGCTGGTTTCGAAGAGGTTAGGCCAGAGAAGGTTGAGTAGGTGCACCATAGCGTCTTCGCAGCCCAGACCAACTACACCTAGTGCGATGTGCTTGACCACGGACGCGGCCGTCTGCCGATGTACCTGGTCACGGTCGATCAGGGCGTCTTCTAGGAGTGGCGTCACGGCGTAGACGTAATCCTTGGCCATTTCTCCAATGTACTCAAAGAGGAATGATAAAGACTTGAGCACACCATTCTGTACGTTAAGTTCGGGGACCCGATACTCGTTCATCAGAGCAGGGAGCACTGTGAAAGGAGCACAAGTCTCGGCAACAATACCAATTGCGACAGCCGTGCAAACTCGGGATTGACGCTCCTGGACGCGCAGGTTGTTTAGTAAGGTAGCTAACACATCTTGCGGTCCGATAGCTTTCGCAATGAAACCAAACGTGTTATTGGCTGCTCTTCTGATGCCCTTCTTGTGTGCCTTTAGCATATCCAACAGTTCGAAGCAAATTCTCATCCATTCTCTTGCGTTGACACTCTCTGGTCCCCGATCGGCAATACGGCCGACGAGATCGATTGTATTCTCCTGTACCTTTTCGTGACGATTTCGTAAGATAGGAGTAAGACGAGGTAGTAGATCCTTGATTGGAGGCTGCATTTGGCTGATACCAACAACGGTAACAATGCTTCGGAGAGCCGAGAGGATCGAGCCAAGAACTTCAGGGTACTCCTCTCCGAGGTATTCGTACAAGACAACACCTAGCTTACCCATAAGGGCATCCTCGCCACACTGCTTCATGACTATAGCAATCCTGCTGATAAGATCCGCGGCTTGTTGACGGATCGTTGCAGATTTGTTGTTGAGACGCCACAAGATTGTTGACACTATTTGGGGCAAATACGGCTTACAGCGCGTGCCAAGGGCGTTAACCACCGTGCCGAAGCCGTTTAACATAATGACATCTTCGACGCTTTGCTCCTGGAAGGAATGGAGAATGCCATCAATAAGTCGCTCCTCCAACCTCTCACCAATGTCCGCCGCTCCTAAGCTGGCAACTACCTTCTCCACGGTCTCGACAGTCATCTTGCGGTAGGCCTCGCTCTCATCTTTGAGATTGCCAACAATTCGCTCAAGAATCTCGCTGACGCCAACCTTCTGGCCAATATCAACGGTTGTTTCGACCTGTAATAATAAAATTAGCAATGAATATATAACGAATGGGGTTAAGGAGGTTAACGTACCACTTGTCGATAGTTTCGCTTGTCTAGGGCCATCCGCCTAACCCAGAAACTCTTGAAGAACTCATCTAGAACGTGTTCCTTAAGGTAGCCAGCTGTCACACCTTCAGTGCCCGCGCACTGAGATACAACTTTCAAGACGACCTTCTTCATTTCTTCGTCTGGAGACGAGAATTCTCGGAGAAGGATATCCATTACTTGTGAGGTATAATAATTGGCATATTCTTCATCCATAAGGGGAATGATATAGCCAACAGCCTTGAGAAAGCCAGCGAGACCCTTGCCGCGTTGCTTACGTGCACCTGTCCATAGAGGGTTTAAAATATCATCGAAGCTTTCAATACCGTAAGGGTTAGAGGCTTCGGCAAGAGCAGCAATAGCCAAACTAGTGACCGTCCGTACTTTTGTTTGCTCATCATTCAGGTTTGGGCCTATGCAGTCCACGAGACCTTTAAGATGAGGTAGAACGGCACATCCCATTAGGATAGGAATCTGTTGCACGATCTTGACACCAGTGTGTCGGGCTTGCCACGACTTCTTGCTTCGACATACTGCTCGTAAGAAAGGTAAGAGAGCGGGAATACCTAGCGCCGAAGCCACAACCGCAAAGGCTCTTGCTGTTGTGTTACGTACGTACTCGTCGACGTGGTCGATATCCGGCCTCATTGTGCTGATCATAGTGGCGAGACCGGCGGCTTTACTGAGATTAGAGATAATCTCTCGACCCTCAACTCTTGCATAATAATCTTGGTCAATGAGGAGCGGTTCAATGACGACTAGAATTTTGTGGACGTATGGACGGACAAGGTCGTCAAGCTTCCATAGGATACGGTCGATTACTTTGACGAGCAAATGACGTTCTTGGTCTTCCAGCGTCTTCTCCATCAGAAGAGGGAGAATCTGGTTGAACAGAGCTCCAGCACCGAACTGCCTTGCATTATCTGTGAGTTGTCTGAGAGCAGTCTTTCGCATAGGAGGAGTACCATTCTTGATCTTCAAGAGAAGCCTCATAATCTTCCTCTCCTTCAGCTCTTCAACGCTTAGGCTATTTTCATCGGAGCCGTCTGCCAATTTTCCGAAATAAGCCATATCTTCCTGCTTGAAAAATTGTAGTTCACCGACGCCAGGGATTTCTTTGGGCATCTGACTCCCTCCTAATCTCGTACTCTCCGGATCTTGCATCATGAAACCACCATAATTTGGTGGTAGCGGTGTCGCCGCGACCCTATGGAGAGGGGCATGGCCGGTAGGATATCCCGACGGCGGGTCGAGAATCTTGAAGCCTTGCTCTTCGCCAGGAAGTAACGCGTTTAACTCTTCATCGCCAAGAATGCCACCAGGGCCAGATATGTCTGCTTTTGCTGCGCCAACTCCAAGTGAGGATGTGTGCATCGGTGTAGCTAAACCGGTATTACCGACAGGAGTCGCAGAGGGTGCTTGATCCCATCTCGATCTCTTCTTGGCGCCATCAGATGCGCCGGGGGTAGGGAGGGACGGCGCCTGGTCCCATCTGGATCTCTTGGTCTTCCCCTCGGCAGAGTCTGACGAGGGTTCATCCACAGCAGTAGAAGCAACATCCCATCTCTTCTTGCGCTTTCGCCCGGCTGTTACTGCCTCAGTAGATCCGGCGTCTGTATTCTCTTTATCTCCGTCCTTGAGTGTTGCTTCGTGATCGCCATCAATTTCTTTCCCTTCCCGCTTCGCCTGGATAGCACGCTTTACCCTTTCTTCTTCCCTTTCTATTTCTCTCCGTTCCATAATATCTCGATATGTATTTCCTTCTTCGGCGGCACCCCCCTGGCGATTGAAGGCATCGGCTCTTGTCGGGGTGAGAACGCGATCGAAGCGACGTTTCTGGTAGTCAGTTTCGCGATCAACAATCCTCGTGCTGTTTTCGCCTCTTCCTGCAAATGGATCATCCTCTTCGACTCCATTACCGTGGGCGAATTCGTCAATCTGGGCACGCGTCGCGGTATACTGGCCAACTAAACGACGCGAGTTATCGGCATCTTCCATTTCTTCATCCTCGCCATCGGCAGCGGGGATGGATGTGAGATATCCTGCATATTTATCATCTCCATCGCGGTCGTAGAGCTCGGTGTCGAAAGACTCGGTAAGCTTTGCCTTGGTTGAGCTCTCAGATCGCTGGTTCTTGGGGTCTCGGCCGCGCGACCCTTTCTTAGTAGCTGCAGCAGCGTTCCGCTCAGCCTGAAGCTTTCTAACGGCGTCAAAGTCAGCGTCTGACATGATGAACAGTTCAGCCGGACGCTGTCTTGACCTTTTATTAGATGGAAGCGTGAAGGAGAGAGGCTGGTTAAAGATGAACGAGATTTCATGCGCTGGTGAGGCTCTAAATGGTTAGTGATGAAGTGATAACGAAAAGGTGTCGCTGGAGAAGCTCCACTCTGTACTTGATAGTTGCTAATCTTGATTTGCCGCCTTCGGGAGTTTACATAATGTAAGGTGGGTACCTAAAGTTGTGGCAAACCGCCTGTGGCTAGTACATTAGGTACCTGTGTATATCTACCTAGATGCATAGTGTAATATAAGCACTTATATAACGCGATAGTGTTCATTAATTACTCGAAACATGTATGTACCTACCTAGCTTAACTTAATGACGAACAATACAATATGCAAATGTCAATAACAAGGAGGTTACAATTCCCTACTTAATCCAATGAGTTAACAAGTCCAAATCAGTTAGTTAGGTTAGTATCGGATAAAAGCAACGTCCCGTTCAACCAAAACTCACGCTAGTTACTAACCCACGCCAATGGAATATTTTACTCCCTCTGTCCCTTCAAATGATCTCATAACATCCACGTATCAAAGTGCACAAATATAGCAAAAATCACACACGGCAACTCAAAAGCAGCTATTTCGTAGATTGACTACGTAACTACCGCCGGAGCGGTGTAAATGATTGCTCAGCGTCGAGCTAAGTTCGGTCGAATCCATCTGTCCTCTCACTGAGATATAACCCTTTTACTCAACCCTGAATCTCCGCAAAATATGTCCGCCCTTCCTATCAAAAATGCCATCGACCTACTGTCCTCCGAGCTTGCATCGGCAAGACCAACCCCAAAGCAGCCGGGGGACGGGGCTGCAAGGTAATTGTGAAATATACAAAGGACGGCGGTGAAGGACTAGTAACACATGTAGGTGTGAAGATAACTAGACATGTAAACATTAAAATGGTTGGCGTTGTCGTCATTCATGAAGTCGCCAAAGATTAGTAAATCCGTAGCGGATATTTTCTGCTCCTCTCTATTTCCTCCCCAATCCCCTGATCTCTTCGCATCGACAGGCCTCTGTAGGCCTCTGTCGGTTGGGTATCTTCGATATGGCATCGATTTGCTGACTCTCCGTAGTAGTCAGGTCTATTACTGTTTGGTTCTAAAAATTGCAGTACGCATGTATAAAGATTGGTGGGTGCCGAGAAAACGCCTTCGTCCTAGGCTCAATTATCGCAATCTCATGGCATTCAAAGTAGCCTTGTTGACGGGACTCCTTAAACATGAGGAGGTCCCGGTCTACCTTGGCTTAAGGAATTTAGTAGCTCATGCGGTGGTATCCGCTGCATACCGCTACCGCGATCGAACATGGATGTAGGAGCTGGGACGTAACCCTCGCGCTTCTTGCGGTATCGGTCTAATGCCAGACCAGACAGTACAATGAGTACCATGAGACCTAAGGATATGGCTAGCCCAATAAGAGCCACAAATACGAGGGGCATACCACTATCACCTGACGACAAAGTTAGTGGATATACAAGTAGACATTCAGACTACAAACTTACTTTGGGAGGTAAAGAAGTTGTTCTTCTCTACGAAGATTCGGGATATCGACCCGGGCGTGCCGTCGATACTTGAGGTAAGTGCGTAAGGTCGAACCGTCGTGCCATTGAAGATGACGCTCGATGCTGTGCCAAATCCCGGTATCGCAATAGAGCCGGCCATCAAGAGGACTTGATCGGAAGCGACAAGATCGGATGAATCGTGAGATTGAGTCACCGTAAACATCTGTAGGCTGCTGATTACGGTCCCTTGATCGAACGTGACGCCAGCAGATTTCCAAGATGAGCCATCGTGCTTCATCAGATAGGTAGAACCATCAGACTGCGTACCGGCAACCCAGATCTGCTTTGAATCACTACTCGCAGCAGTTAAGGCATTTACAGGACCTGGTAGGTCTGAGGCGTCTGAGTATGCACTCCAATGAGAACTTGAGACGTCATAGGAGGCCAGAAAGGCCCCGCTATCATTGAGGGTTAGGTTACCACCCGCGAGCAGAACTGAATTGCTCGACCACATCATGCAGTTGACATCGCCGTCAAGTTCAAAACCAGGCCGATTCCACTGGCTAGTTCCGGTGTTAAAAAGACAGACGCTAGGACAAGGAAGCGAACCGGCTCTCTCGAAAGAGCCACCAACATAGACATCTCCAGTCTCCGGGCGGACAGTGACAGAAGAGACAGTTACATTGTTGCCAGCGAGAGCAGGGGGCTGCGAATTGAACGATTTGGATGCAAGATTGTACGAAATGAGACCATTAACAGCAGACCCCTGAGCAGTGCCATTGACTCGTCCGCCAGCATATAGATTGTCGCCCTGGATCGCCAATGATAAGAATACTGAGCTTTCGGATACTTCGGCGCCTAGCCCCGTCACGGAGTTGGAATCTGCACCGTCAATGAAAGCTAGGTTATAAATAGTTGAACCATTAGACGCATTCGCAATAAAGTGCCCGCCAAGTACCGTCACGTTCTTCCCATCACTTGCGTAAAATGCTCCTGTGACGACGCCAGCAACGGTATCAGTACCGTTCTCTAGGTTCGCGCGCTTCGAGAGTCCATCCGCAGGGGTGCTAGACTGGCTGGCTGGCGGGTGAATTTTGATGGGGAAGTTGCCAAATCCATTAGATACGGTTGTAGCACCATATGCGCGGAGGACCTGAGAAGATATCGATCCAGCATATATAGTCTCATTATCTGATACTGCTACCGCCGTCGTAAGAACACCATTTAAAAACGGAACTGGAGTATCCAAGTTCTGCAACCAGTTCTTTTGCGATTTGACCCAGACTGCAAAGCCTTGCACCTCAGCAACGTCATTATTGTCGAATGCTAGAAGGTGTGTAAATTCACCAGTTAAGGCGATGACGTCTTCTGCTGCGCTCTCGCTGAGGTTCATAGTTGTTGGTACAATACTTGTAACCGTTCCGTCCACGCCGGCTCCGAGTGGTGTCCATTGGTTACTTGAGCTGTCGTAAATCGCAACGTTTGCCAATCCCGGCGTCGAACCATTCTGGGTATTGTTGAACCGACCACCAACGAATAGACTATTGCCATCCAGGTACATCGACAAGACTTCGCCATTAATGCCACCGTCAAGGGTTAAAGTCTTCCCATCATTGTCGATAGCAACAATGTTACGCTCGCTGTCGGAAGTAAAATTACCGCCGATATAAGTTCGGTCTTTGCTGGCGACTAACGACGTTACCGCGGATTTGGGTTCGAATGAAGAACTGAGCTTGATAAAAGCAGAATTGGCAAAATCAGAGGTCTCAACTGTGGCCTGGCTGGGATCGTATTCGAACAGCCCGTTTAAGCCACCAGTAGAATTTAGAAGCTCGAATCCAACTCTTTGGGCTACCATCACGAAATCATCGCCGGGAATAGACTCAGCTTGGCCAGGTACAGGTGACAAGGTAATACTGGGCCTGAAGGAACTCGAGCTAGCATCAACAGAACCTATATGAAGTTGGTCATATTTGTCGTACTCGTTAGTCTGATACAAAGTTATCGGGTCCATTGTTTGATTGGCACCAGTTGACGTCAATGTCCCTGATACCGTAACCTGACCACGTCTCTCGCAAGTGTTATCCTGAAGACATCCAGGCGTATATAACTTGATGATGTACTCTCCAGATTCTCTGATATCGGGGTAGAACACAACAGAAGCAGCGTCAGAGGCGACTGGTTTCGGTAACTGAGCTGATAGATATTGAGCGTAGCTTTGTCCCGACGGGGTCACTGTCCATGTTCCTGTTGTAGTCGCTTCTGAAGGCGTTGAAGTATTGGCGCAGCTAGGTTCGTTAAAATCATTGATCGCGAAGGCGAAAATATCGTCCTGGAATAGTTCAATCCCAGCCAGGCCTCCACCATTACCATACCAGGCGGAGATGTCAAGTCGAAATGCGTTCATCCCAAGCCGGTTTACAAAGTGGAAGTCCTGGAATTCAACCGAAGAGTCGTCGCTAAGCGGGCACTCGCTAGTACACGTAGAGTTCTGCTTAGTGACCGGGTCGATGTAGGTGAAGTTCATGATACCGTTCAGCGGCTGCGCAGTAAATCTCCAAGTCCGAGTTCCCCGACCATCCTGGTGAGTATTCCATAGACGAAGTTTAGTAGGTTCAAACCCGTAGTTGAACGTTGCCCTCCATGTTCCTGGTGTATTGTCCTCCAAGAGCCAAGCATTACCAGAACCGTCAGTCCCATTGGTTTTACAAACAATGTTCTTCGGGTCATTGAAACCTGCGGCCGATGTGCTCTGATCAGCTTCGATAGTCGCGGTAGAAAGATTTATAACCTGGCCATCAGGCGTACTCGGCGCACTCGTGTTTCCTAGGCCCGTAAAACTTCCTCCGAAGATTATATGCCCAGTAGGTGCCTTCGTAATCGAGTTGACGGGTCCATTAAAGCCAGCAAATGGTAGACTTGCCCAGCTTTTCGACGCAAGCCACGTAATCGCGTTGGTAGAGTTTGCTGCCCTAAAGCTACCACCAACATAGACCTTACCAGCTGAATCATCGCATAACAAGCTATTAACTTGACCCGAAAGATTAGCCAGAGGAGTGACTTTGGAAGTATTCGGGTCGAAAGATGCGATGCCTGATGATTGGACACCTCCTAAGCTTGTGAAGTTGCCACCCAGGATGACCTGCCCTTGAAACATGCACATTGTCTGGATAGATGCGTCCGCCTCTAGGAGATTGACGAACACCCCATTTGGAAGACGCGTCAAGAGCTGTTCAGATCCATTAGAACTGAAAGGCAGCTCGGACTGCCTATCATATTGGTAAAGAGAAATGCCGCTAAAGTCACCGGCGATTCCAACCCTTCCAAGTTGATCCGTATCGAGATTCGCATCAGGTATCTGATTAAAGGTGATCGCTCCCGATAGCGACGCGAACGATGTGAGGGCAAGGAGCCATGGCATCGGAGCATGACTGCGCTTAGCGCAGCCCTGGCGGAATGCTATTTTCATAGCTGCTTTGACCTATGGCCGAGTTAAGGCCAACGTGCCCCTGTCTCGACAATACCCAATTTAAAGTTTCCCTATTAACGAAAATCTCGTCTTCCAACACGGCGCAAACTCTTTATTTTCCGACGGAGTCCATAACCTCGAAGAAATCGATATATAGTGCGCGCGCGGGAACTAAAGTTAGAGGCTAATAGGTAAGTGCGGATTGAAGGTGTCGCGATGTATCGTGTTATTGCGAAACAATTACTTCTCGAGAATAGGTACAAGTTCAGCGTCGAAAAACAAAAAAACTAAATGAGTGGACTGGCGGGAATCCCGAGGCGACAAGTGGTATCAATTAAGATTATAATCTTCAACTGACTTTTATTATTGTACTCGGCCGTCGGGACGGATTGCGTCGTCTCCTCGAGTTCCAAGATTTAGAGGAAAGTGGTCCTTGGTGAGTGCCCGGATCTAGCGGTAATAATTAGAATGGGCTGTGCTGCGGTACCCGAGTGACTAGTGTGTTGTCACTAGGTGTGGGGTGGTGCCTGCACTGGTACCCTATTAGCTCACGTCAACCACTAAGATTTCCTCCAATTTTAACCTAAACTAGCCTTTCTTCAAAGGGAAATCCAAATCGAGATGAAGGAAAGTTTATCATTGGAAGAAAAAACACAAGACGAGGTAGATAGTACCGAGGCAATCCTCTATATCAATTTAACAAGCAAACAATTACAATGTGGAACAAAAATAACCCCTCGCTCGCCAAAGGAAACATCTAAGGAGTGTAACGAGGAGGAAGGGAGACTTATCACTGACCAGTACTCAAATGATACCAATGCACAATGCAACGGTCGTCCGATGGTATCACCTTAGGAGTGATGTGTACGGCCAACTGTACTACCGTGACGAAAAGCAATGCTTTTCTACTGATAGGCCACCACTGGATCCCAGTCTCGTAAACTGGATTGTTTAACTTGATTTTTGCTTGGTTGCGTGTCCAGGAGTAGGAACTTGAACAACGACAGGGACTAGGTAACTTAGCCCAATATGCCAGTGCTAGTTTTTGAAAGTGTCTGGCGGTGATTCTTCGGAAACGAGCGACGTACGGATGCTGTATAAATCCCTTTTGGTGGTGAAATGAACGAATGTGGGAAACGGTAACGACGCGATCGAACTTGGTGTGTCTTAATTGTCCCAGAACTTGGTGCTGTCAAACGTAGTCTGCCGGATAATGCTGTCCTCAGATCAGGGGTTTAGAGGCAAGTGTTGATTGGATCGTCAAAAAACGCGAACGAGTGACTAAAAATGAAAAACGACTGCTGTGAAAAAAGAAAATGCCGTATTGGCGAGGATAGTGCAACAATATATTGTTACACGCTTCACGTATTAACCTAGAGTAATAAGGAGGTAAAAGGAGTGACAATACTCTTTGGTGTTTTCTGCCTCTTCGTTGTCGAACGTCGAACGGGTGAGAAAAACGGCCAGCGTGCAACAATAGGAAGAGCTAGAGCGAAATGTGCAAAGAAGGGAGAGGCTTGGGAGGGTCTGCACCTGCAGTAGCGTAATTTCTGCTATGTAAGAACCTACACTATGTACAATACGTACCTAACCTAGCCAGCCAGCCAGCTCGCCTGGTGCAGACAGGGGCTTACAGGGATCGTTCCTGAGGGAAGCCACAATCTCGTCTTCCCAATCTGTAACTAGGTAGTCTAGTCTCATCGTCCAACTGCAAGTGGCCGTTTAAAAGAGGACTAAGGGTGGAATCTAATCCGAGCCAAGTCTCACGGGCGGTTTTCTCGTGTTTCTATTATGCGAATTTCATCATTACGCCGGCTGATCCCGTACTATGTAGCATAACGGCTTCTTTAACAAGATTATCTGAATAGCGATTATCATCTCCGACAATACAAATCGGTATTACACTCCGTATACATCTTATATACAATTTATATGTAGTTCAATAAAATACATACATAGGTAACCTACTTCAGCTATATACCTCCTAAAAAGGTAATTAGAGGCTTACATTTAGATGATCGTCAGCGTCGAAAAGCTAACCAATGACAGAGTAAGCAACAACAACTCTTTCCAATTTTAACCCATAGGATCTTTTATAATTGCTTTGCCGCCGCCGTAACGTCGAGCGTATACAATCACCGAGAAAATAGCGAAAACAAATACCAACCCTTTAAGACTACGGACACGGAATTAAGCATGTAGGAATTCAGGGGTTCGTCGAAACATGCAAGATGCAAGATGCGAGATGCAAGATCCATTAACCTAACCGCGGTCCTGGACTGAAGAAATATCACTATACTTGCCAGTCGCAAGAGATTCCGGGAGAGCGCGGAGATCCGCACATAGATCGGATAGAATTGGTTGGTTCATCCTCTATGCACTCCTTCCAACTCCGCCTTCTGTTTTCTACTAAGTGGCTGACCCAATATATACGGTTTAAGGCTAAGCCTTATGTGCTTGCCCATCTCACAAATTAAGATGTTTTATTCCGTTGGTTACTTTTTCAATGGCATAAGTCACAAAATAGGAAAGTCTGATAGAACTAGTACGATTAAACGATATCATATCTCATCACTTCGTGTTGCTATTTTGCGATTCCCCCACGCCCATTCGGGTCTTATAATCGCGAGGGCTTTCGAAGAATTGCGGGTTGCCGCCCCACATCCCTCTCTTCGCAGCCTTTGCCTTACTCTCTGCGGCCTTATACTCCTCCTCAAGACCACCAAATTCAGCACCAGTCTTAGCCTCGTATGTTGTAGCCAGACCTCGCTTTAACATTTCCAAGCCAACATCGCGGCGGATCAGGAACCGCCTTACATATACGGTAGCGACGATACGATCATACTGGTCACGTCTGTAGATCTTTGCTCGAACCCTTCGCCCAAGTATGTATTCGGATAACCAGGCGAGGGCATCCGTCGAGAATGGTTGGGCGGGCCGTCCCCAATGAGCGCCTTCCGGTGCGTCAATACCGGCGATACGTATAGGAATCTAAACCGTTCAAGAATTAGATACGGAGAGCGGTCAAATAGGGTCATGGCTGATTTACCGTCTTATTCTTCAACTCTACCTTCTTGACCGGGACCTTTCGTAGCCATCCCCACCCCGCTAGACGACCACCCGGTGTGTGGTATAAATGGAAGTTATCTCCATCTCCGACACTCGTAACTTGACCGAAGATGCTTCTCCTCCTGAAAGAGCTCGGTCGGATGTGTATAGTGCCGGGGATGCGACGCAGGTATGAACGATAGATCTGCAAAGAGGCGACAACGGTTGTCGTTACAAGCAAAGTCGGGACCCAGTTTCTAGGGTCTTTGTAATGTTGCCAGTCGGTTCCGTTTAAACTATCAGACCAGGAGACTGGTCGTCTCGAAGAATCACCGTCTTTCCCAGAGGCAGAGGTGAAAGGCCATACCATTATTGTGATTTGGAGAGGTCGAAGACCAATCCCTGAGTTGAAAGTAGAAACTGTTGCTTATTTTGGAGTCCCCAAGATTAAACCGATCTGACCGATCAACAACCAACAACCTTGAGACTTTCCCCAATAGAGCAAGAACTAGTCTTATCTTATCAGTTTGCTTGCTGCAGTGCCACCTTAGCCCCCTAAGCAAGCCAGGTCAAATGTTGCATCTTGCATGTGTGAAACAGAAAGCCCCGTCGACGTCAATGTGCAGCTATCAATAGGTAATATCAAACTTAAAACTATACCGATAAATAAGAAGGAGCTTGGGAAAGCTCAAGTAGCAATTAAAAGGTAGTAAAGCACACATAGCCAAGACATCTCAACTCTACCTAAGGTTAGGGCACCTAAAGCTTAACAACTTTTATTGCTTTTCAGAGACGGATGTCAATTTGAACGTATATATTTTCATAAATCAGCTTGTTGCACGTATGGTATTCACCACGAAAAATATATACCTACCTATCACACGAATCCAAGGCATCTTTAAGCATCAGCTCGTCCTAACGACAACGATATCCCGGAGCTACGTCAACGACAATCCACGAACAGGCAATCGGATACCACGCAGCATCTTATAAGAGGCTTATTTCTCCATTAATTAAGTAAGATCCGCAATCATTGGTTGTGAAGCTTGATGCTATTTTATGCACCTCCATTGGTTTAGGCAATTAGGATTCTTCGAGATATATTGCAACCCGATGGACTAAGTGCAAGTTTGTACTTCTTCTTTGAATGCTGATCTCAAGACGCCACCATGTTAAATCCTCGTCGGCGAGGAGTTCGACTACAAGAGTCTGAACACCAGCCTCTTTTGAATCGTGTCTTTTCTGGCCCGCCAGAACAAGAGCCGCCCCTCGCTAACGATACGAATGACAACCTCCACCTACCGGTGTATACAAATATACATAGGATACGAAGAGATGTCATCAGCATAGTCGAAGACTATCTCACTTTCGAGCAGTTAACAGACCTCCGGCTCAATATTTCAGTTGTTCGGCCGTTAGTAGACAAGTTATACGAGCAGAATGACATATCTATCGGTACGTGTACTTACTCGTTGCGCTAAGTTGTTTATATACTATATTTCATCCTAGTACCTACTTGTATAGACTATGAAAATGAAGCTAACCACGAAATAGTTTATTGTTTGCTCGTAAACCGCTTTCAGTTTCTCCGTGAGCAGGAACATATGACCAATAGAGAAAATGTTCACTTTACACGGGCGACCCTCTGTGAGCTCGTGGCTACGCGCATTCTAAGACGTTATGGCGATGATAATCCGGGCTCGGAAGGACTCCTTCTTTTAGCTAAAATTCTGGTTACTGGGTTTGGGCCATTTCAGAACGCTCCGGAGGAAGTTCGTGAAGAGGCTTTTCTTGGTCCTACGTGGAGCCACAATAGGACTTTACCGGCACTTGAGGTGGCTATCCTAAGTAGTAGCAAGTATTTTCTTAGTTCTACACATTGTCAAAAAGTGTAAGTTTCTCCAGCTGAGAATCCGCCACGAAACTCACAGATATTAGTGTCAACGCAATCTACATTGGACAAGTCATTTATACTCCAACCACTTTTGGTATGTATGAGATTGGTTCAACTTCATTATATTAGCTCGTTTTCTCCATCTTCTTGTCTTTCCGAGTCTAACAGGATAATAGTATGTGACCAAAATCTTTTATTTCGATCGAAGCCATCCATCCTCTAGCAGGCAATGTTCTTATGATAAATTAATCATATACGACGACTTATGTGATTGCTAACGCTAGTAGCTGGATATGATACCCGACCGATACAAACAAAAGCCTATCTCGTTATACGATCCCCGTGAGGCACCCTTGCTTAACCAGTATCGACTGATAGTGCCTCGCACGAGAAACATACTAGAAATAACCCAGTTCATTATCCTACTTACCTTATATCTCCTATTCATGCTCGAGCGCAACCCGGAGTATTTGAGCGTTTTTGAGATGGCATTTTCGATATACGCGTTCGGCTGGGTTCTTGATCAGTTTGCAACGATCTTAGCACATGGATGGTAAATTAGTTCGAACATTTTTATGTCTTTACCTACTAAATAAGATAACAGGAATGTATACACGCAAAACCTTTGGTCATTCTTGGATGTCATGTTCGCGTTGGTCTACTGGATATATTTGATATTAAGAATATACGGTTGGAAAACCGGACAACCCGGACCAGGCCAGCAAGCTCTTGACGTCCTTGCAATGGGAGCTCCAGTGCTCGTACCTCGGCTAGCGTTCAACTTATTATCGGATAACATAGTGTTCCTATCCTTACGATCTATGATGGCGGATTTCACTCTACTTACAGCCTTGGCAGCGTGGTTCGTATCCCCAAGCACACTGCGTGCTGCTACCTGATGAAATTCTGTGAAACTAACGACGGCCAGGTGTTTTTGTGGATTCCTCCTCTCTATGGTGTGGCTCGCAGAAGGGCGTCACAATACCGTGTAAGTATTTTGGTTGCAAAAGCTCTTCATATACTAACCGTCCACAGAACTATCAGTAAATGGATGCTATGGATTTGGTTCGGCTTGGATGGCACTGGCATTTCACGCTCTGTGAGTGAGACTAAACACGTTTCTATGCTTGCTTCCCTAACATCATATCCTACAGGGGGAATTTCACTGGCTTCTAGGACCGACCCTGATGGTTGCATTCGCGTTCCTAGGTAACACACTATTCCTAACCATCTTGGTTTCGATGCTCTCGAATACGTTTAGTAGCATTGTCTCCAATGCTACTGCCGAGATCCAGTTCCGAAAAGCGGTCATGACGCTTGAAGGTGTGAAAAGCGACGCGATATTCGCCTACCAACCTCCATTCAATATAATTGCCCTGTTCGTATTGGTTCCGATGAGATTCTTTGTTAGTCCTCGTTGGTTCCACAAGATTCATGTAGCAACCATCAGGGCAATCAATCTACCGGTGCTACTCCTCATCGCCGGGATCGAGAGGCAGCTCCTATGGTCGGATACGGAGTTGTTGGAATACCCGACAGAACAGCTACCAAAGAAACGTCGTACGCGGAGCTGGTTTTGGGAGAGATGGAGGATAACAAGCCACAGGGACATCCAGGCTGTTTTTGATATTCCTCCGCCGGAATCAGTTGAGCGCGAGATTGCGGTCGACGATGAGCTAACACGCCATATGATTCGAAAACAGTTTGCTCGGCAGCAAAGTTCGACGCTATTAGAGTCGAGTAAGAATCAAGACAACGAGCCGAATCAGCCGCCACCACCTAAGACGCCGAGTCGCAGGGATTCTATAGCCCCATATGGGATGCTATCAGACCAGATACGAAATATCATGAGTGAATCGTCCGAGATCGAAGACCTATCAAGCCGTTTAGGCAAACTAGAGAGCACTACCTCGAGGATTGAGCAGATGCTAGCAAGGCTGTGTAACGATAGGAGTGGTGGTAGCAATGGTGATGATGCCGGAACCACCTCGGAGCAGAGGGTCGATGATGGTAATTGGATATAATATCTTGACTTACCTACCTAGCAGCTATCTATGGTAGCATGTCTAAGCTCTTTCAAATTAATAAAAGCGTAGGCGTACGAGATAACTTGGAGTAAAGGGGGTATATATCGAAATCAAGGATTTATATAGCATATATTGAATACTGTGTTAAGAGGGACCGAGCTAATTACCTATTCATCCTAAAAGCCACTGTGAATAATGCCACAAAGAAAAAAAAAATTACACCGATACACTCAGCTCTATTGATGGTGTAAATCGGGTGACGAGAATTGGCAGGCACATGGAGGTGCGTAAGTGTTTGTGTAAGTCAAACACGCACCTGCACTCCGGATCCTGAGTTCAGATGAAGGAAATGTTCCTGCCGTCTTTTGCGTCGTGATATAGTTATTCTTTCCTAGGTAAATATCAAATCCTAGACGAATTTAAACCTGATATTAGACAAAACACCATCTCCTAACAATATCAGCTATATCTATACCTACCTATCCATCTACAAGCGACTCTACTCGCCGAGTAATACACACTACGCGACGCATAATAGGAACATGTGTAGAACGATCCGTGCGTATATTCCCTTGAAACATAACATGGCACGCCATGTATACCTATATACCTGTTATACTAACATGGCATACGTAGATTTCCGCAGCCGCTGCTGCAGACACCACTGGCTGCAGATCTGGCAGCCGTGCTATCCCGGCATGGGGTTCAACACGTGCAGCATGTTTGGCGACGGCGTCGCGCGCGAGCCCGCGAGCATTGCCGACGCGGCGGGCTTGTGTCCTGCCTGTCGCTTCTCGGGCTGCTACGACAAGAACAAGACTCGCATGATCATGGATATTAAGAGGCGCTGGCGCTGGGGGTTCGGCCCGAGTAAGTACGATCCGGGATGCGAGTGCGCTGTTATGTGAGATGCGGCGGGTTGGGTTGGGAAGGGAAGGGAAGTTGCGTATCGCGTATTAGGCGCGGAGGGATAGGGATAGGGATGGGGAGGGGGGAGATTGCGGTTACTTTATGGGTATGTTGGATGATTTCGTCCCTGTTTGCGATGTGGTCGGATGCCGTGGACTAATCGTCGAATAGCTCGCTAGACTACCATTACCAAGATATTATTATTATCAACACCATGTACCGGTTTTATATCGCATCAAAGTCGACTCAAGTCATGGCCGTTAGGAAATAGTGGTGCTGGTTCGGGCAGAGCGAAAGGTAACCCGCGAGTAGGCTCCGGCTGTAAAGCCTCTCGTGAAATAGGACACCTAAATAAATACCCAATAATCATAGGTAACGAGGCTACGTCTACTCGTATTAAGGGCATATAGCAAACCATTCGCCGTCGTCGAGGCCTATTAAATAAGAATCAATATACTACCTACCTAACTCATCGTTATCCTACCACATAAGACAAACATATCACGTGCTTTAGGTTTTTTTTGTGATGGGAAAATTTATTAGCTCGATCTTAACTCTCCGTCTGTATCGCTTTACCATCGTAATTCGGATTTGCTTCAACGACTAACACGGCATAGAAGATAGGTATGCTGCCGACGCCCGATACCTCACACGTGGCGTACGAGAGGGTATACGAGCCAGCGGAAGACTCCTTCCTACTGCTAGACACGCTCTCCTCCGCCTCCGAGACAGCATTCCTCCAGACCCGTTTCGGAGACGGCCATGTCCCGCTAGTAGTCGAGGTAGGCCCCGGCTCCGGCGTAGTCATCGCCTTCGTCCACGCACAAGCGCAAGCACTCTTCGGATCGCGGGACGTCTTGACAGCAGCCGTCGACGTCAACGGGCACGCGTGCAAGGCGACGGGCGAGACGGCGAGAAAAGCCGCCGCAGAAAACGCCGCGACGCACGGGTCCTTCCTCGGCGCGGTCCAGGGGGACCTGGTTGCGCCGCTCAGGGACCAGGTGGTAGACGTCTTGATTTTCAACCCGCCGTACGTGCCGACGCCCCAGCTGCCGGACTTGCCGCATCATCATCATCTAGGCGCGGCGACGCCGACGTTCGACGACGACTCGTATATGCTCGAGCTGTCGTACGCGGGCGGCAGAGACGGGATGGAAACGACGGATCGGCTGATTCGTAGCTTGCCGCGGGTACTTTCCCGCAGGGGGTGCGCGTACGTCCTGCTGTGCGCGCAGAACAAGCCGGACGACGTCAAGCAGCGGATCCTAGGCCTCGGGGAGGCGTGGAAGGTTGCGACGGTGGGGACTAGTGGGAAGCAGGCCGGGTGGGAGAAGCTGCAGATTATCAGGATCTGGGTAGAGTAGGCTTGTTAACAGACACGTGGGAGAGGGGGATATTTGGTTTTTGGTTGCCAATGGGACTTTATATTTGTTTGGCTCTCGTGAGCTTTCAGCTAGCTCCTCATGAAAGAAGTAAAGAATTAAGTAGTGTTGCAAAGGAGCCATACCAGCTTTTGCCATTCTTTCATGGTTGTGTCTGTGTGTTGTGTTTTCATTTGCCTACCCCCCAACGCCGTAGAAGTAATGCCTACCAACTTGTCTTCCGTACTTCCTCTCGACTTGACTCTTATAAAATTTGCCTAAATCTGTAACGTAGCCTCTTCCTCCTTCTCTTTCTGTCCTGTCCTCTCGGAGGCGCAAGTATGCTGTAATATAGCATGACTGATACTCCTAAAGCTTGCTGCTAGGGCTCTCCCTCTCACGGTCTACCCCGTCCACGGCCGCGGCCTCGTCCTCGTCCTCTACCACGCCCGCCTGCCCGGATACCTCTGTCCGCAGCCTCCTTGCGCGCCTTGTTCTTGGGTTTCACCGAGTCGTCGATTAGGAGCGTATCTAAGGGCAGCGAGTCGGGCAGGATGATGTAGCGGATCGTAGAACCGCGGATGTTCATGGTGTCCAGGGAAATAGGGTCTTGGCCGCGGGCGGTCATCTTGACTGTTCGTAAGGCAGTGTTCATCAACGGCGAGACCGACGTGATTGTGCCGTGCACGATTGTTCCTAAATAGCGCCGTCGTTAGCCACTGGATGGAGAGATAGCATCTTATCCAATTAAGAGGTTTATTATGGCGCGTACCATTCTTCAGCTCGATCGTCACCGTCTCGTTGACGCACTTCATCAAGAACCTGGAAAACCATCACGATTAGCACCGGAGTCGTAGACGTAGCTTTGTGAATACTTGATTTAGCACACAATTATGCGCCGTGTGGGAATAGGTTAAGCTTACCTAACGAGCTTCATCTTGGCTAGTTATTCGTGTTTTGCGAGATAATGGGGTGTGAGGTTTGTATTTCGGGATAATGGTTGGAAGCTCAAGGTCGGACAGTCGCGTTTAGTGAGCTTTTGGTTACAAGGCGAAGTTCTAGGGTGGTGAAAATTAAAGGCCGTCAATTGCAGGCTGCGTACCATCACGTGACCGATAGCTATTTTCTCGATTGGGTACTTGGGTACATGTATAAGTACCGTTGTACCTATCTCACTGATGTTGTGTAGACGAGAGCTTCAATTCGTCATTTTAAATATGTGTAAGGCGCCTAACCTTAGGTAAATATATCAGATATTCCAGGCCATCTCAAGACACATATTGACTGTTATTTATATATTGACAACCGGTTAAACCAAATAACTAACTAAAAGAAGTAACTATCCCTTCATTTATAAACATGCTAGCAGATATAGAGGAGACCAAGGTGATAATCAACGCCGGAGTTCTGAAATGCAAAGGTATCTATGCTACTGGCCCAACCTCGCTACAAATGCTCGTGCAAATGCCACCCCAGCCCCAAGCGGGTATGATTATATTCGTCTAGGCTATAGTTTATTTGTCCTTCTCGTTCTCATTCTCGGATACTTTTTCCCACTCGTCCTCTGTACTAGCGCTGGATTTTGTTCCGGATGAAGGTTCAGTTCGAAGCTTCAGGTCTGCCGTCTGTTCTATAACTTCCACATCCTTGGCTACTGCTGTGGGTTTCCCTTTTGCGATGAATGCGGTTTCTACTTCGGTTTCTTCGCTTTCATCCGAGGATTGTGCGGCCGCTCTTTGTTCGGAACGCGCCTTGTCCCGGGCTTCCTTGGCTTGTGCTACCTTCAACTCGGCTGCGAACCAGTTGATAGCCCACCAGAGCCCCCCACACAGGAATGAGAGTATCACAAAGTGAATACTATATGTCCCAACCAATAGGAGAAGAAGTACGAGCTGTAAACACGCGAATGTAGCGTTGGTGGCGACGAGGAGAGTTGGAGTCGTTCCGGGAGTGAAGATGGACTCCCAGAGATCTGTTACGAAGCTTGCCATGTTTTCCAACGTAGAACAAAACTCGGGGTATAGATGCGACAAGTGATATTGGGTTCGAATCGATATGCGACAATGGACAGGTACTGATTCTTGTGTGGTCCAGGTTAATCTAGAGCGTTACAAAGTTAGCTTAGGAAAGCGGTCAGTTTAAATAAGAGATAGCAATAAGCCAGAGGGTCCGGTGAATGTTCAGACTGACTTGTGTTAAGGCCAGTGTGCTGTTAGGCAGTCACCGATGTAGTCATAGACAGGCTGGTCATAGACAAGTGAATAGGACACGGCGCAAGAAGCAGACTGATTTAGCCACAACACAAAGCGCGCGATGGGAGGAACGGGAAACAATCAAGCGGGGCAAGAAAGGTAATAAGGTTACCTACATACCTGCGTACTAACCTAGGTCCTAAGATACCAAATCTGTAATGTCGGAGATAGGTAGCTAGTTCTCAGCTTAATCAGCTCCTCACGGAAAAATAAAAGAGTCGGCGGCAAATATAATAAGTCATAGGTTACAACCAAAGCAGACTTATATGGGCTATGTAGAAACCCAAGAATAAAGAGGCTGGGAAGAACCGGAGGATAATAAGGAGAAAGAAAGCGGATGCTCTGTTGTAAATACCTATGAACGTCGCGGGGAGGTACAATATACATGCAAAAGAGGCGGGGCTTTGGAGGGGCTCAGGTTGGCAGCTTCCAGTCCCTCATGACTTTATTGTAGGTACCAGGTATTTAAAAGGGCAGCAGGTATGCCTGATCAGTGCAACGTCAATCTTTCACGCCGATGCGTTGACTTACATGTATGCATGCACCTATATAAAAATTTTCCAGTTGTCTATTTTATATCTTAGGTAGGCAATCATAAGGATGAATGGCTATTGTTATGTAGGTATATCACTTGCGATATACATCTATACGAAGCTGCGAATTATCGTTTTGGGATGGGAGCTAGGACTACGAAGTGGAAGCTATGTCATCGACACATGTGTTAAGGGATGGTTGAACTATCTCCTCTCATATGAACCGTGGTGCAGTTTCATGCTGTGCCTCGTGAAAAACTAGCTTGGTAACGACGAAGCAATGACGAGAAGCCAACTTTGATCTCATCCAATCGCATACACTACATAATATATACTCCATTTTGATATCATCAATGAGATGTGAGATGCTTCCAGATTTTGAAGCTCATATTGAAGTCTACCTATTATAAGTTAGTTAGCTGGTTAGTTACTACCCAAGATTAGATATCTTATCGATAGGTGGTTGCGGTACCTCCGCTGTATGTATTTCTGCGTAGATCCCTTTTGAGTTAGGTGCCAACCTTATGTTTTACGCGCTATGTGCCCCACGCCTTCCCTGCCTACCCCGTGCGACAGGCCAATTAGAATCCACTTAGAGGTTCTTGTGCTAAAGGCGTCAAGTACGGGAAACCTACCTAGATGCAAGCCTCGCCTGAGTTGAAATCGACGAAATACATCCCTCTTTCATAACCAACTACCCTACGACATACTGCTAGAGCAGCGCTTCAGGCTCTTGTTTTACAGCTTTAAATAAATCCTTAACCATCCTTGTTGAATCGCTTACCCACGCAGCGGTACATTAATCAAATACCTATTAACTTGCCTACTTAGTACATAGCCCTTCCAGCGCTCCAGACTCCAGTGCTCCGGCGACGATCATATTACTAGTTGCTACTCACCAAGTAACTGGGAGTTGCGTATAACATCCATTTCGCGCGACGCAATAATACTGCCTCCTAGTTGTTTCTACCTCATATCTAAAGCCCCAATATAAATATTTAGCGATATCCATCATCGCTGACAGCATGCGATTCGATGCTCCAGGGCGCCTTTAGCTTCAAGCGATATCATAAGTCAAGGCGAGCATCGACAAAGTATTATGGCTGGCAGCGCAGATTCAAGCCACTCCAGCTTGAAGGACCTTCTAACTTCGCATCCGCAAACGAGACATGAGACCGGTCAGCCTCTGCCGGAATCTTCATCGTCGGATATTCCTGTGCGCGACCCGCCCGTGCCGAACCTATCCAAACTTCTTAGAGGCAAAGGACGAGAGTGGGAAGCTATAAAATCCAAGCCTAGGCCGTTGCAGCTCCTCGACCTTCCGGTCGATATTTTGAGACTCATCGTTAAGGAGGCAAGCTGGAGACACCTATGAATAGGTCCTATGTAAGGTGTACTGACATCTGCATGCTAGGTGACCCATACGAACGACCTAACCTCGTTAGCTTTAACGAATTCCACTCTCTATTATCTCGCTATACCTCATATTTACGCCCGCTTCGATATAGTCTGGCCAGATGATACTGTTCCCCCATCTGATAGCAAAAACGTCGATGCGCTGACCTATGGGTTGGCAACCTTGTGTCTAGGTAGTAAGTTCGCTCAGCGGACAAGATGGCTGAAAGGGAGCTCTCTACCTTACTTGGAGTCCTCTGGGAGACTCTCCAACAACCAATATGCAAGATATACTCGTAAATTTTCCCTCGGTAACGGGCCGAAAGACTGGACATCCGAGTATATGGTCACTAAGGAGAGCGGGAAGATGCTAGGAACATTAGTGGCAATAGCTGTCGGCAAGATGATCAACTTAGAAACATTCGTGTGGGACATGCCCACAGGAGTTTTATCTGAAGTTTTCATGGCCTTAGCATCCCTACAAGATCATTATCCAGAAGGTCAATCTAAGCTGGAGAAGGTCTGGGTTCGTTGGCACGATAATTCCGAGATCCAAGATGCTTCATCCTCCGTTTCTAGCCCGATCCAAGGTCCCTTGCCGCCTCTTTCTGTTCCTATCGGAAGTACAGTGACTCCTGTCGGCAATACTCTGCCTAGTGATTTCCACCCGTCTGTAACACAACCAATTAAGTACTCCGAAAGTCACGTCGAGTATCCAACTTTCAGCATTCTACCACCCCTCAAAAGCTTGACGGTTCTAGACATCGATGAGCTCGCGTACTTAGACGAGATATCGGTGCTTATCGAGCGTTCGAGATCTTACCTTAGGGAACTCCGAATTGGAATATCGCAGAAAGCTCGCATGGCGGATTTTGCGCAGGCATGGGATAGCTACACCTTAGAGCAAATTGACCATGATGCCCGTTGGCCCGGAGAAAGTCAGATCGGAGAAAGGAGACTAGGGGGGGTTCTAGGGGTACTGGTTGGCAGAATATATGACATAAGAAGAAAACCGGTCACAAAGGTTCAGACGAAGGATTCGACTGATCCCACATCAGAACAACCGCAATTTGGGGTCGGGTTCGGCTCAAGTTCTAACGGGGGTCTTTCACCGTTCGCGCACTCGAATATCACAACGCCTAGAGAAATACCACCCCTGAATCAGCAGCGGCCCGGTGTCTCTACGGCTTCAGGTCAGAGCAGCAATGGATTATTTGCGGAAAGAAAGCGTCTTGATGGAAAGCTCCAACTAGAGACATTGGAACTCGAACGGGTACCGCTATCACTACAAGTTTGCACAAAGGCCTTTGACTGGAGCGTCTTGACAAGTCTTACGATTCTCGATTGTATGTTTGTTGAGCACCTCTGGAGGACTCTAAAAAGACAATTTCACCCTACACCCCCGGCCCACGGCTCACCCCCTGGAACACCAACTCAGTATCACTTGGCACTGAAGCACATACATACCAACATTCCTTCCAATACTCTGGTTAGTTTCATTAAGGAAACTCTCGCACCTAATAGTCTAGAAGTACTTTTCTTGCAAGACCGACGGCGGGCGCCTCATCCAGCTGTGAAACTTGACCAGGTTTTCAAGGGCGCGATAAAACGCCATCGATTAAGCCTGAAGAAACTCCTTCTCGATAGCTCGGACGACTCGGGAGAGGGCCGTCGGTGGGAAAGTTGGGTGCTTAGTAGCGAAATGATTTCTTACATTACTAGCGGGCGAATGCCAAATCTCAGAGAACTTGCTGTGGCGATTGATTATAAAGACTGGGTAAGCAGACATTCTAGCCTACATTAACCGCAATAGTAACGACGGCGAACACTAACTGGCGCTACCCCTATAGCATCCATTCCTCCAGCGGCTTCCGAACGTATCACAGCTTCGCTCTCTGCACTTAACTCATATATTAGGGCACATATCTGGCAATTTCGATCCAAAAGAGCTCGCTCTCCAGCTAGTTGATATTATCACGCTTCGAACAGAAATTCAGCTCTGCTACGTAGGCATAAACAACAAATGCTTTGAGATACTAGAGACTCGGTCAGGCGACGGTACTAATGGCAGTTCTGATATCGGCCTGGGTGGAAACCACAATGAAGACGTACCCATCGTGATCGATATGGACGACGGCAACGATGATGACGGCAGTGAGGCTGACGAAGAGACGGAAGAGGACGACGATGATGATGACGACGATGACGAGAACGAGGACAACGCCAATGCGGGTGCGGCGGACGCTGGGGATGACATGACTGATGTGTCTGACGATGCTGAGTCTGAGATGGACTCGTTACAAGAAGACGATACAGTAGGGTCAGCAGCACGGCTTCGTTTACGTGAGATATTGTTCTACGATGACAAAGTCGCTATATTCAAGGCACGGCACGGCAGGCTATAAAGTATGAGGTATGACTTTGGGCCCCCAAAGGCTTGGAGCTCGTTAAGTTGTATTTAAAATTTCGTGAGCAGGGCGTGGTACAAGGCTCTTCTTACTTAGGACACGAGCATATGAATTTCAACAGCGCTTAGCAAACGTAAGACTTCGGGCTCAGCTCCCGCGTCTACCTACATTAGGTACTTAAAACAAAAAAGAAATATTATAAAAAAAAAACAAAGGAAAATTGTGACCGATTCTTCGCACTTTGTCTTCCGTCTTTTACAAATACAATACAAATGCAAGGGGGGAGAAGTTTCCAGCTCGAAGATAACGTTGAAGAAAAAACGCCACTGCTGAGCTGTATCATCCCGCTAAAATCAAGCCAGGGTTGAGGGAGCGAATCATGGTTCGGGATCGATATGTATTATATGTACAATACGCCCCACCAAGTTTATGCTGAACAGGCCCTGGACGATGCCTATGAAGACCTAATGCAGGAACCTAGCAGCCCTGGACTCTGCTGGGGGGGGGGGGGGGGCCTAGGTAGACATTTTTTGAGTCACAGTGGTCACAGTTAGATGCCGGGTTCTTCTCGCACTATCCCAACTATTACATACATATACATACATAGTATTACATATATACCTATAGTTACGCGCAGGTATTCTCAAGTTTCGTGATGTTCTCCTTCACCGTACCCAGCAATATCTATCGCTGTCGTACAGGGGGTTGCCTTACCGCCATCTCACCTTGAGAAGAAATCCTTTCAGCCCCTTGAGCTGGGTTGCTCAGCGGGATCCATTCACAGCGAAACATTTAGGGAATAGATTTTTTTTTTTTTTTTTAAGTTCCATGTCCATGTTGTTGTCCGTCAGAAAGTAGAAAGTAGTTAGGGAAATTTTAGTACATTCAGTACCATTGTATATGTGTGTCTCATTCTCACCGATAGTTGGTGCGGTTTTTTCCTTTGTCCTAGATTCGGAAAGGCTTGTTGCAGAAAGGAAATGCACCAAACATCGACCTCTCCGCCATTTCGTTGAGTACGAGCTCCGGCCGTTCTTGGTGCCTTAATAACTAACCGCCATTTCCAAGTAGAAAAATTCCTCGAGAACGCCTGCGAGGTCTTGTATTTTCTTTCTTTCGAAATCTCGTCTAGAATTCACTCCGTAACGGCGTTTTGTTCATTTTCAAGGCTCTTGGAACTGGCGGACTTTGGATATTATTATACCCATATTCTCGTCTTACACCCACCACCACCACAACCACCACTACTATTACATACTACTACCAGTTCAGTCCACCACACACCAGTCTTGGTTAACTTTTCTCTACCTCAACTTTTTTATATTTTTATTTTTATATCTACAACCTACAACCCATCTACCGTTCCTTATGGATACCTTGCCCGTTGAGCTTATGAGACTTGTCTTCTCTCATTGCGAACCCGAGTCGGTTAGGAATCTGAGAGAGGTCACTCGCATGTTAGCAGACGTGGGCTACGAATTCTTGCTATCTTCCAGGTTCACCGCTGTCGGTTGGAGAAATGATATCGACCGATTACACTCCATCGCGCTGCACGACCGACTAAGAGGCAGCATCACATCAATCTGCATATTTCTCGGCGAGTTATCTTATTACGACGCATGGAGCACATCATGGTAAGTTTTCTTTTATCTTTTATGATATCTCGAATTGCCAAGACCGCATTTTCCGCACACAAGTATTTATCATAATGCCGTCTACGCGAATACGACAGCCACGTATACTATACTATATGCATACTATAGGCCGATATTTAGCCCAATCCTTCTCAATTTATGCATGCAATTGGACTTACTTACATGGTGTATCAGGTTTCAACATTTCGTCACGCCTCCAGATCACCGTAATGAGTTAATGGGATCGGCTAGGCAGGAATTCGATAGGATCGAAAGGGGGCGTAAAGCAGTTGGTCCATTGCATCTGAGGGCCGACGACCTTCGAGAAGCATGCTCTTCTCTTCCGAATCTTAAGGAATTTGAGATTACTTTCACCCAATGCCCTCTCGAAAATGACCTTCTGAAGGAGGTCTTTGACTACCCAAGCTGCAGGAAGCTGGATCGACCCCAGACGTATAGCAACTTGGATGCTATCATCTCCTCACTCCATGGCGTCCCTCTAACCTCTTTCAAGGTGGATCGACTTCCCCTCGAATTATTCCGTGCAAAAGACCACCGCAGCCACTGGTTCACGCACGCCCAGTCGTTCAGTAGTCTGGAGACTCTCAACCTAACTCTCGACCCCTCGGGACTGCAAGGTCCCGGATCGGCTTTCAGGGCCGTCAATGGACTTGGTCGCATCCTGCAGCTCGCGACGAACTTAAAAAAATTGAAACTCGCATTCCACCCCTATTCCAGCGAGAACTCCAAATTTGCCCTGTCGTTCCGTGAGCTGTTCTACGACTTCACGTATAAGCAGCTTACGGACTTAACACTCGAGGGCGTCTCGTGCGAGGAAGAGGACCTCAAGTACTTCCTCGCGCGGCACGGCGCCACCCTCCTCCGATTACGTCTCGGTGGTCGCGGGCTCGCCAAGCCCTTCGAGGTATCGCTGGGGGGTATCCATATGTACGAAGGCACCTTTAAGTCGCTGTTCACGGGTCTACGCGCCAAGATACCTAAGCTAGAACGGCTGCACCTCGAGGGCATCTTCGAGTGCGAGCACCACGACCTGCCTTCGCACGAGGCTTACAACTTCTACCCCCTGACGAACGAGGACTGGGAGGAGGTGCCCCGCCCCAAATGGGTGCGCAGCTCGCGGAAGACCATCAGCTGCTTCCCGTTCGAGCAGTACGTCCTCTTCGGGGGCCCGTATCCCGGGACCGCCTTGGCCCAACAGGCCTACTAGGTAGCCGAAGAAGCGATTTTGGGTTATTACGACTTATAGATCACGGGGCCGCATTTATCTATCATCGTTACGAGCAACGTTCCTCGATTTCAAACTTGTATCACCACGGACTCTTGCATAACCAGGAGCGGTCATGTGGCGGCGACGGCGGGTATTAGGGGGGGGGGAGTGGGCGTCGAGGGGAGCATGGCTTGCATTCCTGCGATTATTCATTATTAACTACCTATTATTTTTGAAGACTTTTACCATGTCATCCATCATACCATACGACGACTTTCACTTCTCGGGCAACAAGGACGGGTTATTGTTTATTATGCATGCGGAACGACATTTTCTCTTTCTCTTCTCTTCTCCTTCTCGTTCTAATATCCTCTCATCTCGTTCTAACGGAAGGGGGGGGCAACATATAGAGGACTCGCACCGGTCTTGTTCACCGCCAGGTGCGAATCAATCAATCAATCAATCATCACATTTCGGCGTTTATACACCTTGTCCAAATTGCTTGCTTGCTTACTTGCTTCTTTGGGGAAGGGAGAAGCGGGTGGGGGGTTTATTTCACGAATAATGTTATGCTGTCTATCGTCTTGGTAAACGGGCGGGGATGGGTATATGAGTGGTTTATGGCTTCTTTTTTTTTTCTTTTTTTTGGTATGTTTGAGGGAGAATGGGGACGATGGGAGTTTCGATGAAGAAAGAATATGCAGATTGTACCGTATTGATAGACTGTTGAATGAAGATCCCAGATTAGAATGATTAACTACGCTGGTAACTTGCCTTGGTTTGATGTATTGACTGGTCTGAGAATCTATAACTACCGGTGACTTGGTAGTTATCCGAGTTTCTATAGTTAACTGAAATTCTATTGGACAATCCCTCTTGTCTCCCCCCTTTTCTGCCCCTCTCGGCCACTCCGTTGTGTTTTGGCTATTAATCTAACTAGGCATCAAGCCTTGGTAATATCACCATCAAGCGGTGAGCAGTAACAACTACGCGGAAAGGCCTGAGATTGACATTGGTCTTGGGTTTTTCTTCAGACGATAACTACTTAAATCTGATGTTTAAGTTTCTGCTTAGTTAACAGGTAGTTAATATATAGATTAGTTGCCGATGAATAGACCTGTTAATTTCGCAAATATCTTTTACATAGCTACTAGTTAGTCTGATAAGTTAACTACTTAGTTGTAGTTAACTAATCTATCAAGCAAGTCTTTACTTTCAATCCCCATAACTATCAAGTATCATTACTCGTACCATACGTCATTAAAATTCAGCTAGCTTGTTCTATAGAAGGTCGGATATAGGGGTATTCAGGGGTTAAAGCAGAAGTAGCGGAGTCAACAGTTGCCATGGATATGAGGGCCCGTGGAGTTTGTTAATTTAGCCAAACCCCGGGAAATCAACGGTAATGCCGCGCGTCCTACCACCGGCTTCCTTGGCCGTGCCACTCCGGGTCCCGCTTAGTCAGGTCTTTCGTTCCGTAAACGCCGGTAAGGTACCTAGGTAGTGTTTAGTGTAGGGCCTAGTGTAGGGCCTAGAAGTTCGACAGCCTTAGGAAGTTTCAAACAGAACACTATTAATATACCTACCAAAAAAATCGAAACTATGGCAATAGCTTCCACCGCCAATAAGAAAAGCGTATATGAAAAAACCTTTCATTCGCATAAAATGAGTCTCATCCTCGACGCTTACAATATGATACGTCTTATGTATATCGCGAAAAACCTTAAGATTTAGACGCGTTCGACAAGGGTAACCTGTTGGTAGTACTCCACTTTCATTCCAAATCGAAGGGTATGTATTAGAAGGAATAGGTGCTAGTTTTCTCCTCTACGTCTTAGTCTACCCGGCATGCTAGTTGCACTAATTTTGCTAATTTTAGCTAGCCTTTCTTCAAGCTCATCATCCTCAGAGTCATCCTCTTCTTCAACCTCATCATCCTCAGAGTCATCCTCTAAGTCATCATCGGATTCATCGTATTCAAACTGGAGCTGGTCCTGGAGCAGCTCACTCTGACTCTATTGCCTCTACTGGCTCTAGCGGTTCGGACTCTGGCATATCTTTTTGATCCGTATAAATCTTCTCGATAGTGCTGCAAATTCGATCAAATCGCTCTCCTTGGCCCCACCGTTGGATGTTGCTAATCAACATAAGACATTTCTTATATTCCGCGGGCTTGATCAATACAAATGTTGCGAAACATATCATTGTATATTTCGTAAGCCGTGCTCTTGGATTGTCTGGTACAGATACGTTCGGTGTTGGCCACATAATATAGAAGTGTATAATGTCTTCTCTTATAGAAGCACAGAAAACATATCCGCCTTGAATGATCTTGTTATATGTAAACAAGGCTGACGAGGCACTGTTGAGAATTTGGTTCTCTGCTTCCGCTATGGGTCGAGTGCCTTTAAATTCGATTATAAAGTACGGGAAACAGAAGCCGTGGGAATTGCTAGTGAATATTTTATCGGATTTCAGGTATCTTGACAGTTTGGCAAGATGGGGTATATGTTTGGCGTCGTATCCGTAGGCTAGGTCAGGTTTGGGGATAATAGGTTGGCAAAGTTCTTTTGTGGGACATTGTCTGACTATTTGCTGCAATAGCCAAGTAGTAGTCATACTGCCCCAAAATGGAGTGTTTACCTCGTAGGGTTGGACCTTATGTAGATCGAAATCCAATAGATGCATTACCCTCAGTTGCACCTCAATCTCTGCACGGTTGCGTTGATCTTGTGCTGAGAAATACCAACGAAACCTCCTTTTCCTCTCTGCTATAGGATTAAGTATATCCTGAGTAGGCTGTAGAAATTTACTGTAAAATTTCTTGACAGGTTTGGGACATTCGAATAGCCCTTTTTGAAATATTATCAAGTTCGGCTCCAAGTAGATCTCCCTATACCGAGCGTTGCCGGATTGGTGAACGCTCGAGGCACCTTGGGAAGAATGCTTTGCTACTACTGCTGACACCGATGCCTCTGGTGGTATTGACTGATCATCTCTATTTACAAAGGGTATATATGGTTCTTTCGGACTTGGAGGTATTTGATTCGGATCTTGCAAATCTGGTTCGATATTTTCACGCCAACTATTTATATAGCTTGATGTAAGTGGTGTAATTGGTGTAAATGAAGATATGCTATTAAGGGACGATGGGGATGGTGCAGTAGTAGTTTCGGTTATCTGTGAAATTGCTCGTGTTTTTTGTTTAGACGAATGAAGGTGCCGTCTTTTGGTAGGTAGCGAGATAGTATCGTTAGATATTTGCCTGTTATTTCTTCTTAGATCCAGTATAAAGATGTTATAGAAAGATATCATACGTAAATAGTAGCTTAGGTGTACGGTGGGAGGGTTGATGTGCCATAGTGTAGCAGGGAGGGAGAAGCAGGGCGCAACGTGATGCGGCACCTGTGTTCAGTTCGGAGGTTTAGCTCTAACAAACACTGGGAAGGGAACTTTTCTTCGGCCGTTTGGAAGTATAAAAAAATTACTTTCTTTCTTCTCCTTCTCTCAGGTCTCGCCTCGCACCAATTTGGTGTCCGTTGAGTATAGACCGGGGTAGCCTTGTTTCAATTCGGAAAGAAGTTTTCCAACGGCCTGGGAAATCTGTAATGTACACTAGAATGTAAGCAAGATATGTGGACCAAACAGATTTATGTAGGTACTTCGTACATCCATCCATGTTATGTACATAATTACTTGCGTATGTGTTTATGGATATACAGTAGCTGTACAGTATTTTGTACATGCATACGAACTCGAACCTCGTATCACGCGAGTAGGTACATACATACATAGCGATGGACACCTCGTAACAGGTGATGGAGGGCACATGATTGATCGTCGCCGTAACAATATAGAAGCTGCAGTCAGATGAAAACAACTCTTTTAAGTATATTTAACTTCAGCATACTACCATAGTATGCAGTAGTTGAGTACATAGGTAGTTTGATATCCGCGAATAAATTGCATCGGCGCAGTAAGCTGCACGGGAAGGTCCTGGGAATTTTAGTATATTAAAAATCTATTAAAATATATTGAAAGGATCTCTGTTCCGCTAACCCCAGAACGTTTTGCTTCATATCATATGTATTGTACCTACATGCAGTTATGGTCCAAAGTATTTAAACTATCTTCTCGAAGGATCAATATTGATTGATAAGTTGCCGCGAGATCATCGCCGCTACTCGCCATCGCCCGTTTACGAGCCCATTGTTACCTTATAACCGGATGTGTCAACGTAGGGTTTCCACTACCGTCACTACGTACTAGGGGTGAAAGAGAGATCAGTTCATGTCGTGCTCATGATCGGTGCAAGCTGCAATGCTGCAAGCGCCCATGTGTCAGTGGGTTTTGGGCGGGCTTGGCGGTGCCATTTTTGTGCCAACGCCGCGGATGTACATGGACATGGCATCTCCACAGATGTTTGAGGCGGTAAGGCAGCCGACATTTGACGAGCCAGCAAAGCCTACATGATGACACTGGTGTAAGTGAAGGGGCATGGTCATCGAAAACATTTCTGCTATTAGTGCATAGTGTACACAACATACCTACTTACTTAGATCCACACATGTACGGAGACGTAAAAGTGCATGATTGGACTCAACCTACTATGAGGTAGTTAGTACATAGGTATAGAATGAGAAAGACAGTTGAGACGAACAAAGCAACGAAGGACTTAGTAGTGTGGAGAGTAGCCTTTTTGGCCTTTCCCAGGGTTTCCTTGTCGATCGACTCGAATTCCCGAGTCCCAACGATGAGAAGAAGATCGACTAGCAATTATCGGATACGGTAGGGCGATCCTTAATTACATGTAAATTTTTTTTTTCTTTGCCCAACTTGTAATGAGTTAAGAGATCGCATAGTATTCAAAGCCTCAACTAACATAAGTTGGTATACACAATACATTAAGTACTACGCACGAGTCATTACGGCGTTTTACTTGTTTCATTTATTAGTGTAACTACATGTACATAGGTAGTAGGTATGCCTTCCGAGATCTTTGGACCGTGTAAGTGGAATACGATACACACTGTATTCTATTTTAACCACATTGTAACGCTGCAGCACATAGAGTTTCTTCAGCCACGTTTGTTCATATAAAGGTAGGTATATTAAACTTAACTGGGTCTGTATCTATTATTTAGGTAGTATGTGTCTGTTAAACTTTACATTATGTTTTTACCTTAAGGTTTAAGAAGCCACCGTTTTAGCCCATCTGATATTTTGCACATTCCATACCTCTTCCGTATATGGTAGATAACATACCTACCATGACACCGTATATAGGTAATATCCGTATTATACACCGTACTATGTAATGATTTATTTCCTCCCGCTTGGACTCTGGATTTAATGCGCTTTGGAAACGACCGCTACGCACATACATACGTACATACCTACATACTTAAATGAAAGGCCAGTCCCGTTCCTGCTTGGTACCGAGGTAGCGGGTATGTCCACATGTATGTGCGGTAGTAGGTACTATCAATTTGTTATTTCGTTCCTGAATTCATTAAAACCGAACCCGTAATGCGGCAACCCTCCGTTTATTACTCCCCGCCATTGCAAACTACCCCAATATGGTAAAGTCTCTTCCTTACCCCCGGCCGTTTGGTGCTGCCAGGCGTGCCTGCGCTTCCCTGTCTAGTCTTGTCTAAGCCTGTCTTGGTCTTGTCCTACCCTGCACAAATTGCGCCTACCTGACCCAGCCTGTATAGGTCACCCTACCTTGAGCTTTAGCTCCACTAAACATACATTTACGCATGCATCCTAAGCCGGCTTGAGGGTCGACTTGCCCAGTCAAAACGTCACTTTTGTCTGCAGCCAGCTTCCACTCTAGCCCATCCCGCCAGCCCGCCTATCGTATGTACCTATCTAACAGAGAAAAAGAAACAGGATCATTACCAACCTTTGCATGAGTTGTCGTCAGTTCTTCCTCGTCCCCTCTTCGTTAAGGTTCCGACCCAAACCTCTGGATCCCATATCCTCTCCTTCTTCAATGCCGAATGCCGCTAGCTCAGCGCTTGTCTGATGAGCAGATCCGACTTCTCCGTCCTTGATCTGACGACTTGCTGTAGTTTTGTTTTCGACAAGAGGTTCCGAAGGGCGCAAACTCGTCTTTTCTTCGGAAGGTGACGATCCGTGTTTGTTAGTTGCAGCTAGCCATCAATGATGCAGCGAGTTTCCGCCCTCCTCCCGTGGGATCGCAATAGATCGAGCACACCGGTTAGATCGAGCACACCGGTCATTGGTAATAGCAATGGCCATAACAAGACCATTATCCGGAAGAATAGTGTCGACCTCGTCCGCGGCTGGGCCGACAAGATCCCTTCACCTGTAAATCGCCTTAGCACTTCGAGGCTAAGTAAGGACATCTCCCTACCCGCGACTTTAGACAAGGAATGCGACAAGGCCGCCCGCATTCTTAAATCTTTTTGTAGTATGTTCTCAACTCTTCGTATCCACAAGTAAGGGATATCCCCTAACTGACGCCTATCAACAGGCGATGGCTTCTCAACCCCAGACGACCGACCGGGGACTCCATCAACCCACTCGAGTTCACAATCGTCGCACAAATTTCTAAAGAAGATCCCTCCAAGAATATTACAAAATGCTGTAGGGCTTGCGGTTTTTACTTCGATGCGATCTGGAATATGGAGTTCCGGATCAGGGTCAGGTGGTAGCGGCATTTTGATCGCGCGCAAAACGGATGGCACATGGTCTCCGCCATCTGGATTAATGCTCCAGACGGCCAGTTTGCGCTTCGTTTTTGGAGTTGATATTTATGATTGCGTTCTCGTTATCAACAATTTTACGGTCCTCGAAGCATTTGCAAAGCCGCGGTTAACTCTTGGTACCGACGTCGGTCTGACCGCTGGCCCGCTGGTGGCCGTGGGTCTCCTCGAAAACGATGTCACATGGGCCGATTTGAGCGATAGGGCAATTGCATACGTGAAAGCGAAGGGGCAAAGTACAGAGGTCAAGTTGGATGGAATAGTCGTAACTGAGCGGGCTGATGAGAATGAGAGGTTCTATGGGATGAAGATCAGTGTCGCGAAAATCTTGGCTGGGGATATCAACCAAAGTCTACCCCAAACGCGGCCTCTTACCGAAGTGCTCAAGGCCGCCGAAGGAAGAACGGACTATGACACGGCCCTCGTTGAGCTTCTTTCCTCTGCGCCCGGAGATGCAACCATGGAGTCTCCGAGTTCGGGAGCCCCGTCGACAACATCAACATTTGGGGCTCCTGATTTTGAGGATCCGGATCCTTTCGGTGTCATGGCTCTCGAGATGGCTGGTATAGGTATCCGTGAAGCCGGCACACGACTGAGACCCGACAGCAGCCAATTCGAATATAACCCTAGCCCGTCGAGCCCTTTCTTCCCCAAAGCTGGTCGCCAAAGTATGGACACCTATCTATCACGGAGCAATAGGGGAAGCTATATGTCTAGTAGAACGATGGCTACCGAACGAAGCCAGATGACCGATGCCGGCACGCAAACCTGTAACTTCCCAACACCTCAGACAACCCCAAGTTCAAGTCAAAGCCAAAGCGAAGACGGTAACCAGCCACAAACAACCGAAGATATCCCGGCGGCAAAAGAACCTGTTGAGGTTGACTATACTAAGATCGATATCAGTGCTCTGAGGAGCTTATCGAATTTCCCAGATCTAGACGATGAGCTAACAAGGACGATTATTAAGGAAGAAGATGAGCACGATTTAGAAGTTGAAGTTGCGAAAGACACAAAGAGTACGGGTACGGGTACGCACTCCGAAAATATTGGCAGCAATACGACCGATGAGGCGTTAGATGAGGGCAATGATGATGATGGCACCAAAGAAGAAGATGAGGCAGTTGAAGAGGAAGAGGAGGACGAATCCGACGTAGAAGACGAGGCTATTGTTTTCGAAGTTGCTACAGCCCAAGCACCCGCTCGAGTAGCGATGGTAGCCTCTCGAGTTAATATTCCTGCAAGAGTGCCACCCCCACTTCCGCTCAGAAGCCCTGCTCGCACGTCTCGTACGAGAAGCCAGATGGGAGATGTCAATGGTTTAATGGGCAGTCCACTTAGACAAGAATTTGAACTTGAAGGCGAAGTTGACGAAGCGACCACACCGAGGGCCAAAGAAGACCCTAGCAAGCATGCAGCAGTAATGGACGAGGTACCGATAGCGAAGGAAACTAGCGATTCACACGAGGTTAAGCAAGATGCCGAGAAAGCTGAACACGCCGTCACCCCTACTCAAGAATCTGAGAGTATTAGCAGCCGCTCCTCTAAAATAGGAAATAGATCTTCTTATGGAGAGAAGATCATAACCGGGGCATCAACAGATGCAGAGGAGCATACCGGCTTCAAGGCCACTCCTGATGTCTCTGTCACTGTTCCGTAAGCGTGGTAGTGCAATATTCACTTTTTTCTTCAGTCACAACCATGGGAATTTTGGAGTTATTGGGAAAGCATAGGAACGATTACAGGAAGGATGAGATACCACTATGATCAAGGAATGATCGGGTTATAGGTATGAGACTATCTTGCACGATACTCGATGCGCTGCGATCAACATTAGACGTCGCCCGAGGGCGAGGTGGACTACTCGAGCTGAAATAATACCCTTGATATGTACTTTTACTGTTTAACATATTGTACTAATCTGCAATCATCAAACAAACTAGGAAGAGGAATGGTATGCGTATGTAAGAGTTAAAGAACAGGCGTCATGGGGGGGAGGAATAGTGAATTATCCAGGCTGCAGGCATAACAGCTACATATGCTATCGAGTAGCTTAGCAGACGGCCATAACCATGTTAGAAGCCAACAGCGATAATATATAGGCTCCGGAAAGTTGCCCGCACAATGCATCCTTATGGTAGCCCTAGTGACGCCGATAGTGACTTGCCTACTGTACATAGTGAATGTGTAGATGTGCCCATAACCTGTCGCTACTTGTAACTCGTACCTTTTTCTGCCACCTAGCAACGCCGATTTGGAAGATATCGATGATTTCATATTTTCATATTTTCATATTTTCTTCGGACTTCAACCTTATTCCATCAGGATTGGATTTGGAATTTTGATATACCTACACAGAATGCAGCGAAGGGAAAAGGGAAAACGTGCCCGCAGAGGCAGGGGCAGAGACAAAGGCCGAGGCCGAGATGGAAACCGATCCCTGGGCCAAGGCGCACTAGCCACAGCCTCGGGTCCTACCGATGCTAACCGATCGCAGTAAGTTAAGGTTCCACTTCCAAGGTTACCTCATGAGGTCCACTAGCATGGCAGCATGGATTAATATTTCTTCCAGATCCCAGCCACAGGTCGGACTTCCTCAGCCTCAGAACGGAGGTCGAACTCGACGCGTTGGTACGCGCGAGCTTGGAGCAATTCTTGAACCATTCTTAGATCATCCTACTCCGGTAGTCGACGAGGGTTTTAGCCTCAACAACGGTCAATTTAACAACGGTCTCTCCACATCTACCCGAAATTTACGTTCAACAACATCCCGAGGCACTAGAGCAGAGCATCGAACCTTCGTACGCCAGCAAAAACCTCCCACTAGCAAGGCTTCCCGCAAGCTACTCAATATGGCGAGCCAGCAGGGCAAGTGGCGCGAGGATCAAGTCCTCGTCGTCTGTCCCGGCAGCCAGACTACCATGGCTCAGCTCGGTTGCAACGAGCTAACCCCGCCTGCTCATCGCATTCCCACGCGAATGTTCAAGGATCCCGACTCTAACGAATATACTCCCTACCGCATTTACAAGCGCAAGAAGGCTGGCGCATCGGAAAGCGCAGACGGCGAGAAAGCCGAGGATCAATGGGAATATGTCGAGGATCGTGACAGCACCGAGGACGCAATCTACCCTTTGGAGGGTGGTCGCATTGTTAACATGCCGGCCTTCCTAGCATTTCTCGACCACGTACATGGTCTTCTCACTACCACATACCACAACACTCCGATCATGATGATGGCATCACCACAGTGGACTCGGCCTGATCTTGAAGCTATCGCGCGCTACGTATTTGAGAAGACTAAGACTCCGGCTCTAAGCTTACTGCACAGCGCGGTTGCCGCGCAATATGGCCTAAAGTGGCCGACCATGACCGTTGTCGACATTGGCTACGAGAAGGTCGATGTTACCTGCATCCACGAGTACCTCATCGTCAGCGAGAGAGGCCTGGGCTATCCTAACCCGGTACGAGAGATATCAGGTGGAGAGATCTTCACACAGAAGTTGCTATCGCTTCTAAAAGACAAGGGGTTTAACTACGAAATGGCTGAGCAACTCAAGAAGAGCCCTCTTTGCGAAGTCCTCCCCTACGCTACCGACTTAGATGAGCTTATGGAGCTTCCTACGGACGATATTTCTCCTACCACAGGCCAGGTCCCCGGCGGTGCCTCGTTTAGCGCAGAAGCCCCGAAGCCTGTAGAACCGCCCAAACCTGTAACTGCATTTGGGGGTGAGACTGAGGACGGACTTGCCGAGGGTAAGGAGAGCGACGAAGGGGTTCTAGACGTGGCGAATATCGTTACTAGCGGTAACACGCGAGAATTCCTTGCCAAAAAGGAAAAGGAGAAGGCTGAAAAGGCGAAGTCGAAGAAGCAGGCTAAAGCCCAAGAAGCTGAGCTTGCCGCGGCGAAGCCGGTTCGCTTACCCAACTCCAAGCGAAAGACCAACGTGTTCCATTACGAAGAATTGGTGCACGAGGATGTAAAGGTCCCTGTCTCGACCGGAGCCCCTAAAGCAGAAACCACATCTGCCGCAAATGGTGATGCGCCTGCGCCTGCGCCCGCGGCCGATGTTCCCATGGCTGATGCCACGCCTAGCAATCAAGAGGCAAAACCCGAGGCTAAGCCTGAGGGTACCAGCGATGCCAATGCCGAGGCGGTAGAGTCTGTGGCTAACGCTACTAACACGGAGCGGAGAACAAGGCGAGTGCGACGAGATATCGAGGTTGGTCTGGAGCGATTCCTTTTCGCAGACCGTCATGAGATCAATCGAATCACCGATACTATCTATCGCGCGATCCAGAGCATTGATGAACCATACAAGCGGCCGGGCTGCTGGGATAATATTGTGTTCGTCGGTAATGGTAGCCGTCTACGAGGTCTCAAGGAAAACATCCTGCAGACACTTACCGCCCGTCATCTAATCTCACCCAGCACCGCGACCATCTTCACCTCGGAATTGCCCTCTAACATGGCAACACCAACCGGCACCGGCTCTCAGACACCTACCGGCTCTTTCACAGGCCAACTTCCCACCACCAGCTCGGTAAACCCTCTTCTGCAAGCCGCGACTACGGCTTCGTTGGGCGTGCCCGGCGCGGTACAGGCTCCCGGCTCTACTTCCGGCGACATCGGCTACGGCCACCACTCCCACGCCCAGACGCCTACGAGCATCAAGATGGCCCCGCTGCCCGCCTACCTGGCCGAGTGGACGAAGAACGGCTTCGAGGAGGCCATGTTCCTCGGCTCCCTCATCGCCGCCCGTCTGGCGTATTGCATCCATAATTTGGACGCCCAGACCCTGGAGGCGCAGCGCACGATGAGTCTCAACCGGGTTGATTACAAGTAAGTTCTTCCCCTTTCCTTTTCCTCGTTTGCCACCTTCCTAGACACTAGACTAGAGACTAGAGACTAGAGACTGGTTGGACATCATAAACTAACGGTCTAACAGCGAGCACGGCCCTAAGCTCATCCACGTACACTCGATGCTCGGGAACGATACTTCGTGAATAGAGGGCGTCGATCGCATTGCTTGCCTAATTAGCAAAGCAATCTAACTGTTCTTCTTCTTCTTCTCTTCTCTTCACTTCTTCTGCTTGTCCTCTTTGGTGATATAATCACGGTTTTTTTTTTTCTCTTCGCGGAGTTTTAGGGTCACGAAAGACAAAAAGTTTTCCTACGGGCGGAGGGCGGTTGCACTTTTAGTTTGGGGGCTTGAGGCGCCTGGGGCGGTTGTTTATGCACCCAGCGTGGTACCTAGTTGATATGTATGTATTATCACCTTTTCTTTTTCTTTTTTTTTTTTTTTTTTGCGAGCCCGGATTCCGATGCAAGGCTTTTATGTCTAGTCCTTGCTGTCGCGGTTTTCGAGAGGGATACCCGGAAGCAGGCTGCGAGCCGGAGCTAGCTTTGCTTCGGCAGCTGGTTTCCTTGATGTTTTGCGATTTGGGTTTTTTTGGCAGCTTGGTAGACATTGTAGTTAGGTACGTTGTGCTGTAAATAGCTAGTCCTGGCGGTAGTTGCGGGAGAAGACGTCTAACGACTGTACCACGGTTGCAAATAAAGCACGAGATCTTGCCAAGGCAGACTTATTCATACGGGTTCCTCATAGTTTTCACGAGAGTAAATATAGCTTGCGACGAAGCTAAATACGAAAGATTAGGTATCTCTTCCAACCCATCATATCCATCCGTCCGTCCGTCCTTATTTCGATGGATCCAATAACAACTTCCCCGTAGTCTTCCGGCCCTCAAGATCAGCATGAGCACGCGCAACCTCGCTCAGGGGGTACACCTCGTGGATGCGCACGTCAATACTTCCCCCCGTGATAAAACCGAACAGCTCGTCGGCGTAGTGCTCGAGCTCCTCCCTCGTAGTCACGTAGTTGAACACCGTAGGCCGCAACAGCCGCGCATTCTTGGCGCTCAGCCGGGCGATCGTCAGCGGCGGGACGGGGCCGGACGCGTTGCCGAAGGAGACCACGGAGCCCTTGCGCGCGACGACTTCCAAGCTCAGATCGAAGGTGGATTTCCCGACGCCGTCGAACACGGCGACGACGCCCTGGCCGCCGGTGAGCGAGGACACCTTCTGCTTGACGTCCTCGTGGCTGTAGTTAATGACGTGCGCGGCGCCGGCTTTGAGGGCAAGGTCTACTTTTTCGGGCGTGGAGGCCGTGCCGATGGTGTTGGCGCCGATGGCTTTGAGGAGCTGGACTAGCCAGAGGCCGGTGCCGCCGGCGGCGGCGTGGACGAGGACCCAGTCCCTTTTTTCGACGCGGTGGGCTTCGCGCACTAGGGTCAGGGCTGTTAGGCCTTGGAGGAGGCCGGCGGCGGCGATCTTGGGGGCTACGCCGGCGGGGATTTTGACGGCTTTGGAGGCATCGACTGCGGTGTACTCTGCGTAGGCGCTTTCGCCGAGCCTGGTGGGTGTTAGTTGATATCCGATAAGAGAAGACTGCATAGTGTATTGGTGGTGGTGGTGGTAGTGGTATGAATAGGGGCTCAGGGGGCGGGGTCATCACATGTCGCAATGCGGGGTCTGGATCAGGACATGGACGATCGAACGTACCAGACAACTCTATCGCCCTCCTTCAACCCGTACACGTTCCCACCGCCTGTCTTCACGACGGTGCCTTCTGCCTCGCGACCGAGGATGTACGGGAATCGCGGTGCTGGGTATAAGCCTGAGCGGAAGTACCTGTGCCATTGGTTAGTACTGGAGTATATACATATACACACATATATGTATAGACTGTTAATGGGAGGAATGAGAAGAAGATAGTGCTCACGTGTCGATGAAATTAACACCAAGATAATCATTCTTAACCAAGATCTGGCCGTCGACGACATCGGGGACGGGAACATCAGTCTTATACTGAAGGACCTCAGGGCCTCCCGTCTTGTCGATAACGACAGCCTTCTGGGTGGCAGGGATAGACGCCATGTTGCGGATATGTATGATCAAGGGATTATTTCGAATACTCCGTAGATGCGAAGGAATGATTGCTGCTGCCTGCGGTGCTACTACAGCTCTCCTTCCAGAGCTACAAGCTAGTAAGCGGGCGGACGCGGTTCTTATAGACATTCACAGGGGGGCTCTTTTCGTCGAAGGGTGATGTGATTCTCCTCCGGCTCCGGGACTCGGCCGAGTGACGATACTTATGTATAAGGGTATTTTTATTTTTATTTTACAAAGTGGCAACAGGGTTTATATTAGGTACATAGGAAGGAATAAGGAATAAACGAACTTACACGGGATTGGATTGACCAGGAACAGTCTTATTAGTAAAGGTTACGAAAGAGCTCTGGCTCCAGGGAGGCTGCTGCCCCGACATGAATTACTAATGGCACCTATTCAAACTAATTATTAGCCTTTAGCATTGTACATTAGGTACTCCAAAGTCTAGAACTAACGGCTGAAACAATGTTACATCCAAATGCTGTTCCGGTACACAAACTCGACTTAGCTAACTATCCGCGAACATGACGCAATTGAAACCGAACCCCTCCTGCCCCGCAGTTGCTCTTTCACGGGTTTAAACCCGTGACAACCTGACAACTAAAGCCCGACTCCGTTTATTCCGCCGTATCGTTAGTCGGGAAAGGTGAGAAAGAGACTATAAACCCGAGGCCGACTAACGAATCGAATCCCCCTTACCTCCGAGTGTCTATACTTCTATAAGTAGATCTATAGATATATTATAAATCGCAATATTTATTACATTGTAGAAAGCTTATATCGTTTTGATCTTACTAGGCTTAGTTACATTTTACTATAATTCCCCAGTCCGTATATTTACCTACGGGCTTGGAAAGCAAATGATAATTTATACCCCTAATTATGCCATCTCATCTCATCACGTCTCATTTCATTGCTATCATGTACATTTCATTTTAGCTGCTGTAGGCCACACTACCTCGTCAATGCGATATCGTCGATTCTAAGAATCATCTTGACCGTCTCGGCTGCCAGCTCGATAGCACTCGTACTCACCAACAGCGGTTGTAGTACGTTCTCCTTAGCGATATTTGCATTGACACCGCCGCTCTTGATGCTCACACCTGCATTCTTCTCTCCCATCTCGTGCCTGTGTCGTAGATCCGTAACCACCTTAATGCTGTTTAAGCCGGCATTTTCCGCCAGTGTTGTAGGTATCACCTCTAAAGCATCCGCAAAAGCTTTCCAGCAGATAGCCTCCGTGCCCGTAAGGGAACGTGCTTGCTTAGAGAGTTGAGCTGCGATTTCGATTTCTGGCGCACCGCCACCGGCAATAAGAGCCTTCTTCTTAACTAGGCAGCGGATAACGCAAAGCGCGTCGTGCAGCGAACGCTCGGCTTCGTCCAGAATTAAGCTATTGGCGCCGCGGCAGACCACGGATACCGTCTTTCCCGCTGATTTAGTGCCTGTGATCTTGACCATCCGTGCACCGTTAGACTGAGCCTCTTCAACAAGGTCGGCTGAACCAAGCTTGTCCTCGGTGAAGGAATCGATATCTGCAATCGGCTTGCAGCCGGTAGACTTGCAGATAAACTCAACCTCGTCTCTCTCGATATCCTTGACCGCCAGAATGTTAAGCTTGGCAAGGAAGTGCAGGGAGAGGTCGTTGACAGCATCGCGTAGGATAGACTTTTGAATTAGAAGCACGTTGCACTTGGCCTTCTTGATCTTCTTGACGAGGTTAAGGAGGTAAAGACGCTCCTCCTTGACGATCTTGTCCATTTGACGGTAATCATTGACCTGGATGGTGTTTTCCATCTATACACGTAATTAGAAAACTGTAGACGGGAGGCTTTTACCCGTGTTGACTTACATCTGGCTTAGGAGGGCTCAGCTGGAATTGGATCAAGCCGATCTTGGCTTTCTCCATCCGTACCGGGCCGCCTGCTGCTTTGATGACCGGCTGATTCAGGACCAGTCCATCAACCAGCTCGCTGTCTTCTATCGTGCCTCCCACCTTCTTGATGATTCGGATATTCTTCAGGTCTACATTGTCCGCTGACTTGATATCGATGGTTTTTGTGACCGCATTGACCGCCATGGGACCGAGTAAGCCTGAGTATTGGGAGACGATCTTAGAAGAGAGAGATGTGTTCGCTGCTTGAAGAAGGGTGGCGCTGTCGGCTAGAGAGACAGGTTGTGACATGTCGTGGAGGATCTGAACTGCCGCTGCCGCCGCTCTTTGGAAAGACTCGGAAATAACCGAGGGATGGATGCCCTTGGATAAAAGTCTATCTGCCGCACCGAGTAGGGCACCACATATAACTACCACTGATGTCGTACCATCTCCTGCCTCGACATCTTGCGCTGCTGAGAGGTTGACAAGCATCTTGGCTGTGGGGTGCATGACAGACATGCTCTTCAGCATAGTGTTTCCATCGTTTGTGATTATGGTTTCGCCCTTCCCACTCCTAATCATCTTGTCCATTCCTCGGGGTCCTAAGGAGGTTCTGATGGCATCGGCAACGGCTGTTGGGCTTTAGTAAGTGTATTCGGGAAGGTTTATAGAAATATGCATACCTCTGGCAGCAACGATGTTTGCAGACCGCACTGCGATAGGCTTTTCCTTATCCTTTTACACATGTTAGTTTTATAAGAACCTCTAGTCCTAAAACTGTAAGTCGGGTTGAAGAAATAGAGATCATACCCTGAAAGTAGCGTTGGAATGTGCGCCAGCGGCGGATTGCGTTGCGGTAGCCATGGCGATCCAGCTGTTCGGGATTTAATAAACAGAGGTTTTTCTAGTATTGAAAGCTCTGGAGGTCTGAAAAAGATAAGATGCCAGAACTTTGTCGTAGGGTAGACAGAAACAGAAATATTAGCCTACGATTTATGAAAGAGGTGGATTTATGAGAGAGGTGATAAAAGCTCCCCGCCTAGGCTGTGATATTTTTTTGGCAGCTGTGATTAATACATGGTACAAATAAAATGCTCCCGGGGTAGCTGCGAGGCTGCTTACCCACCAGCCCACTAACCAGATATGGCATAAGTTTCAGTACGTACCTCCATGTATCATCTATGTAGAAGCTGCAAGTCTCTAGGCAATGAAGGAGCTTATGCAACCACATTTGTCCATCATCAATCCACTGAAGTGACCTTGCGAACTTCCAGTTTGCCTTACTTTCATAATATTCATTTCCATCAACCATTTATTTATCCACCCACCCAACGAACAATACACAGTTCTCAAATAACCCTCGTCCTCACCTCATCCCACCGATTCTCTCTTTTCTCTAATAATAATAACATCGACGAGCTTCTTGATTTTAGAAGCTCTCTAACAAAATGGTACGGTGATTTCTACGTTTATTATCACAGGCCTCTAGCTAACGGTACTTCAGCCTTCCGCCACCGGATCAAATTGGGAGAAGTACAAGAAGAACTTTGCCGACGATGAGATAGAAGAAAAGAAGATCACGCCCTTATCAGACGAGTACGTTTCCGCCCAATTTCCTTTCCCTTCCACCTGACGCCGAATCTAACCTCGCATCTAGAGATATTCAAGTCCTCAAGACATACGGAGCAGCACCCTACGGCACAGCCCTCAAAAACCTCGAGAAACAGATTAAGGAGAAACAGCAAGCCGTAAACGAGAAGATCGGAGTCAAGGAGTCCGATACAGGCCTCGCGCCACCGCACCTGTGGGATGTCGCCGCCGACCGCCAGCGCATGTCAGAAGAGCAACCGCTTCAGGTAGCGCGGTGCACTAAGATCATTGCCGACGAGAAGGACGAGACCAAGAGCAAGTATGTCATCAACGTAAAACAGATCGCCAAGTTCGTCGTCCAGCTCGGCGAGCGTGTGTCCCCCACCGATATCGAGGAAGGCATGCGCGTCGGCGTCGACAGAAATAAATATCAGATCCTGTTACCACTCCCCCCTAAGATCGATGCTAGCGTCACTATGATGACGGTTGAAGAGAAACCCGATGTTACCTACGGCGATGTCGGTGGCTGCAAAGAGCAGGTGGAGAAGCTACGAGAGGTCGTCGAGATGCCGCTGCTGTCGCCCGAGCGATTCGTTAACTTAGGTATCGACCCCCCGAAGGGTGCTCTACTATACGGCCCCCCCGGTACCGGAAAGACTCTCTGCGCCCGAGCCGTCGCAAACAGAACGGACGCCACGTTCATCCGAGTCATCGGTAGCGAGTTAGTGCAGAAGTACGTTGGTGAGGGAGCCAGGATGGTGCGGGAGCTATTCGAGATGGCCCGGACGAAGAAGGCCTGCATCATCTTCTTCGACGAAATCGACGCCGTGGGCGGTGCTCGATTCGACGACGGAGCCGGTGGAGACAACGAGGTGCAGCGAACTATGCTGGAGCTTATCACACAACTAGACGGCTTCGACGCCCGCGGCAACATCAAAGTCATGTTTGCCACCAACAGACCCTCAACTCTGGATCCCGCCCTCATGCGGCCCGGTCGAATCGATCGAAAGATCGAGTTCTCGCTTCCGGACCTCGAGGGCCGCGCCAACATCCTGCGCATCCACGCCAAGAGCATGTCCGTCGAGCGGGACATCCGATGGGAACTAATCTCCCGTCTGTGCCCCAACGCCACGGGTGCCGAGCTCCGCAGCGTGTGCACCGAGGCGGGCATGTTCGCCATCCGCGCGAGGAGAAAGGTGGCGACCGAGAAGGATTTCTTGAGCGCCGTCGATAAGGTTATCAAGGGCAACCTTAAGTTCAACTCGACCGCTACGTATATGCAATACAACTAGACGTATGTATCCCTGAAGAGGAAAATGGGAGGGAGGAAGCGAGATGTGTTATTTGTATGAATAGTAGCCAGTTAGGCCGGAATTCTATGTAGACTCAGCGGTAACTCCCGGCATAGGTAATACAGCCAGCTTCGCCCGTGCCATGTGCTAGTATCCATTATGAATTGTGCGTTATGTTACTTATACATTAAATCGTGTCGTCGTCATCAAAGTCGTCTTGTTTCGTGCGTGTCTACTAGTTACATGATGTGCGGGCGCCGATACAAACAGCCCTATCCCGACCCGTCCCATCCCATCCCGTTCCGTCCCGCCTAGTCGGCCGTGCTACTCGACCAACTTCCTAAGCTAGGCACTAAATTATTCTAAATTACAGTAGGGTAGGTAAGGTAAGGTACCAAACCCCAAGCAAGCATGCTATGTACGCTTCTCTCTTCTCTTCCTCTTTCACGGCTAAGTAATAATAAAACGCACCCGCAGCTTGCGGATATGAATGATATCTTCGCGAAGTCATATGCTAAAATACTTCATATGCTAAAATAAGTTGCGATGCGATGCGATGTCATGTCCCCCATAGCGCCGTGACCATGCCTTAAGTTTCCGCGAGCCCTCCAGATAGGGCCCTCCCTAGTTCCGTCCCGCCCGGTACCGAACTATATTATTTCCCTCCTTCCAAGCTCGCACGGATATCGTACCTGGTGTCGGGTGTTGGGGTGGTAGTTTCGTCTGAATGGTGAGTGGATTAATTAATGTTGCTCTTGGTCTTGCTCTTGCTCGTCAGTCGAGGCATCCTACGCCCCCTCCATGCCGGCCAAGCATCCCAAACATACAACGTCGCCTTCAGCCCCGCGCTCCACGCAACACCGGCTACAGATCAGCTCCCGATGGCCGCGGCCGATCCAGCTCGAGTCAGGCCCGGTACCGCCTCCGTTTCTTTGTTTCTGGTTCGCCTCGGGGGAGGACTCGGAGGTGATGTCATCTACATCCTGCATGGTGAAGGACGCAGATAGGCTGTCGTCATCTTCTTCTGAGGATGCGAGCCAGCTCCGACACGCGCGCAGGCACACGAAACAGGACCGCTGTCCGCAGCCGAGGCAGTCGGCGAAGGAGTCCAGGTCGGATTTCTTGGTGGGTTTCCGGTGGCAGATATGGCAGGGACTTAAGAGGGATTGTGAGTTGGAGGGCCCTATTCTGAGACTTGTGCCTAGTTTAGTGTGGTGTGGCGATGGTGTAGGCGCCGGGGACTCGGGGTGCGCGTGGGAGTAGGAGTTATGCGAATGTAGATGTCCATCGTTGTCGTTAACAAGCCGGAATCTCTTGTTCACAGGTAGAGGTATCATCTTCCGAGGCATATTCAGCAGGGAAGCAGCGCCTCGGGCCGATGTGGGGAATATGAAGCGTTCATTATTGTTAATAGCGGATAGAAGATTCGTCGACTCGTGTTGGGATGTTCTGGTACGGAACTCGTGGTTAGCAGATAAGGACTTGACGAGAGAGATTTGCGGGTCGTCGTACAATTGCACCTGCACCTGGCTGGGGTCGTCATCATGCCTCCTCTTCTTACTCGGGGAGAGCATGGGTGGTTCGAAGGGCGTTACGGATGGCATCTGCAGGCTGTGTGGAGCACACGAGAAACCCTGGGGAGAAGATGCAGGTTTCTACGTCGACGGGTTTCGCTTGGGCCGGGGAGGGGATGAATAGAAAGCCCAGAGGCGATTATAGACGAAGATAAAGAGGTTTGGGTGGGAGCTGAGACGAGATGGAAGGGAGGAGGAAGTATTGCATGTTGGCTTAGGCAAGTTGTTTATTAGGGTGATGTGAGAGGCGATACTGGAGGTACGGATTATGGCGGATTATCTGTTCGGATCAACCAACTTTCAGGGGTCCTCCAGGGCTGCCCTGACTGCCTGAACATGCCTGAATTTCAATTCCCATTAGCGGGTTTAGCTCGTTTAGCTCGATGCTTCGACGGGGTAGCATTGGACGAAAAGGTACACTAAGAAACAAACGTTCATTAAGCTTACCTCATTGGGTAATCATTTAAACAGTACGTACCTTAGACACCGTGCATTTAACAGACCTGATTCAGGTAACTTTGGCCAACGTTGTCTTTACCAAGGCAACACCAGGGCAACCTTTCTCCGGTGGAACACGTGTAAATCCAAAACCAAGGCAACCTGTTTCTTGCCAAAGATTAGTACGGTTATGAATCTTAGAATGGGACTCCAATTATTTAGCTGTTATAATTCAGCTTAATCAGACCTACCAATTATTACAGGCTCTTTCTTCCCCAATCCCCGCGATGCAAGGGACATCATCGCAACATTGGCTTGATATACTACCTATGTAACCTTGTAGGCCACGTAAAATTCCCCTCTTAACCAAAGACCCACGGTATTAGGACATAGCGTATGATCGTGTCTGGTCTAAAGTTATCTTTAAGCGTCTCCCGCGCTTCTTAAGCTTTTATATAAATATGACTAACGTGGTAGCATAAAATTCGATACCGGATAATATTTACGATGGTTATCAATGATATGCACAATGGGGTTCACGGATAGTTACCACTCACTCTAAGATAGGAGCCCCCTATTAGCAAGCTCATAGATGATATGAATATATTTGAAGAGCTTGACAAATACCTCCAGTTACCTGTCATGGGGAATATAAGATAAGACCTCACCTACATACAGGTGCTATGGAAAAATCTGAGTAGCCTATGTTAGTCCCTAGTAAATTATTCCTGAACCTGAAATGACTGATAACGACTCTTAACCAAGTGAGGCCTACGTAGGCCGTGAAGTTAATAAGTGAGAAGACATTTTGGACTAACTCGTCTCATCTCAACCAAGTGGGAGAGGTCCAATTCCATAACTCAATTAAGAGTAAGGTGCTGAAATCTTAATGACATATACATTCTCGAACATGTACCAAAGACCTATTAACATCATAGGTAAATAGGTACATTATATTACCCCAAAACACACTATATCCTCGTGAGAGATCCATCTACTCCTCGCCCCAGTATCCTTTTAGAAGACTATGAAACCTTTCCCGTACGAAAGCCATACTCTGACGTATGATCGAAACGTATGGCGGACTGCTTGATTCATGGGTTAGTTGGCTTGAGCTCCAATGCTCTGGGTATGTGTACATACAACTGATCGGTGTCCAGTTCCACTCTCACTTTCTCCGTTTTCCTCTGCTTCAACGCCTCCTGATACATGGTGTACGAATCGAACATACCAGTCTCTTGGAAGTACGTCTCGTAATGACGAAGCATCTCTTTTAGCTTCTCCGGCTGGCTTTCTGCTAGATCATGGACTTCGCCGAGGTCCTTGGATAAGTCGTAGAGCTCCCATTTGCCGGGACCTTTAGGAGGAGGGAGGAATAGTGCTTTCCATTCTCCCACTCTGACTGCCGCTATTCCAAGCTGCTCCCAGCCAACGATGTCCGTGCCATTATATATCTGAATAGTTTCGTCTTCTGGATGCTCTAGAACCGGTCTCCAAGACTTCCCTCGGACAGGCACCACCTCGCGCCCGCGGAAGACGGGGCTAGGGTGTTTCAAGCCTGCGAGATCTAGGATGGTCGGAACGATATCCATAACCGTCGTAAACGTACTGGTGACCAGCCCGCCCCGTTTTAGCGCCGGCGGATACCTGACGATGCAAGGACAGTGAATCCCTCCCTCGGTTGAGTGCGATTTTGCCCCCCGCGCTGGAGCTGTCGATGCGCCGGCCCACTGGGGGCCATACCTATTATACAATATTAGAAGTGAATAGAACCAAAGGACTAATAGATATTTTAATACCACACGAAGGAGTTGTAGTTGCCGATATTTTCCAACGAGTTGTCGTAGTATTTCTTAACGATATCTTCTACCGTATAGCCAGCTAAGATAGGCAAGGCTTCCAACAGTTGTCCTTCGGCCCCATTGTCGGACATGAAGACAACAAATGTGTTATCAAGCTCGCCTGTCTCTTCTAGATAAGTCCGCACGCGACCGATGTTCACATCGATAAGATCAACCATCGCCGCATAAACCTCCATGGCTCGAGATGATTCTCTCTTCTCTGCGTCTGATAGCTCCTCCCAAGGCTTGGTCTTTAGCATGTGCATGGGAGCTGGCTCAACATCAGGGGGCACGAGCCCCTTTTCGATTAAGCTTTGGAGTCTGCGATCCCGTAAAGCGATAGGCCCGTCGTCGTATTTGCCGTGGTACTTCTTGATAATTTCTTGCGGTGCCTGCAGTGGCCAGTGAGGGGCTGTGAATGGGAGATAACCAAAGAAGGGCTGTGACCTCTCTTCTGTTGTCCGTTCCTTTAAGAAGTCTAAGAAGTAGTCCGTGAACGTGTTAGAAGAGTAGAAGTCCTTAGGTAGATCTGTGCTCCCGTTGATGAATTCTGAGTGCTTCATCCATATGCCATCACCTTTAAATATAGCCGATGGCTTTTCCTTGAGGTCATACAGCTGTGGCTCGTGATTGAAGTGGTTTCCAGCCCCAGGAAGGGTAGAAAGTACTTTGGTAAATCCTCTCGCATGCGGACCAAGCTCCCTCTTCAGACCTAGATGCCACTTCCCGCTCATGAGTGTGAAGTATCCTGCATCTTGAAGGATCTCTCCTAAAGCAGCTACACGATAATTTAAGTATCCTTCGTAACCAGGCTTATCTCTGAAGATGTCCGGAGCCTTTTTCTTAACGAAAGATATTAGACAGATGATATAACAACTCTTACTAGAATTAGAACTTACTATTTTCTCCGCCATTACACCCAACCCGGCGATATGTGAATCTGTGCCAGACAGAAGCATAGCTCTCGTAGGAGAACATGATGCAGCTGTGTGGAAACCGGTCATACGGATTCCCTCATCAGCTAACCTTTGTAGATTAGGGGTGTCGATCTCGCCTCCATAAGGAGACGTATCGCTGAACCCTAAGTCGTCAGCGACGATTATCAGAAAATTAGGCTTCTTTTCAGCCATTGTTGATCGGAGATAGCGATCATATATTAATGCTGAAAGCACGGAAAATATGAGAACTAGCAGCCGAAGTCTCGAGACGCCTCGCCCCAGAAGAGGCCACATGTTTCCTTGGTTGGTTTCATGCGTGGAATTTCCGTGACTCCGGCAAAATTGATAGAGATCTGGATGTCAAATAACGGAAGAATCCAAAGTGGTGAATATATCCGTTAAACGTGCAGGGGACGTCCCCATAGTCCGCTTACCGTCTTACGCAGAGAGACATTGTCGTCCCATGTTCTACGAAGATATTGTACGTAGGCAATGCGATTGCTGTATAATCATGTGCAAGTCCATCATCACCACTACGGTGTTGCTATTTGAATCTTGGGAAAAGGAAGAGGGTTAATTGAAAGTGACCCCTTAGCTGCATTAACCAGTGTAAATTCTATAGGGACTTTACCTTACCTACCTACCTACATTTAAGCAACCTCTTATTAACCTCCATTGGAAAGGGATATTCCCTCAGTCATGGGTTCAACGGTATACGTACTCGAAGGAGTATGCATACCTAGGTAATTCATATCCACCACAAAGCAATCTAGCAGTCCGCCTTGTCCGACTTAATTAATCTTTAGCTTTAAGTCTTGTCTCGCTTTATTGTAATCGATCCTGGCGCAATCGGAGCTCACAGCCACTCCTGATAACTTCGGAGCACGGTTTCGGAGAGTGCAGCTCGGAGGAATCCTTAAGGTGACTCGGATTTCGAGATAATACCTCTCCAACTACATTTCCTTTGGTATCGGAAATGGGGATCTTTGAACCGATGCAGATTACATAAAATTAGTACGAACCTTTTTTTCGTAAATGCCTTCAATGAGACATATATGAGGTAGCAATTAAGTGTCCTTCAAATGACGTAATGGGCTCGTTCAAATCCGCCTGCTTGACAATGCAGAACATACACTGTGTATGTAATACATCGCTAACGGCAACACTGAATATATCTACTTCATTAAGGCTTCCGTATTCATTCTAAAACGTATCAGTTATGAGCGATAATATGGTTAGGGTTAATATGTAACGAATTCGTAACAGTTAAACTCTAAATTCTTGCTCAAGTTAGTAGTAACTACCTGATTCATGAGTCACAAGACTAACATTGCTGTTTCTTTAATTTTAAATTTCCTTAAAGATTTCCACACAGTACAAATTACCGGCGTTATATAATAAGGTCACAAGGTCACACTTTATTATTATAATATTATAAATAAATAAAACCCTTATAATAAATATCGCATTAATAATGTAATTTATTCGATTTTTATTAAAATTTAATGTAAATTTATATAAAGTTATTAATAAAATTAAAAAAATCATCATTTTTAAAAAATTAATAAAATTAAAATTATTTAAAAATTAAATTTAATATTATATATAATTTCCGTTAACGTTATAAACGTTTTAACACCGTTTAAACATATTAAATATTAATTTAAATAATTATAATTTAAATATAATTTTTTAAACTTTTATAATATACACCCGTAATTTATTATATAAAAGTTTTTCGTTTAAACCGTATTTATTTTTAATATAATTTTTTATTTAATTTTATATAATTTTTATCGGATTTAAATTTAATAAATATAATAATTAATTAAATAATTTAATATTATACTTTTTTATATTTTTAATCGTAACCGTTACTTTATACGTTAAAACGTTATTTTATATAAAAATAAATTTTTTATTATTATTATAATAATATTAACATATTTAACCGTTAATTATAAGTACCGTATAAATTTTATACGTTTTTTTAATTATTATATTTTAATTTTTTTCTTAAAATATATTAAAGCTTTTATTTATAACGTTTAAAAAAAACCTTTAAAATATTTAACCTTTTTTTTATTAATGTTATTTAATTACGTAAATATTATTTTAAATTTTATTTTTATATTAAATAATTTATTAACGACGGTAATAATTTTTTATAATTTAAATTTTATTAATTTATAATATTTTTACTTATTATTTAACCGTTTAATAATAATAAATAACCGTTTATTTTTTACGTTTACGTTTTATTTTATTTAATAAAAAAGGTTTTTAATGTATTATTTAATAAAAAAATCTTAATTGTTATAAAATTATATAAATAACGTATATATTAAATATAACATTAAATAAAATTAAAAATAATTTAAAAAAATTTATACGATAATTTTTTTTAAAAGCGTAAATAAATTCGATAAATTTACTTTTTTATTAAAACGTTAAAAATTATAATTAATTTATTTAAAACTTTAAATAAAAAATTTTAACATTATAAACTTTAATTATTTAACTTTTAAAATAATTTATAATTTTTTTAATTTTATTATAAAATAATTTAAAATTATAATAAAATATATAAACGCGTTACCGTTATTTAATAATTAATTAAATAATATATATACTTTTTAAATAAACTATTTTAATAATTTTATTTAAAAAAAAACAACGTAAAAATCATAAAAATAACATTAATTTAAAAAAATATCGAAATAAAATAAACCCTTTTTCGAGAATATATCTTAAGGAAACCCATACTAAATTAATATTAAATTAATATGGTATTTTACCTAACTTGCCTTACGGATACCTAACAAGATAGTTTTACTTATGCCTGATACCATAATAGGCTAAACGGTCATTAGGCGGTGAAATCTGATAAGGCACCATCGCGTCACGTGTTTCGCAAGGCTCGGTCTTTAGCGTGGCCTAATCCGATTTGCTCCGTAGCCCAGAATCAGATCGACTCCTCCAAAAGCTGCACACGCCTCTTCGCCAATCTTGACTACCTAAAACACCCCATCAATACCACCACCTCCTTGGACCAACAATCCAACAACCAACCATCAGAGTATCGAGAATACGACAAATACCTGCTTCATCAAGATATGAGTCGCGCCGGCAAGATTGCCCCCGAGCAGCTCCCGTAAGTCGTCACATTTAATGCCTTTCGCCTCCGGTATTACGTGCCAACTGTTAATACACCTGCTAACCTCTTTATCTAGAATTTTGTTCGTGAAGAATCTAAAGTTAGTCACGCCATCACAAGTCCTCCGAATTCTATTCCCGACCTTTCTCTAACCAAATTATAGCTACGAAGTATCCTCTGACGCGCTTTGGAAACTCTTCGACCCCGGTGAGGACGGACTCATCCGGTACGTTCCTATATTGATCGGGTATCAAAGTCATCCTACTAACCATCATTGCAGTCAAATCCGACAGGGTATTTCAGTCGAAGCAAAGGGAACAGCCTATGTTGTCTTCTGGAACGTCATGGATGCGAAGAACGCTCTCGAGAAGCTAAATGGCTACAACTTTCAGAACCGATATCTTGTCGGTACGTTTACCCCATCATCACATGGACCTCTCTTTGTAGTTGTACGTTGTCTCTAACATATCGTATAGTTCTATGGCATCAACCAGAGAAGACCCTCAAGTCAAAAGACGACCTGCAGGCTCGCAAGGAGAATTTAGCGCAGCTCAAGATGAAGCATGGGATCGATTGACAATTAGACGGGCCTGCAGACAGGCTCCAGACCCGTGCCCGTGCTCCGTCTGCAGTCCCGTCTTCTCCAGCTTCTACTACATCTAGCTCGAGCTTTACCTCCTCCACCACGACGTCGATCAAGAAGGAGCCGATATCGGTGGCGAAGGACAAGAAGAGCAGGCCAGACGACGTCGCCCGACATGCACGAAAGATCGCGTTGAACTTCGTGCGGGGCATTCTTCCACAGAAATCGAATAAGCTATGCATGACTTAAACGTATCGTACAGATCATCAGATTATCTGCGCGGATGTCCGGGCGTTCGGTCATGGCATACAATAATTCGCGAACGCGCAGTGTTAGCTTTTTGCTAGGCGTGTCACCCCTTTAAATTGCGAGTCGCTCATTAGCAACACCTATGGAACGCGGTGGACGTTGGTCAAATTGATTCATGGTTATTCAGTGGTTTTACGGCATACTTCTTATGCCACATAGTTATTTGGCGTTGTGATTGCGTGGAAGAATATGTTATTTATTCAGGGTTTTGAGGCTTTTCCACTCCTATTTGAGAATGCAGAAGACCTCAGCAATTGATTTTCCCAAGAACGTGTCTTAATCCTAGTTTAATGCATTCGTACGTAGACCCTTTCATCGTGAAGTTACCATCATAACCTGCTCTCGTGACCATTATTGTCATGCCTGTAATACTCGGCTATTCCTCCACATTCGTACTACGTGAAGCCCATCTCCAATTGGAAGACTACATACGTAGATAAGGCCAAACGGAAAGTATAGAATAGAACACGTGGTATTAGAATGCTCCGATGACGCGCTTGGTGAATCTAGGTTTAGGTGCCTAGGTACCTAGGTAAGGTAAGATGCTTCAACTTAAACTTGCCTAAGGTATGCTTTGCAGATGACACATATCTAAGGCGGCTCGACCGTTTGGAAATCTACGACTTCGTCTGGTGAAGTTGAATGGTGTCTGATATCTGATAGTTATACGGAATACTTACATGTACCTGTCAGTGCCGGAGAGTCCCTATAAATAAGTACCCCTTAATTACATGTACCTAAATATATCACCAAGTACCGAAATTAGGTACCTAAACTTCTACCTGTCAGAAGGTACCTAAAGTACCTAACGCTTAGGGAACTGTACCATGTACATAGATTAGGTAGGTGGGGGAGGCTAGTGGTTTTAGATAAGGCAGTAGCCTAGATCCTACCCCGTACGTCCAGACGTCTCCCGAATTATAAGCCTATTTGAAGCGACTCGCTGCTGCGCCATGGCATCATACATAGAGGCTACCCAGTGCTAAAGGATTGAAGCCGAGCGGCTGATCTTTGTGGCTTGTCCACCTCCCGTTTTACCACCTCGACCTCCTACAATCGCCTCCATTCTTCACTTCTCATCAGAACATTCAACCTTTAGAACGCTTTCTCTTATTTCTTCTCCCTCCTTGCCCAGTAAATAAACGCTGGGTTACGCTCGTATCTTTGTCGAAACCCGGATTAGTTATTGGCATAGAAGCCATATTTTACTTTTTTCTTAGTCGCAATCCCCTCCCATTCGAACGAACCCTGGCTGGATCCTAGGCGTCGATCCTCGCTCCTTTCCTTTTTCTTACCTCGTATCGCCTGACCTGTGTCTCGAGCACAGAGTTGATGTCGCTTTCTTCTACAATCGCCTCCCTCGTACACGAAACTTCATCCGCAATAGTCACTGCTACCCCTGATGCAGTTATAGGAGTTGACCTCCCTTCTGCTACGAACGACGTAGTCTCGCTTTTTACTACCACCGCGACAGCGACAGCGACAGCGACAGCAGCTGCCGCAACAACGACCATGCCCGGCCCTGAAGATGATCATGGCAGGGAGGGGGAGTGCCAGCTTGTTGGGCCGTTTGCTTTAATCGTACAACTCGCGCTGGGTGGATTGGCGCTTCTATCTCTCGTTTACAAGCGGTGGCGGGAAAGGCCCCAGCGACCCGTCAAGATCTGGTTCTTCGATGTATCGAAACAGGTGTTTGGGTCCGTCTTGGTGCACATCGCGAACGTTTTTATGTCGATGCTTACAAGCGGCCGGTTTTCTATGAAGTTGGACCCAATCACCGTGCAGACGGCAGAGAGGTTGCTACGAAGAGAGGACGAATACTACCCGAATCCTTGTTCATTTTACTTATTGAATTTGGCTATCGATGTAAGTTTTTGCGTATATTTATGATTATGGCAATGAGAAAATCTAATCAGCTGGTAGACTACCATTGGTATTCCCATTCTTATCATTCTCCTCCGTATCGTCACAGGCCTCGTAGCATACACTCCTTGGGGAAAGCCGCCAGAGTCAATCCAGTCTGGCAACTATGGCAACCCACCTAACGCCTGGTGGTGGTTCAAACAATCTGTTATCTACTTCTGCGGCCTGTTCGGCATGAAGATCTGCGTTCTTATCATATTCTTGGTAGTACCATGGATATCACGCGTAGGAGATTGGGCACTGAGATGGACCGAAGGCAACGAGCGCGTACAGATCGTATTCGTCATGATGCTATTTCCACTTATCATGAATGCGATACAATACTACATTATCGACAGTTTTATCAAATTGAAAGAGCCGGGCCACGAAAGTATTCCATCGGAAGAAGGAGATGGACAAGACTCCTTTGATGATGCGCTTATCGAAAGCGACGACGAATCGATTAGCGGAGAGAGCAATGAAAGCATGAAGCTCTCCAACTCTAGGAGTTTCAAGAAGGCAGGCATAAAGGGCCCAGATGGCGGACGTGAAGAATATGATCCGGACCTGGATGGGCAAACAATAATAGGAAGCAGCAGGAGTCAAGAAAGGGGAAAACCATTACCGATACCGAAAGAATTATTTCCTCCAGAGTAACCTGGGCTCCCCCCTTTTTTTCTTGAACTTTAGCATTGGCCAATTATACAGTGTTTGCAAATTCCATGTTATGATATACAAATTATACTCTTTTTAGTACAGTTGTGATTCGGATATCTCAGATATGGACAATATATGGAAAATATATGGTTGGTTTCGTCCAAGAAGCGGTAAAGTCTGGAATAGCGGTGGATCGGTTAGATATCCGGTTGCCAATAGCCTTAGCGGAAATGTGCAGAAGTAAATATGCAGAAATGTTAGCTGCATATGGTGACTATTACTTGGCCTTCGTGTTGCCTAACGCGCTTCTTTGTCGACTGGTGAGACTGGAGTCGACCACGGCGAATAGGACGTATTGTGTTCACCTCCACCTATACTTACTTCATTACGGTGTAGCCGGTGCAGCTTTGGTTTGCTTGGTCTGCCTATAGTTTTCCCTAACATGCTCAATCCAACGCTGACCGTGAACCATTTGACTTTGAGGCGGCCTGAGCGACACGACACGACACATGTCTGTGGTTTCAGGGCGGATGTATAAATACATGCTGACCTGTTTGTTCGACGCTGGTATCCCCATGCTACCTAGTTGATACACAAGACTACTTACTTTTAAGGCTGCCTAACTCTCGGACTGAAGCTAAAGTCATACACTTTTCCGGTGGTTTTGAATTGTTGTTGAAGGTTCATGTGAATTGAACTTATGGTTTGGGTTGCTCGGACGCGAGGTAAGGGGAGATTTCCTACGAACGGTCCTACTAGATCAGATCCCCCGGGCAGCATTCATATAAATACCCGATGTTGCCCACGCCTGCCAATATTATTTTATTTGAGGATGTAGTTTCTTATTTTGATCTGATTCAGAAACTCAAAAGGCAGTCACGCTTATGCATCGTTCTTACCAAATCCCCACTGGTTCTAGTCGCTCTTGCCGTTGCTATCACTTTGGGACCTGACGGTTGCCTTTACCTCTACACCTCTACACCTCTACATTTCATACTCTCTTAATACCACTTTCGTCAACACCATCCTGCTTCTCGTTAAACCCAACTCGTCATCACCACCTGACGGACCAGGTGCTCATTCATTAATGATACCTACTTCTTTCTAGAACCTACTAGAGAAGCTGTCAAGAAGGTCTCCCGCTATTTGTTCACAACCTTCCGACGTACATACTCAAGATCACCACGTTTATTCATGTGAGACATCTCAGGCATAATTTCCTTGGCCTGGAACCACCCTCGACTACCTATTGCGGCAAAATACATTTCTACTCTTCCCTGTCGCTAAGAAAAGACCATCAACGACGGGCAAGAAAATAAGACACCAGCAAAATGACGTCCTACCATGCAGACTTTCCAGGCTATACGGCCTATCCGCGCTATTTTTGTCCATGTGGAGGACCATTGGATATACGATACCAATACCCGTACCAACCTCCACCGGAATTTGATCTCGTCGGCGGATACTGCCATGCCTGCCATAGACAAATTCCTCATCATCGGATGATACTTAGTGATCATATGCCATATCCTGCGTCATATAGCCGTAATCCCTGGTACATAGATAATGGTTATTATCACGCCGGCCCCGAGGCTTACACTTGGGGACCACAACACCAGCTTTACCAGCACCCCGGTATACCACCACGTGTCAGTCATACATACCACTCCCCCACGGCACACGGGTCTCTCTATACGCAGCATCCATACTTCACCTCCAACACGAGTCACTACCAAAATGGGTATGAGGTACCTCGTAGCACAGGACCCAGGCAGCAATGGTCTACCGACCGCAGCGAAAATCCTAGACTCCTGCTTAGCGAGGAAAATCTGGCACGCAGAAGGTCACTGGAGCGTAGAAGGGAGCGTAGTTATTCATGGGAAAGATCCGGTGGCCCCCAGTCCGTTGACGATCCCACAAATTGGGCTAATAGCATATGTGATAGTGTCTGGTCGACACAGACAACTGCTGGATATCATCAGAGTAGTAGCGAATTCAGCAGTACTATCAATCGCACACCCTCGCCAGAACCCGACGAGGAGAATATCGGTGCTGGTTATCCTTGCGAGACAGAGGATAGACAGGATGACGCGGTGGAAGGGGACGACGAAGAAGAGCCTTTTACAGTGGCAAGGGATGGTACGCTCGTTCTACTCGGCGACCAGTGGCAAGTGCCGTCCCCCACTGCAGCAAGAAGTGAAGCTGGCAACCCTGTGGGATACTGTGATATCACCTCGACCCACCAGATAATTGATGAGGACGGAAATATAACTGAAGTCGACATCAAGGAGAAGAACTGCAAAGTATCACGCACTATGTCGGGCGGGCTCGCGGATTAAAGTCTTGGTGTGTTGCTGTTGCTGTTGCGTAATGTTTAATTTGGTCCCGAGAAAAGGAGAGCGGAGGAAGGAAGGGGAATATGTTCGTGTTTGGACTGTACTGGTTGGCCCCGAGGGTCATCAATATCTGAGTGGTTTTCAGTTGCATTTTCATCGGCGTCGACGTTGGCAAAGGTGTTGGCTTAGATTACCTGACTTGGCTAGATCTGAAGGCTGGTTTTTTTTTTTTGGCCCAGATTCTTGCCAGATACGATTGCGACGAGATACCCGTCTGCTATGTATGTATGTATGTATAATGGACTATGAGGTCTTTATACGAGCATGACATTCTCATTGGAACAAAGAGTTTAGCAAATGGCCTGATGTTGTTTTATCGCGCTGCATGTAACTGGTAGCTTCGTATGATTTCGCTAATCAAAACCCACAAGCAACTTACCTGCAAACGAAAGTTCTGGAATCCCTTCCCCCTTTTTAGCATTTTTTCAATAAACACGATAATGGTCTTGCACTTCGTAAACACTTCGTGATTTATTTGAATTATTGAAAACACCCGCGCGCATATGTGAAATGAACCTATTTCCTTATATACCAGCCTATGGTATATAGGCTTGTATTTGCAGGTAGGTAGGTATCCTAGTAGTACATCTGTCTGTCCCTATGTATAAGCACACAACTCGGCCGGGGAATTTTTTGGCGTTCAACCGCAAATGGCAAATGGCAAATCGCAAAAGCATCGGCAAACCTCTATATCTGAATTCCATCATTGCTATGCAAATGATCGCCCCTCCCCTTTTCCCGAAACGCCTTCTTTGTCACTGAATACAAAACCCCATCAGATCGCCGCATAATGCCCGTCCGGTTCGTGTATTAGTCGGACCTCCTATGGTTGGTTTTATTTTGGTACACTTTAATTAGTAGAACCAACTCCGTTACGCTGATCGCAATTACATTCCGTTCCAGTTATCCTGCTGGGGCTGCCCTTGGGGCTTGTATGGGCGGTAACCGGGGTAGGCAGTTCCCCCGTTTGCGGTCTGCGTCTGCGTTTGCGCAGGAGGGGCTTCTGAGCGGCTATAGCCAGAGCTGAAGTCGAAGCCGCTGTTGTTCTGGATAGGTGATCGCTGTCCCTGTTCATCTAAGTATTGCTGGTCTTGCGCCGGCTGTACTAGCGGTCGGGCAGAGTCGTTTGAATACTGTCGCTGGGGCGCTGGCTGTACTAGCGGCCGGGTAGAGTCGTTTGAATATTGTCGCAGGGGCGCCGGGGGATATTGGCGGTTGTAACTGTTGGGTGTTTGTGTCTGTGACCTCTGAGGATAATCGTAGCCTGGTTGGGGGCCGGGCGTACGCATACGAGATGGAGCTCCGTTGCCATTGCCATTACCGTAGCCATAACCTGCTTGTGGGCCCGGCGACGCCATTCGCGAGGGATTACCGTATCCATTATTGCTCGGCGCAGTGCGGTAGCTAGGCGGGGCACCGTATGACGCAGGACTGGCACTGCGGCCGTACTCGTCGTTGTAGGGTCTCGGAGTTCGCGATTGGGGATAACCTTGCTCAGCCCCGCCTCTTCCATAACCGTTATTATAGTCATGGTGAGGTGTTTGGGTTCTCACTGGTCCAGCTGCCATGCCATATCCCTGGTTCACATTTTCGTCGGGAGCCTGTCCATATCCATTGTAACCGTTATAGCTGTCGTAGCCTTGTCCATTTGCAGAATACGGATCTGGACCAGCTCGTGCTGCTGCCATATAACCATTAGGACCGCCCTGTGCTGGTGGTGGTCCGTAGGGGTTTCTATTCTCGGGAGAAACCGGGCTTGGTGTAGTCGTATGCGGTGGAAGGTTGCTCATAGGGAAAGAATTGTTCCGGACATTCTCTGACTTCTTCAATGGTTCCATCTCAACAGGTTCTTCCTCAATCAGAACCTTCTGTGATTTCGCGCCCTCCCAGCTTGGCATGGCAGGTAATGCGTCTGCATCTTTCTTGTTGCCGTCGTCGAATACAGCATACTGAGGCACGGAAGGTGAAGCTGCTCTGGGTAATCCTGGTGTCATCGGCGCCTGAGAGCGATAGGCCTGGTTCTCTTCATGGTGCGGTGGGACGAATGGTTCGTCGAGATACTTAGCCCGCTTTCCTTTAGGGGGGTCACAACACCCGCAACAATTACCGCAGCACTTTAGACAGTAGCAACACTCGCAACAGCACGAAAGTCCACAGCAGAGACATCGCGCGATACACCAAACGATAGAGAAAATGATGAGACCACCGATAATGATTACGGCAATTGCCGGCCACCTAGCAGATGTTAGTCTCTTAAAGCCAGAGATATCTCGAGTAGGGTTCAGTCGTACTTGCAGATATCAGCCTGCATACAGTTACCCCAACTAGAGAAGGCAACCCTGGGGTCGGAATTTCCGCCTGTAAGCGACTCAAGAGATTCCCGTTTGCCCAGCGCAGCGACAGCGCTTCGTGCGAAGAGATCCGCGAACGCATCCCTAAGGCTGCGTTCTTGGAGACTACGCTCCATTAAAATGCCGACGTGCGGCATCGCGTAATCCCCCAATATCCACCTATGCTGTAGGGGTGTTGAATAGAAAATATTGGAGTAAAGTCTGTGGTTATTCGTAAAAATGATCGGATGTAGAAACGTTTGCTAAAGATCCATGGTACGAAACGGTGGTATGAGTCGTATGTTCCCCAACCCGTGGGAGTAGCACCTCGTCCAGCCGCAAATACAACGCAAACTACCAAAATATCGTCTCCTCGGCTGGTGAATCACTCGATTTGAATCCACGCCTATAACTAAAATTCACCCCGCAACCTTGTCGATTTGGTGTATTTTTCGAATGAATGAATGTTGGCGGATGTGACACGTCAAAGACCTACTGACCGTCAACCAATCCACCTGGGAGAAATGAAAGGATCAAGGATCAAAGCGAATCGGTTAGGTACTCGAAGGAACGTCGGATCTAACGATATACCTAGGTATATCTTGCGAAAAACAAAGAAGCGGGCATGGGAAACATGCCTCGACCATGTGGGTAGAAACGAGAGAATAAAATAAAATCAAAAACACAAAAAAATTCCAACCTATGGTGTAAGAATTGCGAAAGACGGCTGGATGGGAATTGGGAAAAATGCTTGCTCAATCTGGTAATGAATGCGCCGGTCCCTGGAAATGTGGGGGCGCGAATTGCAGAACGGCAATTTCAGGGACAAGTCGCAATTAATTAAGCCCGCAAGATGTGCCTGCAGGCCGCGGAGCACTTAGAGCGGGGAGATTGCCCAAAGCGATCTCTCCAATAATTACGCCCCTAGCGGTATTGTGATTGGCGCCTTTTTGGGGGACTCGATAAAGCGTTATACTCTCTACATACGTAACCTGAATTTAACGTTTAAATATGGCATAACCAAATAAGTGCCAATTGATGGGGCATGATGCAATGGAGAAAGGGCCCAAGGGTTTCAGCCAGGTGACAACAGAACTTCTCCTGCTTACATCAACTGGTGCAGCTTACGTTCTTGTTCCAACATACTGGGCTAGGAAGGTCATACAGGCGCTTGTATTGTACAGCTGCGCCCCAGCCATACTATATAGTACCTATTTTCGTATTGTAAAGAGCCTGCCTACGAAGTAGGTACATAGAGGTGTATTTTTATACTGTTTACCAACATAATTACATAGCAGAGCTGAAATAGTCCTCAGCTATATAACACTTCGATGTGGAGTCGTCTCGAATTCACCAGTGCGACAAGAGAAACGGTTTGCGGGGTTTATATGCAGCCCCCACAGTGGAAATTGCTGCAAAGGCGAAACAAAGCTCTGGTGGGACCGAGAATTACATGTGATCTACATCTACATATATATCATGATTCTCGAAGTTTTCTTATCGTAGCTTCCATAGCTTCCAGATTTCTCACTTCCATATACTGTAGACTAGAGAAGGTAGGTAGACCGTAATAGCATACCTCCTCTCGTCTCAGAGACTTAGGTAACCTACCTTTCATATCACTTCCTACGGAAAACGAGATTTTCATAAGACGAAGTAGGTATTTCTCATATCAAACTATCATACTTGAATAGTAGTAACCATGAGATTAAAGCACCTCATAAACCTCCTAATCTCAGCAGACATTATAGTCGAAGTATGAGTAAAGTAACCCACATAGGCGAATGCAAGAGAATGAGACGCATGTCCCTCTTCATTCGAAATGAAAATTCTGTAGTGCTCTAGGCGTAATACTCGTCTCCCTTTACCAACCGCCTCATTACCAACACTGAAAATAATTAATCAACCGAACCTTTTCTAACGCCTTGAACCACCAGCCTCAATAAGGGTATGTCCGATTCGTATCTGATCCGTTTGCTCTTCGATTGACATTGCTCGTGCACCTGGTTTCGCCACCAGTTTATCTATTGGGCGGGGGACCCTCGGGAGGAGCGTAGTCATCCTTGTGCCCGTTATTGTAGACGTTCCTGGGCGCCTGGACGCCCTCGTTCTGGCCGTAGTAGCCGTCGTTAGGCGAGAAGGTGGTGCCAGTATATTGATTTTGCATCGGGAAGGACTGGCCGGGCGGCGCTCCGTATGCCGGAGGGGGGTTGGCGTAGCCTGGCTGGGGGTTGTTATAATATGCTGCGTTGTTGTTCGGACCACTGTTTCCAGCCATCCAGCCCGTACCGTACATGGGCTGGAGACCGCGGCGTTTACGACGACGGGAGTTGATGCATCTGTGATGATTGTTAGACACCGTGTTTTTAGCTTGTAGCTCAAATGAAGTACTTACACCCAGGCGAAGAGAAGGGCAATGAGGAGAGCGATGACTACGGCAGCGAAGATCCATCGACCATACCAGTACCAGGAGCTATAACACCTGCCGTATCGATAGTACTCATTAGCTCTGCAGGGTCCATCCCGCTTCTCCAATCCTGCCAATTGGGCATTAACTAGGTCGATAAGTGGTGCCATGTGTAGATATTTGATGATGTTGCGACAGAACGATGCGCAATACTAGAAACTAGAAATGTGAATTTATGAAGTTGCGAAAAGCTCAGCTCCGGTTGCTTCTGAATGTAGTGGTAGCTTGTAGCTTGTTCGTTCGGAATTGTCCGAAAAGGGAATGGCTGATTGCCAAGAATATGTGACGCCAAGTGACGTTGGGTTGTAATGTATGGTACTCTGCTTGCGCGATGTGGATGTAAAAGCTACGCGGGGATGGTTTGGATGTTAATATTAGGTGTGGTGAAAAGTGTAATAAATGTTAAAACATTTAAAGATGTGAAAACAAGTAGGAAAGAAGGAAGAAGAGGCGTCGCTAGTATTCTTCTTATTGAAAAAAAAACAACCCTTCGGACAATGAACACGCAACACGATGGATGATGCATGGCATGGCTTGGAAGCTGCCGATTACCGATTTTGAGTGGGATAAGTTGCTTGGCCGCTGGATTGGGTACTAGGACCAAGCAGCCAAGGTCATGCTATGGCGTTCGCGGTGGCTGTGTAACGATTATCTTACATAAGTAACTCAAAGCACTCTTAGCTTCAGCCCAAGTTTTTACAGTTTCAATACGCGTATAGACTTTGCTCAGCCTTTCCCATCCAATGATTTCCAACTAGCTAAGCACTATAAAGCTTAAGCGAACATTATCTAGGTATTGCGACATGGAAATGGAAGTTAATTCCAAATATTCCAAATACATAACCTAGAAAGAATGTTGGCGATATGGCAGCTAGGTAATCACCTGCTGGTGTTAAATTGTGGCTTGGAAGATGACGAATGGATCCCGAAGCTCCGCAATCAGGGCTAAGTATCCTAGTCTTAGGAATACGCAGTATTCAGGCGACTTTTTGGTCTGAATGATACTACGGATTACGATAATACAAATTCCCTCGCACCATCTTAACTAGGTTGTTTAGATATCGTCAAATAAGGAAACTCAGGCGTAGGACGTTGGAATAATCTTATAGCCTTATCTCCAGACCGTCATAACCGCTTATTTCTAATATTAATACGCCGTATGATCATTTCGTCGATGCATTAGTTTTTAACATTTATTCTGTCCACAACTAATCAAACTACTTAACCTAGTATGTATCTATCACCTCTCTCGAATGACCTCGACAACGTGGGCGTCGGGCACGACATACATTTATCTCGTATGTGCTCCAAGCGTAACCGACGTAGCCGATCTGTCTGGCTTCTCTGACGGTTCCTGACATGCCAGACGCGGGGTAGGCATTTTCAACATACGCTTACCTTCCTCCGCTTGGAGAGATGCTATGTAACTCATATTCGATTATTGTGCTTTTTTGATAGATTGTTACCATGTAGGTAAATTATATCTACTACGGTATTTCCTGTTCTGTTATCATAATAGCTCTATTATATCATGTTCGTGCATGGGTTTCCATCCCTCGTCCAGAAATTAGAATCCGGATTAATAGGTAAATACCACTTTCGGCACACGATAAAAAGTTGTGATATTACTACCAGTATCAGAGCATGGATAGATACCTGGTGGCACCTAATCAACATTACAATCGTCCACCACGAGCGCATCGAGTAGGTATTTGAATCTTCCCCAGCCAGGTAGTCTTGCCGGAGTTACAAAAGCAACAAAGATCGTATGTATGTATGTATGTATGCTCGTATATAGGCGCTCAGCTAGTCTAGAACCCGAGATGGACGATCAGTTGCTAAAGTTGAAGGGGACGGAGGGCAGCAGATCCGGCGAGCTAATGATATGCGGCCACGTCAAAAATCTCCGTAGATTTCATATCATGGGCCCATGGCATGTCGCCCATTCCAACACAACGCTACCTACCAGCCAGCCTACCAGCCAGTCCAGCCCTCGCCCGTTAGGAGTTAGAAAACGGAAGGGGGACAAAAAGAAGAAAAGAAAAGAAAGGAAAGGCACCACAAAAAATAAAAATAAAAATAAAAAGTGTACATGACTTGCTCACGATATTTCTACCCGCGGTAGATGTATTACCTGCGTATTAGATGCAAGTATTAGATGTACCCCAGATACCCAGATACTCACTCAGATACCCAAAGATGAACAACCACTTGACTGGTAAAACCAGCAACAGCATTTCGTCAAATGCATACAATCCATACCAAATCCATACCCACATGCTCCCTGTTGAGGTACCTGAAGTCCACGTTGCGCTGTTCATGGTCGCCTTGCGAGCCAATCAATCCCCTCCCAATCGTCGAGACGCTGGAGGGTTTGCCAACTCATCATCGCATCAAATGTGGTCTGTGTGTAGCCTTCAAGTATCGCTTTTCCTGCACCTCTTCCTGTCACCAATGCTTTCTCCCTTTCCTTCTTCTCTTTCCTTACTACTAATCCTCTCAATCCACTATGGTGACCGATTATTGTATCTTCTCTTTTTCCTATTTCTGTTAAAGTTGGGCATTTTAGCCGTAGTCCCTGTCGAGCGACAGACGCCATGTCGAGCGACACATTTGTGTCACACCTTTTTTTTACAAGGGCGACTAATAAGGATTCCCCCCCTCTGCGCCGCCCTAGGCGCATCTCCTTCGCGCTCTCAAAATTTTTTTTTGCCAACCACTCGTCTCCTACAAAACATTAAAGACATTGAAGCAATGCACATATGGTATTATTAAACATTCCCAAGGGCTTTTAGTGAAGTCGTCAAGTCATGATTGATTTGGTCATAAATGCACCTAACTACACCCATGGTTCCTTGCTTAGCTTCCTTGCATATTCGAACATCTACCAATGTTCACTGTCAAATCTCCCCCTTTAAACGTTGATGTGATGATCCGACCAAGGGAAAAAACGTATTGTGAAGGCTATCCTGACCCTTCTAGCATGCCGAATTCTGAAACCGTCGACTCCGTTTCCAATAACCATGCAGTGTTTGGGTCGAGCAGATAAGGCACATAGAAACGAAAGGAAAATGAAATTCTGGAAGGTGAGAATTGAGATGAAGGCACATTGACGATACAGTCGCCTCCTAACTTGAGCTCGCGAGAGATGGTTTATATATTAGGTCGTCGCCGGCCGGAAGCTGAACCGTCTTTTACACCCCGTGATATCATTAGCGTCGTCAAAATGCATCCGCACAGTCGCAGAAGCGGCGAGGGAACGTGTCCCCGGCGGCAGGCTTATGCTTCATAGCAGCCGGGGAAGGAAGGATAAAAGGATAAAAATCCAAGTGCTGTGGACGGCCAAGATGAGTTCATCTGTTGGCCCATTTCATGAGCCATTGAATTACAGCGTCTAGGTTAGTCTCCTCCTTTGCGCTAATCCCGTAGCAGGAAACCTCGCGATGTCCTATACTCTTGAGATCTAGAGCATCTATGAGTTCATCCACGCTGAGTTTGATGTGAAGGTCGGACTTGTTTCCGAGCACTAGCAAGGGGATTCCTTCGAGGCTAGGTTGCGACATAAGGGAATGGAGTTCCTCCTTAGCCATGGGCAGCAGATCCTGGTCTGCGATGTCGACGATAAATACGATCGCATTTACCCCACGACAGTATCTTTCCCACATTGGCCGAAAACGAGGTTGACCACCCAAGTCCCAGCATTTAAGTGTCACATGGCCACGTTGCACGCGCTTCATATTGAAACCGACGGTGGGAATAGAGCTACACGACTTGTTAGCCGACCTAGCGACAGCCAAATTGACATCCCGCGGTATAACGAAATCTTCAAAAGTTATGAACGAGGGTTTCGTGCTTACTCGATCGTAAATTCACCACCCTGGAAAGGAACGGATCATTAGCAAAAGCTCAAGAGATTTGTGTGGTTGATGGCTGCGGGTGCTTACCGATAGGACGCGAAGCAAGGACGTCTTCCCAGCATTTTGCAGACCTATCATCGTGACATCCATCTCGGTCGCCCTAGCGAGAAAAAAAACATCAGTAAAATGCACTTCAGCAAAGGCCAGCGACGTCGTGATGCAGACGCATACGCAGGTACGGCGGTGAGCAGCACGACCATGTGATCCTGCGACCCCGCGCTGAGCGTAGCTTCGTGAACTCACCAGAAAGTCCTGAGCAACCAGTCGTATACCTTCCGGAATAACCCTGCCATCGTGTTCAGCTCAGGAATAATTGTGTTTGATCAGTAACAAAGGGCGTAATTGTTAGGATCGCCAGGACCGTAAAAAATAATAATAAAATAACGAAGATATTTCGCAGCTCCACGCAAGGCTAAGCCAGTTGGGAAAACGCGGTGGACAAGAGAGACTGGGGTTTGTCTCAAACAACAAGTTTAAATAAATAGTTTGCGCTGCGATTTGCTTGCTGAAAATAGGAATAAAAATGTCTCGTATGAGGATGAGCCGCGATGTCTTCGCTCGTAGCGCTCACAGCGGGTGAGTCGGCCCCAGGCGCAAAATTACGTTCGGTGAATGCGATCTGTCGAAGGTAGCTTTTTGGCGGTGGTGAAGGTACATGCAATGCAGCACTTGATGAAAGATAGAAGCGGGATGAACGGTGACGCCTGGACGGAGGGTCACAATTCCCCACCGCGGAAGATCGCACAAGCTGTTATGAACTTATGATGCCCCGTGCCTTCGACTGGGACGTGACCAGGTGGGAGGGATAGAAGGCCGACCTTGCATCTGAACCGACAGCGGCTAGAAAGACTGGGGTTTCATTCGTCTATTTCGACAAGGCCAGTCAATTTCGAACCACAATAGTCCAAATAGGTTAAAATGTATATGAGCTTAGTGCACTGTAGATGGAGACCGCAGTGATTGCACAGCGATAGAAATAGGTAATGGGCGCGCTGCACGAGGGCTTATAACAAGCGGGAGCGGATTGGAGCCGCGAATATGGGGGAATTAGGATGGTCGCTATTGAACCGGCCCGTTGCGAGCGTTTCGTAGATGCACAACCTTGGAGGTATCACCTAAAGATCCCAGGTCCCAGGTCCCAGTTTCCAGTTTCCAGGTTGCTTAAACTTGTAGCTTTGATGAAAGTCGAAGTGAGATTTGTCTAGCAAGCCCACGGTTGATGGGTAGAATAGAATGCCGTAACTAACAGAGGATCGGAGATAGAACAAAAAAAGGTAAGGGGCTTATTATGACCTCTTCTGTAGTGGAGCACCGTAGAAAAACGGGAATCAGAGTTGCTTGGTCTACTCTGCTTTGCTCTGCTCTGCTCGCAGCTTTACGCCTCGAGGGGTTTCCCGAACTGCTACTCTGGCCGCCTCGGAAGACCCGTCACCTGCTCGGGCGGGTAAGGTATCCAAGTCGCTCCCCCACACTCAGCAGCACCACCATCAGCAGCTAAGCTTATTGGGCTAGTTATGCCTTACGTATTTCTTTTGCTGGACCGAGAAGCTCGTTCTGCCCAATACTAATTTATGAAGTTATCCCTCGCTCTCGAGACGTAGTTGCAGAATATCGAATAGACCCGAATCAACTAGATTTCTTGGCACGATATCGCAATAAGTTCAGCTCTGGATAGCACGGTGCGAGTAAGAAGCGTCGGTGGCAGCGGCCGGAGCACTGAACGGAGACCGGCTTGTTTGCAGCAAAAGAATCAAGTCGAAAATGGTAGGCTGAGATTTAAGGTCCTAGAAGCGGTCAGGTCTTCCAAGATGCAGGCAATGAACAGCTTCAAGCGAGGTCAGATGCACCAGCCCAGAGGTAGGAGATGTATGTTAGGTAGCTGATAAAATAAAATGAAATACAATCCAGGACCAAGAAGACTCCAAAGTTATGTACCCTACCAAATTCCACTAGTTAGACGAATTCAGACTTAGACCAAGGCAGGCAGCCTGCGGGATGCAAGTATGCACGGCAGACAGCTTAAGAGGTCGGTTGGGCTGCAAAACCGGTGCAAGATGACAACCATGTACGTCGCACCTCGTGCTTCCTGATGAGATGAGTGGTTGAGAATTGCTCAAGGTGAATAATAGTACAGGGCTATTGTGTCGGTTCCAGAATATAGCAGCACTATAGCTTTCTTAACTCAACAAGGTATAGCTATTGAAATGGCAAGCAGGGAGCTCCCTATAAGATAGGTAGGTTGATCGCAAAAACTAAGGTTCCCAAATAAGACCGAAAGAGACGGATAGAAAAGGTACTTGGGTAAGGCTAAAACAAAAAGAGCTACCCGTATTGTAAATGTGAAGTCGTAATATTGCCTACACTAAACTAACGTCCATAGATGGGCACTGTGCGGTGATGACATTCGATACGTACCCCTAATGCCGATACCTCATGTATCCAGGCTTGCTTTATGTAAGGCCCCACAGCACCAAGTTCATCTGATAAGTATCTATCGATAGGAAATCAGGTGAAATATTTTGGCCGATAAGGATTTTTTTCTTTTCCGTTTGTTTTAGCAGTCTCAAAAACCGAGGAGGTTGAGCTTGCTCAAGAAGACTTGATTACGCGCAAACCTTGGGCGCCAATCTGTCAGAACATTCTACTACACTTCCACCTGTATTACATATCCGCATGAAGTGAGAATTGAAGTTTGTTCGAAACGCAGGGTCACCATGGCGCCAGAACCAACCAACACGAGCTGGGACCACGAGTATAACACTCTTCGCCGAGAGAAGCTTTTCAGGGATCCCCCGACAGATCGATCCGCGTATCCTTTGTTGCAAGAAGCTGTGAACCCACATATCGAGTCCTTCGACGCTCTCTTTGGCGACAATGGCTTGGTCGCGAAGGGACTGGCCGACATTGGCACAAGGTTGTTTCTGGATGGAGACGACCGCGCTCCACCAACCGGGAAGAACAGGCTAAGGATCAAGTGCAAGGGAATACACCTCCAGAAATCGCAACTCCCGCCTACCAACAAGTTTGCGGTTAAAAACCGAGAGATCTTGCCTGCGGAGTGTCGAGAACGGCATGTATCATACCGAGGAAAGCTTTCTGCTACATTTGAGTACAGAATAAACGACGGCGATGCGAAGGAATTCACCCGAGAGATTGGTCAACTACCGATTATGGTAAAGGTAAGACTTCTAGACTGCCATTATTACGTATTCGTGAAGGTCATGCATGATTTACTAAGCTGTATTATAGTCGGCATATTGCCATCTTAGAGATAATAGCCCGGCGCAATTGGTCGCGCGTAAAGAGGAATCAGAAGAACTAGGGGGTTATTTCGTTGTCAACGGTATCGAAAAGATTATACGACTTCTCCTGGTCAACCGAAGGAACTTCCCTCTAGCCATCAACCGTCCGAGTTTCACTAACCGTGGTCCTGCCTACACTCCTTACGGTATCATACTTAGATCAGTGCGACCAGATGAAACTTCGCAAACGAATGTTCTCCATTATCTAAACGATGGCAATGTTACATTTCGCTTCTCTTGGCGAAAGAACGAATATCTAGTCCCGGTTATGATGATTTTAAAAGCACTCGTAGAGACGAACGACAGAGAGATTTTTGAAGGTCTAGTTGGAGCTCCGGATTCAAAAGGCATCGAGAACACATTCCTCACGGATCGTGTTGAGCTCTTATTACGAACCTACAAGACCTATGGGATCTATACAATGGCACAGACTCGAGCGTATCTTGGAGAGAAATTTCGACCTGTTTTAGGAGTGCCTGAGACTTTATCGCACTACGAGGTAGGCACCGAATTCTTGCGACGAATAGTGTTGGTCCACTTAGGAAATATCAACGTGACGGAGCAGCAAGATTCAGACAAGTTCCGTATGCTATTATTTATGATCAGGAAACTCTATGCTTTAGTTGCTGGAGACTGCTCGGTTGACAATCCTGATGCGGTCCAAAACCAGGAGATTCTCCTGGGTGGATTTCTATACGGCATGATCATTAAAGAACGACTAGACGAATTGCTTTCCGTTGGACTCCGCGGCGCTCTACGAGAATATATGAGAAGGTACCCTGGAAGGTCATTTACCTCTGAGGAATTCTCAAAGGATTTTCCTATCAAGATATTCCAGAAGACTAACGAAAATGTCGGCAACGCTCTGGAATATTTCTTATCGACTGGCAACTTATCAAGCCCGTCCGGTTTAGATTTACAGCAAGTATCAGGTTTTACCGTCGTTGCCGAGAAACTCAACTTTCTTCGTTTTATCAGTCATTTCCGAATGGTACATCGAGG